CATTTATAAGATGTAATAATAAAACGTCAATGAATATTAAAAATAATAATAATTAGTTATAATATTAATAATAACTGTTATGGTTAATTTTTAGCGACATTTGTGCCAGCTTTATTGGGCCTATCTATCTAATCTAACATCCCTGGTAGATTTAGACATTTTCTGACATTAAACTCACTTTGATCATGCTTTGATCTAAAAAAATATATCAAACGTCACACGAATGCATGTTTGACTCGTCATATTGCTGGTTCAGTGTGTAAATTTTCCAATGTTAAGTAAGCACATACATCAATAAAAATATGTGGTTGCTTCTTGAATGAAATGAAATAAAATAAACAAAACACAAATCCGTCCTCTAGTGAATGTAACAGAAATCATTACGAGTACGTGTTGAAATCATACTTTAAAATGCACAGTAGCGCCACCTGACACATAGCGGATTTTTGTAGAACTATTGAGCACACGTTATAATTTATTTTTATATGTATATCTATTTTTTTATCCCATTATGTACACATAGATAATACAAAAAAAGATGGGAGATAGTTGAGATTAAATTACAAGCGTCTTCTGATAAAGAATATCAATTTTTACAATTACATATTTGTTAATCATATTAAAGCTAAGTTCATCATGTAGGTCAAAGAGATAAACAATAATTTTATATCTAATCGTGTTGCGTATAAAGTTTGTTCTGCCTTACATTTTGTTCTTTTCATGTATTACAAAACAATGTGTATAGAAATAGCGTAATAACAACACAACATGAAACTATTCCTTAATTTGGACATAAAATTTCAACCTTCGATAGCTCAGTTGGTAGAGCGGTGGACTGTAGCAGGTTATCTCATTGACATCCATAGGTCGCTGGTTCAAATCCGGCTCGAAGGAATTGTTTTTGTTCCTAAATGTTTTTTCATTTACTTTTTAGCCGTATCTATAGGTACTTTTTTTTTCATACAAGTAACATTTTACTTTAAAATTTTATATCTTTTGAACATTAAAGGTGTTTAAATAAACTTAGGTTGTTTTACTAATAATTTTTGTTTTAGGTTTATGTTTTTTTTAAATATTAATATAAAATATTAAAAAAAAGTGTTTACTGTTTCCGCCCGGGATCGAACCGGGGACCTTGTGCGTGTGAAGCACACGTGATAACCGCTACACTACGGAAACGATGGCTAAAGATACGAAATTGTTGTTTATATGTAACAGTCTATAAGAAACTAATTTAAATATTTTTATGTACTTACCTTGTTAAGTTTAATTTGATTGAATGGTGTTTAATTTGAATTACCAAAACTTGTACATATTATGTGCCCTAATTATTAAAAACTATATTAACACTTACCTTTGATAGATGCTCGGAGCAATCACAATAGTTACACAAAATAAATATATTTTTAAAATTCGAATTCGACGATCCTAGTCACGAGCACCCTCTGTAACGGCGCTTGGGAAACACTTGGCGTAGCAAATGCCCCTGGAACTTTTATACCATCGCAAATTGCATGTTTCTATTGACCACCCGCTTGAATATGGTTCATTACTTTCATATCATGGGTGTGGTTATGTCTAATTTGTCATATTATGTTCGCACCCTGTCTTCATCTTTTGATATTTGCTATTGTATCTCAACACTCGCTATTACACTATCGCCTAATCGCTATACATAGCGTGTTTGATATGAACATGTTTAGAAAACTTTGTACGAAAACAAGCAGTGAATGTTAAATAATGACGTGATAAATTTGTGTAGTATTTTTTTCATGAGACCTCCCACGTCAATGTATGATTATATTCTTGTCGCTAAAAGAAAATGTGAGTGAATTACTTTTGATCTATTTTTCTTCAGAATTTGACTTGGACATTTCTTTTCTTCTAACTTCAAATCAAACTGAAGTTTAGGGTATTAAAAATTCGCAGAATGACCTCCGTCCTCCATAAGCGCAGGCCTGGGGGTGACAGGTGAGGCCATCTGTCACCCTAGAAGAAGCAGGCCGGGGTGGCGGCGAGCGCGTTGCGAAGCGCGCTCGCTTCCGGGGAGCAGTGGGAACATGGGGTTCCCACACGGGGGGGGGGGGGGGGTCGTCTACTTGTCTGTAGATGGCCCGAGGTATGTCGGGGCACCAGGGACTTCCTTTCTAGGATATACCTGGTTCCCCGGCTATTAGTACCCGAGACGGCGTGCGGTATTAGTCGGTTCGAGTCCGACATGCCACCGATAGGTGGTATCCGAGGGGATTTCCGCACGGAAAAAAAAAGGGTATCAAAAATTAAGATTTATAATAAATACTAAACTTATTTAAGGTGTGGAACGGTAGTGGACGGCGATAGGCTGATGATGATGATACAAGTATTCCTCCTAAGTACAGAATATAAATATCCAAATCGATTAATTAATGATGAACTTCTTACAAACCTTAAAAGAAAAACAGATTCAAATTGAGATATTCCTGCTTTTTTGAAATCCTTCGATTCTCGAATCTTTTGAATGAATTAATACGAGTCAGGTTACATGGCTTAGTCCGTGTAGTGACGGATTAAGAATACGGAATGTCACTACCCCAATTCATCCCGTGGGTGTCGTAAGAATCGACTGAGGACGCAAAACAACGCAGGGCACCAGTACTGCAAAAAGAAGGAAAACTTGACACAAACCCTATACCAACCCAGCGTGGTATAGTAGGCCAAAACCTCCTTTCTAAGGAGAGGCCTATGTCCAGCAGTGGACTATTAAAGGCTGTTGATGTGATGTTGATGTAGATGGCTTAGGCTTTCCAGCAACACTCAGTATTAAATTAATCGGCAAAATGAGCTTGTTTATTTTTTTTACTTTTTTTTTAAAGACAACACCCACATTAGAAATATATTCCTGTGTCACGGGGGACTTTACAAACATACATGAAACGGACACAAAGAACACCCAGACTCAAAACAACAATTTGTGGATAACACAAAGTATCGTCCCATGTGGGGTTTGAATCCGCAACAGGCGGACTAGTAGGAAGCGGCGTGGCAACCACTTAAACCACTACGCCAGTTATATGCCTTTGCGTACTCCGTGGTAGCTACAGGGTTGAGTATATACAATTATAGCAGTGTAGCGACGGACGGTAGCGTAATAGCTAGAATGGCGGACTTACGATGCCACTACTCCTAATTCAAGCATTTTGGTTTAGCTGGTGGGGCTATGAAAATACTAGCAATATATGACTCGCTTTGCTAGAATCCCTTAAAAAAAAAAAACAAGAAAAAATAATATAAATAAATAAATCTTTTAATTTAATTTAATTTAATTTATTTATTAAATCACGACTCGTTTACAAATTACTAGCTCACCCGCATAAATTCGTCTGCGTTTAATTTAATAAATCTTCCCCGTTTTAGCAAAAAAAATTATTAATGCTCGGCTCCTATTGGTGGTAGCGTGATGTTATATACCTTTCCTCGATAAATGTGCAACATTTATGTGCACCTATCTAACACTAAAAGAATTTTCCAATTTGAACTAGTAGTTTCTGAGATTAGCGCTTGCAACAAAAACGAACTCTTCAGCTTTATAATATCCATCCATACTAATATAATGCGAAATGCGAAAGTGGGTCTGCCTGTCTGTCTGTTACCTCTTCACGCTTAAACCGCTGAACCGATTTAGATGAAATTTGCCACAAAGATAGTCCAAGTCCCGGGAAAGGACATAGAGTAGTTTCTATACCAGATAGCATACTTTAAAGGGGTAAAAAGGGGGGGGTTGAATGTTTGTATGGGGAATCAAGAACCGCTGAATCGAGTTAGGTGAAATTTGGTATGGAGATACTTTGATTCTTACAGAAGAATAAGGAAGATATGCTAATTATTACCGCGATAAACGACATTTACGCGGGCGGAGCCGCGGGCTAAAGCTAGTAAGTAGAAGTTTTAAAATCACACCGAGGTGCCAATGTAATCCCAACAACGAGTGCTTATTGCCGGCATTCCGCCACTGACCACCAGTTATGCTATTTATAGTTCATTGCGATCTCCATTCGGATAGCGGGAGACTTCTGTGGGTGTGATTGAAGATACAATATACAAATACTTACTTACTTACTCAATATACACACTATAATTTGTTGACTTATCCGGGTTGAAAACTCGAATCAAAGAATCTGCTATAATTAGCCCTGTGTCAGTCTTCACAAGGCCTACTTTCTACGTCAATTCTTAAGTACGCAAAAATCGAATGATAAATCACAGTTCACTGTGATTTTCATCATCATCATCAACAGCCTTTAATAGTCCACTGCTGGACATAAGCCTCTCCTGAGAAAGGAGGTTTTGGCCTACTATACCACGCTGGCCAGACGGGTTGGTACTGTGATTTTGCCCCACATCTACTTTGTCCACTCCCACTCCTAGGCCCAGACTACCACTCGCTATCTGGTTGCCTCTCCGACATACCTTCGATATGCTATTGCTTTAACTTTTTTTTTTTCTTTTTTTCAAAACACGCGGTTAAAAATTGACAAAGTCAGAAATGGTAATCTGTTCTCCATCCCTTTTTTTCAATGATTTTCGATTTGACAAAGCAAACTATTATCGCGACGGCTCTGTATGCATATGATTCATAAATAAATAAATTTAAATATAAATTTGTTTATAATATCTATACAATTTTATGTTGACGATTTCGTTCACCAAGTTATGTTTCAATTTTATAAAAAAAATATAATACGCAAAATTATGCATCAAGGGACACAATTTAATCGAAAAGAGTTCTTAATGCAAAACTTTAGCTTGATTATATTTTTCTTTGTATATTCAAAGGCTGGCTCCAGTCCTGTCCTGAGTAATCAGTAACCTACATTAAAAAAAGAGTTACAAATCAGTAACGTTATCAGATATAGTAGTGTAAAGTTAAGCTGTATTAAGTCCGTTTAATATTGCTTAGAATAAGCTGGAGTACCATGTTTTCTTTGTAAGTAGTGTGTAATACAATAATTTGAATGTTACAGAATCATGGCCGTCGAAGGCGTAATGGTATCCTACAACTATTCTGACGATGGAGAACTTGCCAATATTCTCACTGTGTCGTCATCTGGGATCAGATTCTCCAAACGCTGGGTCCTGGCACACGGCTCAATACTTTCTCCGTTAAAAGAGGCAAAAATCATCAGAAATGCTAAAGGGAAACCGATTTTAAGCGAAGAATTCTATGCGAATTTGCCAGAGATACATGTAACTTGTGAAAAGAAGAGATCCAAACGTCCGGATCTGTATGAGAGCGTGGAGAAGTTGAGCCGTGAAAGAAATATGCACACTGGAGATATGGAACACAGCAGCTATTTGATTAGAGTGTTAACTGGCAGGTAAGAAGTTCCCACTAGGAAGGAATTTGTTCTTTCTTTTCAGGTAACCTGTTCTTTGAGCGTCAAAAAGAAAAAAGAAAGAAAAATCATCAAATCAACTATTAGTTAAGTTACTTACTTAAACTAGTGTGTTATTGCTTTATCGATATTGCATTATATTTTACTAGCTTTTGCAAGTAGCTCCGCTCGCGTGTATATACGTTAACGCGGTAAAAAAAATATTAAAATCGGTTTAGTAATTTAGGCGTGAAAGCATAACAAACAAACTCACTTTTATAATATCATCAACAGCCTTTAATAGTCCACTGCTGCCTCTCATAAGCCTCTCCTAAGAAAGGAGGTTTTGGCCTACTATACCACGCTGGCCAGACGGGTTGGTATAGGGTTTGTGTCAAGTTTTCCTTCTCTCTGCAGTGCTGTTGTCCTGCGTAGTTTCTTCCCTTAGTCGGCTCTTACGACACCCACGGGATGAATAGGGGTGGTGACACTGTATTCTTAATCCGTCACCACACGGATCTTTTATAATATAAGTTTGAAAAATCGAACTAAAAATGATATATGTATATGTGAATTTTTAAACAAAAATGATAGAAATTCAGAAGACTTCTGTAGTTTTAGTTTATAGAATGGAGATCTCAACGTAATAAATACAAATATTACCGCTGGAACGTCTGATTTTAATAAAATAGATCGGTAAAAACCTCTTTTCTAAGGAGAGACCTATGTCCAGCAGTGGACTGTCAAAGGCTGTATTTTTTTTTTCTCACGGATAACTTTAACTTCATTTCATATAGATACGATTTAAATTTTCCTCAAAATATGTATTTATGTCGTGAAACAGGTCCCAGTTTTAATAGTCCATAAAAAATTATCAAATAATTCCATTCCATCGTCCCGAGTATGCTGCTCTGAAATGTGTTAAACTTTGCAAATAAAATTGGGGAATTTCCGGCTGCCGTTTGGTACGAAATATTTAAAAAATACGATGATGTTTATGAATGTGCGTCAGAGTGTTAATTGTAAAACAAAGATAAGAGACTTCTAAGGGAACAAGAGAGTTTTTAGTTCCCAACCTTAGAGCCCTGAAACATCTCAAATCTAGAACTGACAGGCGATGGAACTAAGTGTTGCGAGGGTTGTATATGAGTGTTGTTAGTCCCTACAATAAGAGTCCTCTGACTATGCGAGGTAATCATGCTGTTGATATTGGAAGTTGTAGCCTTGTAGTTACTCCGTAGTTAAAGCATGTCCATTGTGGAAGGCGCCACAATAAGTGCCTTGAACGACTTAACACTCACACCCTAATCACCCGTATAAAATTAAACTCGCTTTAGGATTGAAGACCTCTAGAAACCTATTAAACTGGTAAACACTAACATACCAATTCAAATTCAATTTCCAGAATATGCCATTTATGGCAGTGCCCGATCCTGGACAGGTGTGCAGATGATATATTGTACAGCTGGACAATAGGGCACAGGGAAGGCGATATTGACCAGCAGATGAAACTGGGCAACGCTCTGTTCTCCGTGTTCGTGCTTATTGACTTGGAGAGCGACAAAAGAGGTTAGTAACACACTTATGACTGAGGGCCTAGTGTGTCTATTTCATATCAACTCGATCCCCACGGTGACCGCATTCGGCGTTATGATTAGCCCGCATTGAGGCCCAAGCGCGAGTTTATTTCATATCTCCTCGATCGTCACGGTGACCGCATTCGGCGCTGCGATTGGCCCCCACTGAAATCTTAACCAATCGCAACGCCGATCGCGCTCGCTGTTGAGATTGAGTTGATGTAAAATAAACTCGCGTTGTCAAGAGCATGTTGAAGGTCCTTAGATGACCTTCCGCGGGTAATAAAAAATTGCGACATTTTTGATATTGGTGTCTGGTTAATAACTGATTAAAATAATTAGCTAAAATGTCAAAGGAATACACGGGGAAGTTTTCAAAAAAAAAAAGCAATTATAAAACGACCAAACAGTTTTATTAAAAATTATTATCATTTATATGTCTGTACATAATACATATTAGAATTTGATTCATTTGTCCCTTTGGCAAGTGTGGAGTAGTTCTGAAACAAAAAAAATAACAGAGGTGCAATACTAGCTATGACTACACTCACTCGCTTTCTCATAAATTTGTTATTAAATTAAGGATTGTTATGCACTAATTGGAGATCTAAATCAGACTACATGAAGTAAAAGTGAAAACTTAAACAAAACATTAAGCAATTCTATCTTTGTTTTCTCTGAGTGACTGGGGTTACCTGAGTACCGATATACCCCCCACTCCCCCTCACTATAATTGTTTGACTATCAATTTAGTACTTCCAAATTCTGATGATTAAACTTTTAATCAGTGTGATATCTATACTGCAAAAAGGATTATTTTATTTTATTTTTTACTTGTTAGGGCATTGTCCTCTAAATTTGGCTTGAGGCGAAAAATACCAGATTACGACAGCTGACTTTGTCGGTTTAAAGTGATGAGCCTAAAGAAGAGAAGGTGGCTAACTAACATGTGCATCATCATCATCATCATCAACAGCCTTTAATAGTCCACTGCTGGACATAAGCCTCTCCTTAGAAAGGAGGTTTTGGCCTACTATACCACGCTGGCCAGACGGGTTGGTATAGGGTTTGTGTCAAGTTGACACAAACACAAAATGACACAAAATAACAAATGACATGTGCACCCTACACAAAATAGTAAATGGCTCTTTTGATAGTGAGCTTGTTGGCTTGCTATACTTTAAGATACCAACACGATCCGTACGTATACTACACGTCTATCACAAAACAATCCAATTAAACATAAATTTACCGTCACGAGGGTCCGGTACCAAGCTGTAGTCATTCCTCCACTGCCTAACATGTCCCATCTTAGTTTTGAAATCTGGGAAAAAAACGCCTTTGCTGTCGACAGTATCTTTTTTAATGATGCCGGCAATTCCCATGAGGAAGCCTCCAGCAGCAATCCCGTGGCCTGACCGTAAATAGGCGGCTAGGATTGGCCCACAGGCGACTCCAGCTGAAAATTATAAATTATTATATACTATTTATTAATATCTGGTAACTTAACGCTTTTTATAATTACAACCTCTCCAGCAAGGCAAATTTTTTTTCTTGACCAGATCAAGTTGCGCGATTATTCTTTAATGGCAGGCGACCGGCCATATAAGAAAAAAAGGAAAAACAAACGAAATGAATGACTTCGTGAAAGAGGATCTCGAGTGATAAAGAATAATGGAAGAAAAAAACTCATTGCACCGACCCTAAATAGAGTTGAGAAAACGATAGGATGACGGATCATGATTTCAGTTGCACGATTTTATACTAAGGGCTAGTTGGTGTCTCTCTCGTAGTAGCCTCACCAAAGACAGGACCCTGGCTTCTTTAGCTGCTGCTGCAATTTCAGTCGGTTCTGAATCCAAGACTTACGTATGACAAAACTTTACTAATTTTCATATTCTTTGACACACGAGTTTGAGAGAGAGTGTTATCAGAACCCAAATCCCCCCTCGCCTCTGTATTAAGAGGGAGGAGGATCACCAAAAAAAGACAGCTCTCTGAAAATTTACGCCTCTAAAATCAGTGCCATTCTAGCGATTCTGCTACCTTTTTTACTAGTGCTGGTTTTAGGATACCTTTTCTGACACAGGGTACTTCTACACAAAGACTTACCTGCAAAATAATTCCAACGATCGTCAGCCTCTCTAAAACGCAGTAATCCGTTTGAGACCACGGCGAAGGTCGCTCCCATCAAACCTAACGGGACAGTGTGGTAGATGTATCTGCAATTATACCATAATATCATCAAAACACAGTTGATATACCTGGCTCAGTAGCCTCACAAATCATAAGATCGACATGAGCACCTCCATTTTAAATTACTGAAGACTCACTCTCATTCATTCATTCCCCTTCCAAGACTCGCAGTATCACCCTTGCGCTTTTCTTCCCTTACCCCGGTTTACCTTCTTTGCATGTCCTTATAAAAATAATAACATTCCCAGGAAGAGCGTCAGGAAGCGACCGGCCGTAAGATAAACAAGCCAAAACATTGGGACGAAACCAAATAAAATTTAGAGCAAGGTATGATGATTGTTAAAAAAACTTGTTTTAAATAAAATGCCACTACTACTTAGGTATTAGTCCAACAAGTTTTTATTTAGAATCAAGATTAGGCTTCCTTCCTAGCGTTTATCCGGGTCCCATACATCCACATGTGAACTAACACCACTGTGATTTTAGTCAGTTAGTTTGTATGTCGAAACAAACAGACACGGTTTCCACACATTAAAAAAGCCGAGTTGAATGTTGTATCCATCGTTCATTCATCAACAGCTTTTACTAATAGTCATATTGTTCAGTGCTGGACATAGGCCTCTTCTTGAAAAGGTTTTGGCACACTATACCAAGCTGGCCGGACGGTTGGTTTAGGGTTTGTTTTAAGTTTTCATTTTCTTTGCAGAACTGTTGTCCTGCGTAGTTTACTCCCTTAGTCGGTTCTTACGACACCCACGGGATGAATGGGGGTGGTGACACTCTGTATCCGTCACCACACAGATAAACTGTTATACAACTGTTTTAAACGCTAACATAATTAAATATCTAGTAACAAATATTATAGGGGTTCTGGATAGGGTCCGAAAGAGGCCCTTTAAGGACCACATTTAACTATAAAGTTGGTGGTGAGTAAAGGTGAGATATGTGCTCTGATCAGCATTTTATTGATGCAATTTCGGTATTTCAATGTAGATAAAATACATACATATTTTATCTACATTGAAATACCGAAGTTGGTTGGTTAAAAAAAGTATCTAAGATTGTTAATCCGTGATCAAAAATCCACAGTGCAGGATAGTAGAGTAGATAGTTTTGATGATAGTAGCTTCGTGGGGCTGGCTCCATGGATCACACCAAGGTGGGGCAAATCAAATCTTGAGCTTATGTTAGTAAGTGCATACTGAATCAGCTTACAGAAGTCGGGGTGGCCTAATTACCTGACTACATAGATAACTATAGTACATAATATTAGGGAAAACTGGTGGTACAAACCTTTTTAACATTGGCATAAATCCCATCGCACGGCTAAACATAAGAATATCGTAGGTAGATATTACCAGGCCTGCTATTACGCCGTAGCGAGCTGCCACTACCACCTGGTGAAGAAAATCGTAAGCTTATAAATTTTTTTACTACTGTGGCGACTACCACATACAACTATTATCTATATAAAAAGGCGATATTCATTTGTATACGCTTCAAAAACTCAAAAAGTTGTGCACAAATTGAGCTTATAGACAAACCGAAATGTTTTTGCGTTGGTTTTGTTCCTCATTTGTTATCAATGCAACCACTATGTGCATACGGAAGCTTGGCAGGGTACAGCTAGTGAAAAATATATTATAATACCATCTAGCGAAGACACACCGAACTACGGAGTAACTACCAATCCTGCATCGCACATTGTAAGTTCTCACGCCAATTAGTAAATATACAATATCCCGACAACAACCATTGAGGCTTGGTTCACCAGGTGTGATCACGTCACACATCACACTTTGTGTTTCTATACCATTCGTCTGTTGTTGATGGGATACACACTATTTTTGTATAAACCGAAAAACGAAACTGACCAAATCTGCAGGCAGACAAAGTTAAACACAAGGAGTTACTCTAACCGGAGATTCTTCTAGACGAATGAAGTAGCCGGTCAAGACGGCACAGAACTCCAGTAGGCTATCGACAGTTTTTTTTAATGTATAGGCGAAGAAGTGTTACTGTAGTTATGTAGTCTGTAATGTAGGGTAGTTATGTACGTACCGGTTGTGTCATGTGGCTACCCCCAATGACAGAACCGGTATGTAGTTAAAAACACCCAATTGGCGATCGCATATGAAAACCCTGCTGGTGTGAAATGAGCTGAATATCATTATCATGGCAAATGGCTTCTATCATATCTGCCTACCCCGGACGCGAAAAGGGCGTTAGAAAATGTATGTACGTATGTTTTATTTTTGTATTTTATCCTTACCTTTTTATCAATATCACAACCATCAGGAGTATCATAATATCTATAATAATTCCGACGTTTTTGGTCTTCAGGACACTTGCAGTCCATGATTCTGAGTAATAATGACTATTTTTATATAAAAATTAACATTTTCAGGGTCATAGAATCTTATGATTTCGTTAATGTCAAAGAATAGCTTTTATTTTATAATGTATATTTACTTTTTATGGTCTTTGACACTGGGACAGTTCACATAAAAAGTATGGATACGAATTGATAACTCGCAAGTAACGACGACCAAACAGAGATAATTTAAAGCTATTATAACACAAACTTATAAAAAGTGGTTGCATCTCTAAAAAACTACCTAATTTCGTGCCTATTTACGTTTAATTAGACTTTTCTTAAACTCAATTCACACAATCCATCAAGCAATCTTGTCTCTCAGTGCTGGCTTTTTCGAAAGTTATTACAATGCCATAACGAAGAAACGCAAAACTATAGATTAACTACTAATCCTGAATCCTGCATCACGCAATCAAAGTTCTCGTGCCAATTATTATGTATACAATAGGACCGAGGCCCGCCACTGCCAGTCTGGCATGATCACCTCGCCTGATCGGAGAATCCTCCTGTATTGGGGGGACACTACACTTGTTTCTCTACAGTGGTGACCCTGATGTGAATAGAAGCACCCTTCAAGAAGAAGATCAATTGTATAGTGACCCTCCTACAGCAATGGGCGGTAATCAAGTCCTAAACTATAGGTCAAATGTAAAATTAAAAGAAGGTAACAAATAATACCGTATGTGTCCCTAACGATCTATAGCCGCCTGTCACCAAATGGTTGAGCCTCATGAGAAGAAATGGAGCACAGCGGCAAATCGTGTAAATCACCAGATACTTATAATAATAATAACCTCACACACGGCCATCTGTCTGATCCCAAACTAGGCAGAGCCTGTGCTATGGTAACCAGACTGCTGATAAACACACATATTTGCATAAGCAAAACGCAGAGTACTGATCCAAGTGATGGTATTGCAGTAGAAATACGATAATTTGGATCGTGCTCATTACATAATTATTTGACCTGGGTGGAAATCAAAACCAGGAGCTACGGCTTAGCAATCAGGGTCACTTACCACTAGTCCAATAGGCCCGTCAAGTTCAAGATTCTTCTCAGATTTTTTTCGTTGTTTTATAGAAGACTTTATGAAGACTTTTATTACAGGTGTTGAAACTTTGAGGCCGTTGTCTTCATTACTGGATGCAGTTCGACCACCGACTGGCAGAGGCTCGACTCTAGAAGTACATTCCACGCCTTTTGGTTGTGAGGTAACTTTTTTATTAGATTAGATTTTCTAACGTACGTAACTTACTAGTAAAATAAAAAAGGAAAATCAATCCAACCGAAATCTTCATAAAATATTACGAATGCTTAAAACTGTAGTGCGAAACCTCATTTTGTTCTTTTTTACAGAACTGCGATAGATATACCTACATATGTATATATTTCTTTGGACTCTCTGAAGTCTAAACTGCTTAATAGATTTTGGCGTTAGATTCATCTTAATTGTGAAAGTAACACAGAGTATAGGTATGAAAATAGTAAAAATTAAGATCTTCAGTATGTTTTTTTTGTTTTTTTTTTTTCAATAATTGGCTTGTTTATAGTGTCGTTATGGAAATTAAATGATGATACACATCCTCTTACACATAAAAATCGATGTAAGTTTACATTTTATGCCTTGCTTTTGCATACACATTGTCTTAAAAAATAAATTCCTAAACGATGGAAAAGATAAGAATACGGAATGTCACTACCCCAATTCACCCCGTAGGTGTCGTAAGAGTCGACTAAGGCCGTAAAACAACACAAGACACCAGCAATCCAAAAAGAAGGAAAACTTGACACAAACCCTGTACCAACCCGTCTGGCCAGCGTGGTATAGTAGGGCAAAACATCCTTTCTAAGGAGAGGCCTATATTCAGCAGTGCACTATTAAAGGTTGTTGATGATTGATGATGATGAAGCTAGTGTTTTCATTTTTTTTCATTGATTTCAGGTGTTTCTTAATGCAGTGACCCGAGGCTCAGTGTGTGGTGTAGTAGGCAATAGGCCATCATTGCTCCTGACTGATGCAGCTACCGCACTTGGATCTGAAGGTGGACCCGTCTTTACTGAAGGACCAAAGTAAGTAATTGTATTAAGAATAGAAATATTTTTAACACGCTTTTAATAGCTTTGTAATTAACTATGCAAATACATTTTGAAAGTCAATTCTTACTATTATATACCTACAAATTTTTGCTATTGTGTATGTTGATCTATGACTGACGATTTCAAATAGTAGTTAGTTTAGTGTTTCTTGAGTTTTTTGAGTTTACTCGGTAACCCGTCTGCTTGTTTGCCATTACACTATAAAACAGTGTGTGTGTCAGCTGGGACGCACGACTGGAGTTTACTCGTTAAGAACGATTCGGTTGCACACAAGTCTACAAGTTATACACACATATGTGAAAGGTGCGCACGCTAGGTTCCGCACAAAGAGCTTAACGAGGTCATTCGATCACTAAATTTTACTCTTCATATTTTTTCATACCGGGCGCCTTATATGAACATCGATTCATAAGAAGTAAACTCCAAAAAAAACGTTTTATGTAGTTTGGATAACAATAGAATAATTTGACATCTTGGAATTGATATGATAGTGAATGTAGAAACTTAACAGTAGAACTCTCCAGCGCTGGCTATGAAATCCTTCCAATTCGGCAACTCCAGATCTTTCGGCTTAATAACGAATGTTTAATATTGGAACCAGGAAGTGGATCGCAGGACTCTTTCAACTTTTTAATTTAGTTTTTTTTTGAAGCTTGAATAAGAAATCACTGGTTTGTGTAATGTAACGGCAACTTTTATATGTACAGCACAGGTTGTAGGCAAATGTTACATACTTACGAATTAAAACCCAAGTTTTTAATATACATTGGCGATTTATTATTTTCGAGCTTATTTGAACTTAATTACATAGCCCATAACGTCGTTATTTATTTAACTTCAAAGAGTGAGACTTCTGTACGAGTATGCTCTTATCAAAAACCAGACGATAATTTCTTATTTGTGTTACAGCAAGGAATTGATTGGCATAGTGGTCTGCAGCGTATCCTGGTGTCGCGGAGAATGGGTGGGGCTTACCCTGGTAGCTCCATTAATATCAGTACTCTCTGCCAAACTAAGGGTAGCGCCCGAGAAGCCCTCCAGACCTTTAAGTACACATCCTTTGCAAGAGGTGTTAAGTAAGTAGTTTCTTCTTAGGGCCCGTCCGCTCAGTGATATTTCACCACGAGGTTTTTATTCGAAATAATTCGCCACCGTATTCTGTTCAATTTGCATCAAATAACAGATTATTTTTTCGTTTAGTGCAGATAATCCTATAAAATCCCATGTGGCCAAAAAAATGCGTAAAATATCGCTGTGTGGATGTGCCCTAAGAGTCTTAAAAGAATGAATAACCTGAAAATGCATAGGAGATCCATGCTTTCACACACAAGGGCATGCTCGACTGGAGTGATACCAGGTCCTCACAGAAATCCAGATCTCTTTCGTTACTTTTTACTGAGTGAGTAAGATTACCAGAGGGTCAATACTAATCTCTGAGTTGAGAGTATCTTGAGTAGCAGATGTCCATGTCTTATACAATAACATAAGGTTATAAGTCCCCCATATAGGTTTTTTCAATCTGTACTCTATGAAGTATGTATTAGGTCATGTTGTCGTACAGCGCAGGTCGACGAGTGCACGGTGCTGGTGCGCTGCGGGAACGCGTGGGGCGCCGGCGTGTACCTCGGCGCGGGGTACATCGTCACGTGCGCACATGTCGTCAAGTCGGTGAGTCTACACTTCTTAGGTACTTGTAGTGTTACGTAGATTTAAGACGAAGATACTTATGTAATTTTAAATTTAATAAATTGTATTCTTCATTTTTTAATTTACTATTCTTAGTTGTGAAATTATTTTCTTTAAATTCGAATGAATATGGTGAATTATGAATCGAATATATTTGGCTAAACGCTTATGGACAACAGTCTAAAAATACGTCGACTAAAGCTCAGAATCACCCAGGATGTGCTGTGATATGAGCATATTAAATAGAATTCTTTGACTCCACGGATGGCGTAGTGGTTTTAGCGATCGCCACCCCGCTTCCTACTACGAACTAAAGGGACGACACTTTGTGTTATTCACAAATTGTCGTCCACTGAGTCTGGGTGTTCTTTGTGTCCGTTTCATGTATGTTTGAAGTCCTCCGCGACACAGGATATATTCCTAGTGCGGGAGTTGTCTTTGATAAATAAAAAAATAAGGAATTGACACTCTGCCTACAAATTATGCCCAATCCATTGCTTAATGTCCGGATAAAAACACCGATTACAGTAGTAATAATAAACAAAAAAGTAAAAATTAAAACGAAACGTATATTCTCCGCAATAAAAAAAATAGAATCGCAGTTTGTAGGTTACTAACATGAAAAATAAAACCGAAAAATGAAATACATACGAATCAAATCAAATCAATTTATTTAAGAGTTAGTCTATTACGTATTATTAAAGTATCTGTTGTTTTTTTTTCAGTACTTAAGCAACAAGCTCTCAATATACTGTCGGGGTATAAACGAAACAGCAATAGTAAGGTACAAAACGCCAGATAAAAAAGCGTATGATTTAGCTCTTTTGTTCACAAACCCTCAACGCCTCGAACACATGCAGCCCGCAAAGTTATCCAACATACCTGCAGAGAAAGGTCTGAATATTTTAATTATTTCTAAAACTGAATATTTAGAAGAATATTTATAATAGACGACCGGATGGCGTAGTGGTTTGTGCCATGGACTACTGGTTCGATTCCCGCTCAAGTCAGACATTTGTGTGCAATGTTTGATTTGGTCTGGGTGTTTCTATCTATAATGTGTATGTATTTACAAAAGAAAAGTATGTATGTATTTATGTCAGTTGTCCAGTAGCCATAGTACAAGCTCTGCTTAGTTTGGAACTAGTTGGCATTGTGTGAATGTAGTAAAAAAATATATATAAACCTTTAAAAAAACTCAGACTTCCAGGCAATTTCCAATTTCACATAACAAGTCTCCATCTTTTTTTTTCTTTTCATGATTACCTACCCTATCTTTTTAATATACCTTTTTACATTTTAAATTAAACACTAATTTAATAATTAACTAATACGTAAATTATTGTTAACCAACACCTTCGGAGATAGATGTGTGTATGTATGTCATATACTATACACATACATAATGTGTATAATATGTTTTTTTTACCGCAAATAAAATGTGAGCACAATGTAACGTTTTAAATAATTGGTTTACGGGAATTAATGCGCTCACGATAGGTGTTAAGTATATACCTTTAAAACGCCATTTTTTTCCGTGCGGAAATCCCCTCGGATACCACCTATCGGTGGCATGTCGGACTCGAACCGACTAAAACCGCACGCCGTCTCCGGTACTAATAGCCGGGGAACCAGGTATACCCTAGAAAGGAAGTCCCTGGTGCCCCGACATACCTCGGGCTATCTACAGACGAGTAGACGACCCCCCCGTGTGTGAACCCCATGTTCCCTCTGCTCTCTGGAAGCGAGCGCGCTTCGCAACGCGCTTGCCGCCACCCCGGCCTGCTTCTGCTAGGGTGACAGATGGCCTCACCTGTCACCCCCAGGATTGCGCTTATGGAGGACGGAGGTCACCTTTAAAAAAAAAACGCCTGACGTTACGACCAGATTGCACTGGACATGCTCATAGGCTGACCGTGAGCGCGTTAATTCCCGGAATCATAGTTATCTATAATGGATTGGGATAGTTCAAAAGTTAATAATTTAAGGTTTGGTTCTTAAATTATAAACTACTAGCTGTACCCTGCCACGCTTTGCTGTATTGAGGTTGCATTGATGAGAAATTAGAAACAAACCTGAAGCGAAAAATATATAAAAACCATAGCTGCCCGTGTGGTGACGGATTAAGAATACAGAGTGTCACCACCCCTATTCATCCCGTGGGTGTCGTAAGAGACGACTATGGGAGCAAACTACGCAGGGCAACAGCACTGCAGAGAGAAGGAAAACTTGACACAAACCCTATACCAACCCGTCTGGCTAGTGTGGTATAGTAGGCCAAAACCTCCTTGCTAAGGAGAGGCCTATGTCCAGCAGTAAACTAGTAAAGGCTGTTAATGGATGATGGATAGTTGGAAAAATTTGTCGTGTCAAAATTTGAGCTCAAGCGGTGAAGAACTTTTTGAGTTTTTGAAGCGTACACAAACCATACTAATATATATAGATAATACATTTCCTAACCCACAACATTTTTACGAAACGCCTTTTACCCAGCTCTAGGACCCTACAACTAAATAAAAACAGAGTATTGACTTCTGAATGTCCCTTACGTACGTTCCCGTCACTTATTTCAAAAGTTAATAATTCCAGGTGAATCAGTATTGGCAGCAGGGTTCCCTTACTACAACGAGTATGACCTGACGAACCTCATGCCGACCATCACGTCAGGCCACGTCAACACCGTGTCTCCATCCATGATTCAGACCTCCTGTTGTGTGCAATCTGGCTTCAGCGGTGGGCCCATATTTAGAATAACCAGGTATATTTATTTATTTTAGGTTTACGTACACCCTATGTTTGCAATTATTTTTGTTTAAAATAAGTTTTATTTTTCTCTAAGCAACTTGTGAGTTTAGATAACCAGCTTGCTTTTAAGGATGGCCCACCTTCCCCAAGGTTATAGCCGGCGTACGTAAGCGCGGCGTCAATTCAGGAGGGGGTCTTTAATCACATCCGGTCGTCGAGGAGGTTTTTAGTGGTACTCCAGGCTCCTACTCCTGGTTTCTGGTCCTCCGAGAGCCGACAAGGGATCTAAAAATAGTTTTTCCAACACACTACAAAACTAATATGCACTGATAACGTCTTCTCGTCCAGCAGTCCAGGTTGCTTGCACATACCCTAAAGAAGATTCCTTCCGATTCAATATAATGCGGTTAGATTGACTTCTAAAACCCTTAGCTAGAAATAGATATAAACTTATATATTTACTTTTATTTTGTAAATCTTACGCACGTGTACCTATATGTAGTTTGAATATAACTAGATTTCAAACTAGACTCTTTTTGTTCCAGACCGAAAAACGTAGTGGAAGTAATAGGAATAATAGCTATTAACGTGACAAGCGATGGCGGGGCGTGCTTCCCTTACATCAACATGGCTGTTCCCGTCACGGTGTTCAGCTCACTACTTGCTCAATACATACTAGAAAAAGGTAACGACTTGAATTTTTTTAGGAAGCAACACACACACTAAACGTACACATCCACACACACATGCACAGGGGCGTGCGCGCGCTGCGTAAGCGCACAAACAACATTAAATATATAAGAAATAAACATAATTACTTATTATATTTATTTTCAGATGAAACGAAATTGAAGGCAATAGAAAATAACAAGGAAATGATCCAGTCACAGTGGAGACTGATGCCGTACAGGTCCAAGATTTGACTAATTGACAACTTTAGGATAATTGAAAAAAATAGGTTGCGGCACTACCTTCCCTTACCCACCTACCTGGTAGACTAGGGTGGGGGAAGACCCGACGCCTGACGTACGTTATTGTACGAAATTTTTAATAATGAAAATAATACAGAAAAAATAAAAATAGTGGTTAGTGATTCTGCTAAGCCAAAGGCAAGAGATCATGAGTTCGATACCCATCCAGGACAAATATTGTATGATAAGCACAATCATTTGTTCTGTGCCGGGGTGTAATTTATCTATAATATGTACGTAATTAGGAATATATAAGTATGGTTATTTATGTGCCCGGTTGACAGTGTGTAATGGTTTCAATTAGAGATACAAAAGGTCCAAAAGAAGTCTTATCAGTGTACAAGGTGTATCTAGTGTGCAGTGTGTACCTATCTATTATTAAACAAATTCTATTATTGTAAATAAAATAAAATTTTGTAACAAATTTATATTCTTTTAATGAAATTTTCTTCCTAGCCTTCATATTTTGAAATGTAATGCAAAATGTATTATAAGATACCAAGTGACATCAAAGAATTGCCACTTAACAAATTTATAAGCATATGGTTATTACAGATCTGAAGAATGTGAAATACAAGAGAGAGATTATATTTTTTACCAGCTTTTGCCCGCTGCTCCGCCCGCATGTATGTCGGTTATCGCCGTGAAAAGTCCAAGTCAAAGTCTCTCCATGCCAAATTTCATGAAAACCGATTTAGCGGTTATTGATTTCCCATACAAACTTCCACTCCTCTTTTCACCCCCTTAAAGGATGATTTCTGTGATATCTATTTCCTTTCCCGTGACTCAATCTCTCGCTATACCAAATTTCATCTAAATCAGTTCAGCGGTCTAAGCGCGAAGAAGTAACAGACAGACAAACAAAAGGGCACACTTTCGCATTTCTAATATTAGTATGGATGGTTTAGGAGACAAACGAGCTGATGAGTCACTTGGTACTACTTGGTCACTTAAAACTCACAAGTCACAATTCCGATGCCTCCCTATTAGCCCACCCACAGCATAAGGAGGAGAGGGGTTTGGGGTTCCGGTTACTTCACTCATTCGCTGAATAGCAACGAAAAATTGGTTAGCGCTGGTTTTCTATGAGGTCGTGGTTTTACTCCGGTCGTGTCAGGCCATTGGTGCGGAAGCATGGCTCACCTACGGTAATTAGCATCATCACATCAACAACCTTTAATAGTCCACTGATGGACATAGGACACTGTGATCTCCATGGTTTCCATCCATTAAAAAGTCGAATTAACTGTTGTATTTATCATTCATTCATTAACAGCCTTACTAATAGTCATATTGTTCACTGCTGGACATAGGCCTCTCCTTAGAACGGAGGTTTAGGCCTACTATACCACCCTGGCCAGACGGCAACCCATCTGGCCAGCGTGGTATAGTAGGACTAGTATAGGGTTTGTGTCAAGTTTTCCTTCTTTTTGGAGTGCTGGTGTCCTGTGTACCTAGTTTTGCTCTTTTAGTCGGCTCTTACGACACTCGCGGGATAAATAGGGGTGGTGACATCCCGTGGTCTTAACCTGTCACCACATGGCTAATAATTCTCTATTTTTTTTATTTCACAGACACTTCCATTTCTATGCATATCGTCCTCCTTTCTACTATCTTGTAAGATAACTTTTTACTCTTTCTTCTGTTCTACAAATCTGACATTATACGTTAAAATTTGATGTCACTTTGTTAAATATTAGATTCACAGAGTACAGTAATACTATTAGAGAATTACATTAGGGCAACTCACCAAGAACAAGAAAGGAGACATTTATTATAAAATCATTTTATATACTGTAAAATGGCGCGAAAACAACAGGCAGCCATCCAAGAGACTGTTGAAAACAATGAGGACTTTGAAACTTATTTGGAGACACACAAGGATATATTAATTTGTTAGTCGCTGATTTCTAAATTTACATACATTATACAATCTCATATTCTAATCTATATTATAAATACTATCGTGATATCATCAACAACCTGTAGTAGTCCACTGCTGGACATAGGCCTCTCCTTAGAACGCAAGTTTTGGCCTACTATGGCACGCTGGCCAAACGGCTTGGTAGAGGCTTCGTGTCAAGTTTTCCTTTTATTTGCAATTCTGTTGTCCTGCGTACTTTGCTCCCTTAGTCAGCTCTTATGACACCCACGAGATGAATAGGGGTGATATTTCGTGTTTTTTTTTATGGTATAAGGGGGCAAACGAGCAGACGGGTCACCTGATGGTAAACAACTACCGCCGCCACCTGCAACTTAAAAGTCTCAAGTGCGTTGCTGCCCTTGGAGTCTCTCCCGCTCGAGTCAGCGGGAGGGGGGATTTGGGCTCCGGTAACATCACTCACTCAGTGAAAGGCAACGAAAGAATTGCTTAACACCGGTTTTCTGTGAGGCCGTGGTATCACTCCGGTCGAGCCGGCCCATTCGTGCCGAAGCCTGGCTCTCCCACGTATTTTTAATCCGTCACCACAAGGAAACACCACAAGAACATAAACATGAAACTTATTGTCGTGGAGTATCGACTCTTGAACCTATGAAAAAAGATAACAAAAATCTCTCTAATCATCATTAAAACATCGCTTGCTCATTCATATCGTGGCCGTGTCTTTGCGATGATGCGATCGCATCTAAAGTAGCTTCTAGAAACCAGAAAAAAATACATCGACTGGTTAGTTGGTCTGGCGTTTGTGATCTTGAATGCTAAGCCAGAGTTCGTGGGTTCGATTCCCACCAAATAATTGTGTGATGAGCATGATCATTTGTTCTGTGCCAGGTCGTAATTTATCTCTAATATGTACATGTTATAAGTATGTTTATTAGCAGTCTGGTTAAAATAGTAAGGGCTCTGCCTAATTTAGGATCAGAAAGCCAGTCTGTTAGCCAGAGATCTGTCCAATTGGTATATATTATAGTTATTTTATTGCACTTACAAAAACTTTTTAAATGGAATCAACTCCATTATTTAACATTAAAATTTGGATTGTAAGGTTTGGAGGTGTACTCCGAATTCTGCGGACCATGTTTGGCTACAAGTTTCGCCATCAGGAAGGGTAAAATGGAGATTGGACAAGACAAAATCGGTATGGTTAAGGTGATGTACAAAATTTTACATAAGCTGTTCTTTATGGAGCTCTAGATATACATCCTCATATCTACCAAGCAATTCTTTATACTATATAGAACTAGAGACATCAACAATTATCACATTAACAGCCTTTAATAGTCCACTGCCGGACATAGGGCTCTTAGAATGGAGGTTTTGGCCCACAATAACATGCTGGCCAGACGGCCAACCCGTCTGCCCGTATAGGGTTTGTGTCAAGTTTTCCTTCTCTCTGCAGTGCTGTTGTCTTGCGTAGTTTGCTCCCTTAGTCGGCTCTTACGACACCCACGGTCTGAATAGGGGTGGTGACACTGTAGTATTCTTAATTCGTCACCACACGGAAATTATACTAGTATTATATATAAATAAAAGTAATATATATATATAAAATATACGAGTATTATATATTTGTGTAACTTATTTTTCACTATATTAAATGAACCGAACGGTTTTACAGTCTTCTCGTCCACACCGCTTAGATTAGTTAGGTCCACGGAGCCGAGATTGTGTCCCTTGCTTAATTCATCTGAAATGATTCGTAATTCTGAATATAACTTTTTTATAAATATACTGTTGAGAAGGGGTCAGGTGTTGTGTCGCTCCAACACAAAAGGAGGATCCTCCGACGAGGTGATCATGCTTGGTGGACCATGGTTTAACGACTGAGGTTGGAAAGTTGTATATACATGTACTAATGAGCGCAAGGAGTTGCATGACTTAAAATTTAGTTTTAGAATACAACTGGCTTAAAATAGCTTTTTTTTTCAGGCTTGTGCAGACAACATTGACGCTTTATCGAGATTCAAGGGAAAAAGTGAACCAGCGTTTCTTTTTATTCGAGTAATAACCCTTTGTCATAATAAAATTATCATTAAACACCATTCCCAGGTCGCGAATAGCTAATTTGATGTAGGCGCTAAGGTTTTTTTTCTTAGTTTTTTTTCTCACATATCTTATATATATCTAAACGAGCAGACGGTAAGTGGCCACCGTTTCCCATGGCACTTATAACTAGGGATGGAATAAAATCGCAATCAGTTGCTATAAATCATATGATTTATAAATCATATCACCTCACCTGTAATTGTGTGTGTGACTGCGATTTACAAAGCACTGCAAATTGACTTTGACTGCACGGATGGCGTAGATGGTTTAAGCGAAAACGGCGTGGCGACCCACGCCGTTTTCAACTGCGCCGAGTGTTGTGGATTCGATCCCCACATGGGACAACACTTTGTGTGATTCACAAATTGTTGTTCTGAGTCTGGGTGTTCTTTGTGTCCGTTTCATGTATGTTTGTAAAGTGTAAAGTCCCCCGCGACACAATATATTCCTAATTAGTAAGTAAATTATCTTTAAAAAAATTTAAAATACCGGTCAGGTACGAGTCGAACTTGTGCGCCGAGGGTTCCGTACCTACCCAGATTTTACACAAGTAAAGAGAAAATTTTGGAAAATAAAAAAAAATGAAAATTAAGGTAAATTTTGGTTCTTACAAGTTTTCGTGAAAATCGAAATTTTCCCATATCTTTTTATCGTGTTGAATCAGGACCTTGATTTTTATACACCCAATAGGGACCATAGACCTCAGTATCTGGTATAAATTTCAATTTGCTAGTTCTACCCGTTTTTGAGAAAATCGGTGGTGACACACGGACAGACGGATAAGAAAGTGATCTTATAAGGGTTCCTTTTTTTACCTTTTATGTATGGAATTCAAAACTGAAGAAGTCAATCATCCATCAGTTTCTCTTTCACTTGCGTAAGCTAATACAGTAATATTTTGCTTCCTTAGGACCACAAGCTACTTCGAGCTGTTTTCGGAGCAAATGGTATTGAACTATGTCGTGTTATAGAGGAGGAACTCAAATTTATGGATGAAGAGTTTAAAACAGGCGGCTCAACGAGACACAAGTATGAGATTAGTGACCATTTGCCAGAAGAAGAGGTATTTCAAATTCTTTATTTCATTCAATTCAAATCAATGATACCGTTTTGGAATTAAGAAATGTAGGGATAAATCGTACGGACCTAAAGCCTAGTTGTCCTCAAGAGTCATAGAGTTCATATTACAATGGTATATGGCTCACGTATACCTAGTTCCATATTTTCTCCGGTGATGGATTAAGAATACGGAATGTCACCAATCCTAGTCATCCCGTGGGTGTCGTAAGAGCCAAATAAGGGAGCAAACTGCGCAGCACAACAGCAAAAAGAAGGAAAACTTAACACAAACCCTATACCAACTCGTTTGGCCAGCGTGGTATAGTAGGCCAAAATCTCCGTTCTAAGGAGAGGCCTATGTCCAGCAGTGGACTATGAAAGGCTGTTGATGATGATGATGAAATCATTTCTACCTGGCACCTTCTCGGAACGATGGTGATTGGTGACCATTAGACTAATACGCTAATTCTAACTGTACAACACCTATCGCAAAAATAGATTATTTTTTTTATCTAAATTAGCTTCTAATACAAGGTAATGGTTCTTAACACATTAATATGATTTAATTCCATTTTGTGTAGATTCAAAAATCTCTATTCGCCAAACCCATATCAATAAATAAATAAATATTTTCGGACATCTGACTCACAACGCCATCTAGTTTGAAAGCTTTACTACTTTTTTGTAAATACGAGGGGTGATCAATAAGTAATGATAATCGAGTATTTCTAGAACGCACAAAAACCCAAATTATTTTTTTTCTGCTTGCTTATATATCCACTACTTCAGCTTCAAAAAAATGTATAAATAGGACACCATTACCGGGAGATACATTCATTTGAATACGAACTGTCGAAGAGAAAACATCAAAATGGAGAAAAATGAAATAAGAGCTGTCATCAAGTATCTCTGCCTGAAAAAAATGTCTACCAAAGACATACACAGCGACTTAGAGGAAACATTGGGGGAGTCTGCTCCTCCATATTCCACAGTCGCACGCTGGGCAAAGGAATTTAAGCTGGGCAGAACCTCCACTGAAGATGAACATCGCGAGGGACGCCCTTCCACGTCCCTTACTGGAGAAAACGTCAAAAAAGTGGAAGATATCGTGTTGGCCGATCGAAGGGTGACCGTAAGGCATGTAGCTGAGGTCACAGGGATCTCCTAGGGCAGCGTTCAAAAAATCATTGTCAACAAAATGCATATGAAAAAGGTCTCTGCGCGTTGGGTACCGAGAATGTTAATCGACGAGCAAAAAAAGAAACGAGTCGACATTTCGAGGGTGAATCTTCAAAAGTTCCAGGCCGATAAATAATTTTTTTTGTCGCGTTTTGTGACCATGGACGAGACCTGGATCCACCACTTTGATCCCGAAACCAAACAACAATCAATGACTTGGAAACGAGCTTCCTCACCAACGCCGAAGAAATTCAAAGTGTCAAGTTCAGCGGGAAAGGTTATGGCGTCTGTTTTCTGGGATGCAGAAGGAATTATTATGGTGGAATATTTGGAAAAGGGGGCCACTATAACAGGCTCTTACTACGCAGGCCAAATAAGAAGATTGCGAGAAGCTATTAAGTCAAAAAGACGCGGTAAACTGCGCGCTGGAGTGCTGTTTCACCAAGACAACGCCCCGGCTCACAAAGCCGCAGTTGCGATGGCTGCCATTGAAGAAACGGGGTTCGAACTGTTCGAACACCCTCCCTATTCGCCAGATCTAGCTCCCAGTGACTTCTACCTCTTTCCTCGGCTCAAAGAACACCTCCGGGGCAACAAATTTGAGGACAATAGTGAAGTGATGGCCGCAGTAGAGGCATTTTGGGAGGGTCAAGACAAAGAATTTTTTTCTAAGGGAATCATGGGCTTAGAAAAAAGATACACTAAATGTATTAACTTGCAAGGAGACTATGTTGAAAAATAATATACTTTTTTTAATCTAATAGTTCTGTTCCATATTGATTATCATTACTTATTGATCACCCCTCGTACATACCTGTTATACATGGGAAACACCCAAACGAGATCCCAATTTTGTAATTGTAAATGTTTCAGATAAAATTGAAAGAAATCATACGACTTGAAGAAGAGTACCGTGAGAATTCAGAGAGACTGCGTGTATTGACTCTTGCTGCTCGTAAGAAAAGAGTGAACGAACGTCTCTCTCGGCATATAAAACGATTAAACTTCATCTTATTCTGGCCGAGCTGCCATCAGGCCCATTACGATTTGTACGAGAAATGGGACATGATCAGTTAGTGAAATTATTATTACTGTAATAGCTTTTTCCCATGACTCCACCGGCTTGTATCGCAGTAAAAATTTGCCTATACCTTTCCTCGAGCATCAAAGTATGTCCACACCAAATTTCATCTAAATCGTTTCAGCAGTTATGATGCCCATAGAAACTTACACCTCCTTTTCAACCATTTAAAGGATTTTGACTGCACGGATGGCGGAGTGGTTTAAGCGGTCGCCACGCCGCTTCCTACTACGCCGAGTGTTGTGGGTTCAAACCCCACATGGGACGTCACTTTGTGTGATCCACAAATTGTTGTTCTGAGTCTGGGTGTTCTTTGTGTCCGTTTCATGTATGTTTGTAAAGTCCCCCGCGACACAGGATATATATTCCTAATGCGGGAGTTGTCTTTTACTAAAACGAAACGAAAAACGATTTATTGAATAAAAACTATGTACCCTATGTCCTTTCCCGGGACTCGGACTATCTCTATACCAAATTTCATCTAAATCGGTTCAGTGGTTTAAGCTTAAGTTTGAAGAGGTAACAGACAGTCAGGCAGAAAGACAGACAGACAGACATACTTTCGCATTTATAATATTAGTATGGATATTCGTAAAGAGGTAGGCAGGTTGACTGTTGCTAGAATTTTGCCGCCATTTAACTATACACTACACGCTTTCAATACGTCTATCTGATAGATTATGATGAAACAATGCTATGAAAAAATATTCAGTATCTCTGCTAACACATTCTGTCTGTCTATTGTCCTACCTATAATATAATCTATATCAGGATTTCGTATGGTGACGGATTAAGAATACAAATTGTCACCACCCCAATTCATCCCGTGGGTGTCGTAAGAGCCGACTAAGGGAGCAAACTACGCAGGACAACGGCACTGCAAAGAGAAGGAAAACTTGAAACAAACCCTATACCAACCCGTCTGGCCAGCGTGGTATAGTAGGCCAAAACCTCCTTTCTAAGGAGAGGCCTATGTCCAGCAGTGGACTAGTATAGGCTGTTGATGATATCAGGATTAATATAATGATCACCAAAAAATTATTTGCAGTCCTAAACAAAAATAGTCTAAAATTACAATAGTTCTAGCTGTTTTAGTGTGTGTTTCTATTATTTTCGGGGTTAACTATGATTTAAAAATAATATTATTTTTTTGGTTACATTAAATTATGTTTTAATTTTGGTGATCAATTGCTATTTTTAGCAGCATAAAATGTTTTTTGACGTGATATTTTACTAAATATGGTGGTAAGTTTAAGATAAGCCATCTATATTTCTACATCTACAGTACGCTTGCAATTACAGAGCTTAGGCAAGTACATCGTCGATTGACACTACCAGCTGTTTACACTGCGGTATGAATCACAGTCTGTACCTGTGTGAACCTCCTCACCTCAAGCCCCGACTGCATACAACTCGCTTACCTACTGTATACTGCATCTATTATTGTCTATGTCAATATATATATCATTTCAGACGTCCAGGTGGCAGCGAAGGAAACTTTTCAGTTAACTGAGGAAGACGCCAGGGAGGCAATGTACATGAGCGATGTGGATCTTAACGACGCTTGTCTCTACGAGCTACTTAAAGGAGAAATCCTCGTTGTACTCTTCAAGATGTTGGACACTGATATGAGGGATTTTATTCGTGAGTTAATATAAGTAATAATTAAAATAACCTTACACATCTTATACCTACACGGCCGTCTGAAAACAAACTAGGCAGAGCCTGTACTATGGTCACCAGATTGCCCATAAACAATCCTATATATTTCTAAATATATAAGTTTGTTGTATAAATATTATAAATAAATTAGAACCAGACATAGAACACATAATTAATCGTTCTTATTGAACAATATTGATTTAGGATGGGAGTCGACGGGCACGCCGTCATCGCGGCGGTAAGACCCGTTATGGAGGATTGGCTCGAGAGGCGTCACGGGACCCTCTCATACCGATTGACGCAGGTGATCACTGGGAAGGGATGTTTCGGAGATCACCTGTGTCTGATCCGCAAGGAGCCAACGCCTGAGTGCCACCACTGCGATGGCCAGACCGTGGACACGGCTCTCCACACGCTGGCAGAGTGCCCGGCGTGGGTTGAGCAGAGGCGAGACCTCGTGGCGGCCATCGGAGTGGGAGTTCTCTCGCTCGATAGCCTGATTGCGACTATCGTGCGGAGCGAGAGTGCGTGGAACACTGCCGTCTCCTTCTGCGAGCAAGTTATGCTCGCGAAGGAGACGGCGGAGCGGGACCGGGAGAGGTTTAGAACTCTCCCGGCCCGGGAACGGGCCAGGTACCGCAGGCGACTCAGGCGCCGGAGGTCGCAGAACGACCTCCGCCCTCCATAAGCGCAGGCCTGGGGGTGACAGGTGAGGCCATCTGTCACCCTAGCAGAAGCAGGCCGGGGTGGCGGCGAGCGCGTTGCGAAGCGCGGTCGCTTCCAGGGAGCACAGGGAACATGGGGTTCCCACACGGGGGGGGGGGGGTCGTCTACTCGTCTGTAGATGACCCGAGGTATGTCGGGGCACCAGGGACTTCCTTTCTAGGGTATACCTGGTTCCCCGGCTATTAGTACCCGGCGACGGCGTGCGGTTTTAGTCGGTTCGTGTCCGACATGCCACCGACAGGTGGTATCCGAGGGGATTTCCGCACGGAAAAAAAAAAAAAAGGATGGGAGTCGAACCCACGACCTCTTGTTCAGCAGTCACAGTCTCTGACCACTAGATCAATAAGCCAGTCTGGCCAGGCCAATATCTACTGTAATACATAAATCAAGAAGTTTGAAATACAAAACGAGCTTAATTTTAGCTTAAATTTGAGCTTAAGTTTTTCATCTGCGGCAAATTTTGGATTAAGAATTTCTAGCTCACAGATTCAACGATAAAGACACCACATCACTGACCCGACAAGCCTTTTCATTCTCGACGATACAATTATGTTACTTTGGCAGTTCTAATTTGAAACCCTGAACAATGTGATTTTATGTGCCTAGAACTAATGCGGTATGCGTTATACGAAGAGATTCCTATTCCTAAGGAAGACGTTCCTCCAGAGAAACAGATCCCACCAATTCCTGCGTACGAACGATACGCGAGCATAAGTAAAACGGCGAGAGAAGTGCGACGCGACAGATACAATATTAAGTTGGCGATAATCGTAAGAAATTATTTTAATTATCCAAAAGTGTTTGTGTACTTACGAAACCTTTCCAAGCATTCAAACAATAGATATAAAGAGTATCCATCCACATGCCATCGAACCCTCTCAGTATCTTCTAGAGTTTAAAACCTTTTTTTCTGACTTTAATAGGTTCAATTGGTGATACACCTTGTTTGCAAAGCTGTTAGTTTGTGGTAATTTAGCATCATTTTATCAGGCAAAAGAGAAAGAAGAGGCTGATCGTCTAGCAGCTGAGCAAGCTCGCTTAGCTAGAGAAGCAGCAGAAGATGCTGCAAGGTTAGAGAAGCAACGCAAGGAGGAGGAAAAGATGGCCAGAATTCAGGCAGGGGTATGTTAAATTTTATTTTTACAATAAACGTAGCTAGTAGTCCAAATCACAATTTAAACAAACCGATCCCGCCAATAACCTGATGAATAATTGAATGCTCTACAGCCGTGCTACATGCACATAATTGTTATATATTACCGAATAATAGAATGCGTGGCAGAAGTCGAGAGAGAGATTAAAATAAAGATTCAGGACAAGTTATGGCTGACAATTTCATCTATAAATGGATAATATTTATTTGTAAAAATCTTTTTGTATCATTTTATTGTTACACTGGATGAAAAAAAAATAAAAAATGTTTATTACCATATAAGAAATACAACGTGACAACAGTGTCCTGTGGCCCCACACTAGGCAAGCATGTCCTGTGGGTACCCAATTTAGTTAACACATTTAATTTTACATTGTTAGCTCGGACAACATTTTATAAGAGGTTCAACGTTTAGATTAAGCTTACATTAAAACAATTTTATTAACTACATGCTAAGTTAATTATTGTTTGGTAAATACAAATAGATATTTATACAAAGCAAAAGTGCGTTATGAGTAAGTATATAAGGTTCTATATATGTTCATTTTATGATATGATGATGTGGATTAATTTATATATGTATATAATTAATTTCAACATATAAAGTAAATAAGATAGGTGTATATAAGTGTGTATAATATATATATATATATATATATATATGCATTACAATAAGGGTAACAAAATACTCTCTGTTGAGTCGTAGGATAGAGAGGTGAGCCACCTAATTATTTTCATTTTTACCTCTCTTACAGAACATTTCGGATAAGTAATTAAAGGCTCTTAAAATCACAATTATTATTATCTTTAAGCCATTGTCTTTAATCGAACCAAAACTCACTCTAGATATTTTCAGACTTTTACGCATCTTCTTCTACTAATTTTTATTTTTTTTGTTGACGGGGTGGAAAATCCCTTCGGATCTCCTGCTCCTCGGTTACTCAGGAGCTAGGAGTATGTGGTGATTCCACTAAAAACCACGGCTGGCCTCAGGTTTCCTACTCTGGGGAGGACCCGGACCATGTTATTTCAGGTCCTCTTCTACTAAGGTCTTGCAAATTCGCGACATTCTTCATAATTTATGATAGAAATTATTGAAATGGTCACCTTCTAGTTTACTTTATCTTTCAGTCAAAACTAAGCCTTAAGACTTAAAATACTTAACAAATTTATTTCTGATGGTGATATTTTTTTCAATATTTTATCTCTGTACGCATCGCAATAGAATTATAAATGATTTCATCACATTTACTTTATCACAATTACTTTAGTTAAAATAATAACCGTATTTTTAATAATGATTTGATAGTTACCGGCTGAGGAAGAAGAGGAACCGCCCCCCGAAGACGTGGAAGGCGAAGAAACAGAGAAGGTAGAAGGAGAAGAAGTTGAACCAGAGGTCAAGGTATTTACCTAACGTTCGATTGGAGCATTAAATCAAGTCATATTTATGATTTGGCGATGCTTTTAAGTGTCCCTTCAGTTATCTTTTTTTTATGTTTGTTACCTTAGAACTCTATCACTTTGACGACCGGATGGGGTAGTGGTTTGTGTAACGGACTGCTATTCCAAAGGTCGCGGGTTCGATTCCCGCTCAAGTCAAACATTTGTGTGAATGAACATTTGATGTTTGATTTGGTCTGGGTGTTTCTATGTATAATATAAATAGATAGATAGATAGATAACTCTTTATTTGCACACTAAATTACAGAGTTTCAAGAAAGGAACACAACGATCAAATATCGAGTGTACAAAGGGCGGCCTTATTGCTAAATGCAATTTCTTCCAGGCAATATGTATATATTTACAAAAAAAAAAGTATATATGTATTTATATCAGTTGTCTAGTACCCATAGTACAAGCTCTGCTTAGTTTGGGACTAGATGGCGTTGTGTGTATGTGGTAGAATATTATATTATATTATTATATTATATTATTATGAACCTATTAAGTTTTTTTTTGTATACCGTACTATCGTTACACTGACAGGACTATTGTCGTCAATATACCTGATATGATGGTGATAGACCGATTAGAGCACTCAGTAATTATTTTTGTCATCACGATTCCTTATGACGACGTCGTCAACTGAGAAAAGAAAACAAATAAAGTACCTCACCAGCCCATGAATTGATTGCGAAGAGCCTCGACCAACGCCTTCAGACGCTCATATTATGCAGCAGCAGCAGCAGTTTTCTGTCGCCTAGAACCCTAACAACCGATAGCTTCCCTAACCACTTTTATTGCGCGATGCAGGATTAGTAGTTATTCCTTAATTCGGTGTGTCTTCGTTAGATGGCGCTGTAGTATGTTTTTGTATCATTGTAGGTGGAAGTCGCCAGAGTACAATTAGTATTAATAATTCCCTGACTTCTATGCTGGTATAAACTGTGTTGCAAGAGTCAGCATTTTCCCTATCATTCACAGTACCTATTATTTCCATAAACAATACATAAAATTATGCTTAATCCTGAATGCAGTGCTACAGACAGAATTGTAACTTCCATTTTAGGAAGAAGAAGAAGAAGAAGTATTCCAGTCGGACGTAGAGGTCGAGGGTGAAGAGTACATTCCTCCCGGAGGGTTGTTCGTTCCGGGTCTATATTCACCCCCCAATGAACTCGCCAAGGCTAACGGATTGAGTTTATTCTACCCGAAGGTATTAAACTATTTAATGGTCAACCTAACTCCTCGTCCGTGTGTTGACGGATTAACAATACAGAGTGTCACTACCCCTATTCATTCCGTGGATGTCGTAAGAGGCGACTAAGGGAGCAAACTACGCAGGTCAACAGCACTGCAGAGAGAAGGAAAACTTGACACAAACCCTATACCAACCCGTCTGGCCAGCGTTTTGTAGTAGACCAAAACCTCCTTTCTAAGGAGAGGCCTATGTCCAGCATTGGACTGTTATAGGCTGTTGATTGATGAACTCCTTCTATTCGACTTTTGTTAAACTGGATTCTTATCCAGTTTTTTTATTGTGATGTGGTTGGATCGTAATCATTTATTTTTGGTTAGATACCCTGACTGCTAAGCCGGAGGTCGTGGGTTCGATTCCAACCAGGACAAATAATTTGTAATGAGCATGATCATTTGTCCTGTCTAATTTATCTATGATATGGATGTATTTAGAAATATATAAGTATATTTATCAGCAGTCTACCGCAGGCTCTGCCTAGTTTGGGATGAGACTATCATGTGTGAGATGTGTGAAGTTATTATTATTATTTCGATATCAGATCCAGTCTAGTATACTTTGAATATACAGAACGTTACAATAAAGTTATATGCGCCAAAATACTCGATTTAACTTTAAATTAAAGAAGTGAACCTCACAGTAGTCACATGTGATGCTTAACATCTGTGATCTGACTGACAAATCTAGCAACGCACGCTCATTGGTCAAATCAAATCTAGCAACGCGCATGCTTATTGGTCAAATCAAATCTAGCAACGCGCACCCTCATTGGTCAAATCAAATCTAGGAACGTGCGCGCCCAGTGGTCAAATCAAATAGCGCGCGCTTTGGTATCTGTTACATCCGTCCCTTTTTACAAAATCAATGAAACAGATTGCAGGAAAGCGAAAGTAAAAATGTTACACATCCAAATAACAACAATAAGACTTCAATAATACTTTCGGATAACACTTCAATGTTGTATTGTTGCACATATCTGTACAACATTTTTTGTATTAAGCAGTTTAATACATGCTAACAATCTTGACTGCTTTCTACTGCCTTGAGTATTGTGGGTTCGATCCCCACATGAAACCACACCTTGACAGATCTACAAATTGTTATTGTATTGTGTCTTAGTGGACACCCAGACTTACAATAACAATTTGTGTCCGTTTCATGTGTGTCTGTAAAGTCCTCTGCGATACAGGATATATTCCTAGTTCGAGAGTTGGCTTTTAAAAAAAAATGATCTTACTAAGTATTAACTTAATCGATCACTTTTCAACTTTAATATCTCAGTTTCAAAATGGAATTTCTGATGACGTTTTTTTTATATTATTTACATTGTCTATTTTGAAATTTGACCTACCCCATTATATTGCAGGCAGTGCTAGAGTTGGCACAAACGATTGAAACCGAATTTCTGCCCCCACATGTGCTCATCATGTTCCCGATCGATAAACGACATGATATAAAGGAAGTCATGGACCAATATGCTTCGGAAATACTTAACGTAAGTGTTGCCATACAGTGATATATAGAGTAAATGTTTACCCATACAGGTAAACCTTAAATTAGTTTAGTGTTCCGTTCCTCACAACGTAAAAGGCATCCGTTTCAAGACCACTTCGTTATCTATATGTCTAATTGACTGTCAAGGCAGGAAACTGCAAAGCTGGAAAAAAAACAAGTAAACAGAATCGATACCCGGAATAGACTTACCATCTATATAATATATTGTTTGCTTACGGAATATAAAGAGCGCGACTCAGACTCGCATTTGTTTGTTTTTCTTATAAACTAGTATAGTAGTGTCGCATGATGCGTTTGAAAGCGCGCCTTCGCTTCGACACCCGGTTAGCCGGCCTCGAATCGGGTCCAAGCTGGGATCTTCCTCCCGGGCCCTCTCTTCACGTGATTAACCTTTACCAAGCAAGCTATAAGAGCGGTATTAGAAATAAAACTCTAGGTGGTAGTCTATGGGGTGGGTCTATCCTTTAGTGAAATCCAGCCACAATCATGAAGATCAATTCTGGTAATAAAAATTCAATCAAAAATTCAGTGCCGATCTACTCTCGTTTTCACGAATCTCATGAAAGGTATTCTCGTAGTAAAGTATTAGACATTCAACGTTGACTGTAATGTGATTATACTGATTATCTCATGTTGTGACCGAAAGTTAAATCGGTATTCTGCTATATTTAGTAATACTTTACAACGAGAATACCTTTTATAACATTTGTGAGATCGAGAGTAGACGACGATGAACTGAATTTTGAGCGAATTTTTATTACAAGAATTTACCCTCTAGTGGTTATGCAAAACTATATTTAATATTCCAGATAGGGTTTTTCGTGGGTGACGATCCGTACAACGCGGAACATATTGCGTTTACTATGAAACAATACGACAAATTGGTTCGCAAGAAGAAACAGTACGTACTTTCATATATCTAATTTTCTATATATGATTGTCTGGTCATGCGAAGGATGAGGAAAATGTGGCGAAGAAAGTGTTAGGAATAGGAGTTGAAGGGAACAAAAGAAGAGGAAGAGTAAGGAAAGGTGGAAGGATTGTGTGAAAGAAAATATGCCTAGGAAGGGCGTAAACAGTGAAATGACGAATTATAAAGAAGAATCAAAGAATAATACATACTGCGCCGACATCCGAAATAAGTCTCATAGATTACTGGAGAAGAAAGATGTTACACATAAAAAACTAGTTACTGACGGCGTTCAGAAGGCCCAGTGTGAGTTTATTTTACATCTATGTTTGGGGTGCAATTGGAGGTTTTAAAAGGTTGTAACTTAATGATATAAAATGTTTATTGTTATATAAACTACTCTAAATGTTTACAAAACACGATGATACCAAACTATGTTAAATGTATTAAATGTTACTAAAGTTAATGGGAAATGTTAATATGTAATGTTTATATGTTTATAATAGATTTAAAATGTTAATATGTTATTGTTATGAATGCACCCGGTCGCAACGGTTCCGAAAGGTACACTGTTTTATTTTACAGAATTTTGTCATTATGTATAATGCGTCGCGGCCTGACCGGATTCAATTCACGTGTTCGATGTCAGCAATAATAATAATTAATAAATACATCGAACATCTTGCCCAGGGCAGGGCAGAGAGATGAGAGCATGAATTTACAAACAAATGTAGGTGTGAGGTGTAGGTGTACAACAATCTACTCGCTCTCGTCAGCGGGCACGTTCGGCGTTGCCATTGGTGAAGCTAACAGCGTGGGCCAATGGCAACCCCGAACGCAGTCACCGTGACGATCGAGTAGATATGAAATAAACTCACACAAGGACTTAGCAGCTTTTTTTATCAAAACATATATGTATTTAGCAATATTTAAGTATGTTTATCAACAGTCTGATTACCGTAGTACAGGCTCTGTCTTGTTTCGCAATAAAGATGTGTCAAGTTATTATTCTTACGTATATTCTTCTAGTTTAGACCGGATGGCAGTTATGGTGTCCCGAAAACGGAGTTTGCCAATGCTCCAATTGGCTGTATTTAATCCGGTTTACATCAGCGCTGACGTAGTTTCTGGCGAGAAGGAATGCCTTACTCTGTTCCCCGTAGGGTACGGAGACGACTATGAAGACGAAGAAAGTGTACACGAAGAAGAAGTTGTGGTACATTTTCTCGCTTTTCTTTTGTTTTATTGGATTAAGTGATTGACGTCCTTGTAGTCAGCCTCAGCCTAATAAAATCAAATTTCTCCAAATTGGGTTTAGCTTTTGTAGCATTCGGAAGCGAGACTGGGAAACTTTCTTTTATTTGGGAAAGTATATTTCAGATAGTTGTGTTGGAAAGCTGCTTGTGGAAGAAGTGCAGCCCTGAACGTGACGAAACTGCTGTCGAATGATTCGTTTCGGCTTATTCAATATATAAATAACACGAGAAAACAGAGAAAAACTGTTTTCTCATAATGAACAATTGTCTTTATTTTTGACTTGCTGGTACCGCACACTTTGTACGCGTGGAATTTGAAAAACGCTGCCTGAGTAGTGTAGTACGGTACGCGACTGCAATCCATAAGGCCTCGGGTTCAACTCCCGGACCGGGCAAAATTTTATACGATTTTTCTAAGAGGAAAAACCCCTAAGTTACTTCTTATTTAGACAGCTACCTAGTAGTAAAATATTATCAACATCGGTCCAGCCGTTTTGATGATTTCCCGGAACAAACAGACAGACAGAAATACTTAAACTAGTTTTTAGGCGTAGGTATCGTGCAAATAACCGTATGAGCATGAGAAAACCTATTATTTTGACATTACAAACAGACACTTCAATTTTATTTATTTGATTTCATTTTTTTTCCTAAACCATAGGTGCATTATGTATTATATATGTATCATGGTACGCCATGGTAAAGCCTACGTGATAACAGTTCAATTAAATAAAGCAAAACACGAATCGTGGTCAAAATTCGACTATCAAATTACTTCTAGTATTAATAAAACTTATTTTTTTGCCGTAAACATTTAATGAGGCGAAAATAAACAGGATATTTATTTCAGCTATGTTAAAGCCTTTCAGTCTATTCAAGTAAATAATAGTGTTTATTCTCACTTTATTTTTTATATTTTACAGGTTAAAATAGAAGAACCTCCACCAGCAGAGGTAAGCACTGTATTTTTTATCGTTTTCAAAGTGTTTGAAATTGCCTAGCTATCTCACCATAGCTAAAGCATTACTACGTCAACACTAATGTTTCATCCTGAATTAATATTTATATGGAATGCGTCGAGTTAAAACTGTGTTTACAGGTCGAGGAGGTTGAAGAACTGCCGCCTGAAAACGAAGATCAGGAGGATGAAGATTAATTAATATTTTGAATAGCCTACTTTATAAGAAAAGGGAATACCTTTTTAAGCCTTGAAGAAAGAGATGTTTGAGTTTTGAATTATTTTAGGTTTTAATTTATTAGTAAAAAAAAAAAAAAATATATATATTTTTTTTTTTTTCTTTAAAAAAGACAACGCCCGCATTAGGAATAAATCCTGTGTCGCGGGGGACTTTACAAACATACATGAAACGGACACAAAGAACACCCAGACTCAGAACAACAATTTGTGGATCACACAAAGTGTCGTCCCATGTGGGGTTTGAACCCACAACACTCGGCGCAGTAGGAAGCGGCGTGGCGACCACTTAAACCACTGCGCCATCTGTGCAGTCAAAATTCATATCCTGTTGTTCTAATTAAAAGTCTAGCGGTGGTTTGCTGGTGCAGAATGCCACGCAAATTATACTACAAACAAGATCTTACTCTTATGCAGACTTCCCCATCTTATCATGGTTTCTAAAGTTTATAGGAATCATTACTAGTCTTAACCACTCTTTCCACTTGAATCCACTGACTCAGTCCCCCATATTTTTTTTTATGTTAGAGGGGGCAGACGAGCAGACGGGTCACCTGATGGAAATGCCGTAATATCACCGCCCATGAATGGTTGCTACTCAGGAGTCACAAACGCGTTGCCGGCCTTTTAGGAAGGAGTACGCTTTTTCTTAAAGGTTTGAAGGTCGTATAACCCGTTCCACAGATTGGTTGTACGAGGCAAAGTGTCTCGAAAAGCGCACAGTAGTGGAGCGCCAACAATCCAGGTAATGAGGATTAAAATTTTGCCGTGTGGAACGATGGCGGAAATTTGCGGCTGCGACCTGTCCCAAATATACACCTGCCACACACAGCTTTGCAACACCCAAAGGTTTGACTGGAAGAAAATGCCTGAGGCATTAAGTCCGCCTTATGCAATATGTTTGCAGGAAGACTCAATAAATAAATAAATATGCCACTTGATATTCCACTTCGATCCCGAACAAGTACCAATAAGTACCTGGGGGATTGAGTCAGGAGACTGAAGTGGAAAGATCGCTATATTATCTACTTTAGTAGAGGCTCAAGGTGAAGGCTATCGGCGGGACCTTGCTAACCCATAGTGTAGTATACCATACTGTACAGTAACCCATACTGTACTGTTGTTTTTATTCCTGAGCTCTGCATTCTGCTCGCGTGTCTTCCGTAGATGAGGTACCACATACTTCATCTAAAGGTCTGATCGTGGGAGAGCCAATCTTCGACACAAATGGACTTTCGTTGATTTTCACCGAGTGAGTCAGGACTCCAACCCTTTCCCCCATCGGTGACAAGTTTGGTCGTTGTCCCCCTTCATACCATTAAAGGTCACGCTGGTTGCAATAAAACGTAATCTTTTCGAGTTTTTTATTTGTTATCATATTTTTGTTTTAACCAAAAAAATAAATACATCACACAGGAAGTTATACATCTGCTGCCTTCCGACTATAGTTTTCTAATATATTTTATAATTCTGGTCACCACAGCATGTCCTATCAGATCTGCAGGCTTTTTCACATTCGTACTTCCTTATGAATCTGTTTTCGTTGCCGCCACAACCGGAATAATTAAAGCGTTCACACTGCTCAGTCCAAGAATTGTATCCATATCTGGAAATAAAATACAGTGTTTACTATGAACGCAAAACCAAATGGATCAATTCTTTGAACTTTATTAAATTTTTTGGAGATCCTCAATAGATGGCGTTGTACTGGCTTTCTAAATCGCGGTATGGTTACGTTACCGTTATGTACTTAAACATAATATTTTTGTAAATATATTGTCGATCAAGATCGGAATACAGTGCAGTGGATACTTTTCTTAAACCCTGTACTGCTCTCATTTAGTACACCCACCGGTCGACCGCAGATCAATCAATCAATCAATCAATCAATCAGTTTTTATTGTGAAACATAGGTATACAAAGGTTGTTTACAGTGGTAGAATGATCTACTATGGTATACAAAGGTTGTTTACAGTGGTAGAATGATCGTGACAATTAGGGGCGCGGCGGCGTGTCAAATACATAGGAATTGGCGTTTCATTCGTTTTTTATTTTTTTTATTGCGTTCCTTTTCTTCAAACAGGTAAATGTATTATTATTGTGTATTTGCTTCTTTAGGGAACAATCATACCAATATCTACACAGCACCATTTATTTATTTATTTATTTATTTATTTTTTTAGGGATAACAACAGCTGCAATTCTTAACTAGGTAGTAAACTATGATTACATGAGTAGCCAATAAAAGTTATCCACGGTAGATAAGAGTGGATGAATATGCTAACAACAATACATAATATTAAAACTGATTGGTAAACCTTGAAAAGATGGGTGAATAGATGTAAAATATGAAATATAATAAATAACTGAAATAAATAACACATACTAATATATATAAATATGGGAGAAAAATTTAATTGAATAAATACATTAATTTTTTTTATATCATCTAGAAACCTATAAATCCAGCCATTCAGTGCAATGATGTTGACATTTTAGAAAGCCTATGATGATAGTAATTTAAGCGAAACTCGTTTTTTGAAATTATCCTTAGAACCGATGAATATGTCCACACTATTAAAGTGTTCATTATAAGAGTCGAGTAAACGTGATATTACACCATTTCTACCATAATTAGTCGAGTGAAATGAAGTGCAAAATAGTGTAGTGTGTCTAGTGCGTTTCTTGGGTACATTAAACTTAATATTATTTAAAAGCATAGGACAATCGATCCGTCCTCGCAAAATGTCATAGAGTAAACCCATATCCATCAGAATACGCCTTTCCTCGAGAGTTAGTAGATTGTAAATACGACAATTTTCTCTGTAATCATGAAAGCTGTGACGAAATTTAAAATTAAGGTGATCTATAAACTTTTTCTGAATGCGCTCCAGACTGCCTTTGTGTATCGCATAACAGGGAGACCATATCTGACAACCGTATTCCAGTAAACTACGAACAAAAGCAATATAAACAACACTTAAGCTCAACAAACTCTTGAAAGGTAGGCAAGATCTTAGGACAAAACCGAGATTGCGAAATGATCTGCTGCATATAGCATCAATGTGCTGCCGCATGGACATCTCCGAGTCCAAAAGTATACCCAGGTCTCGCACAACCTTGACCCTCTCGATTGCAACGCCGTTAAAACTGTATTGGTAAATGATAGGATATCTTTTACGGGTAAAGGATATACTTTGACATTTTTTGATGCTAACCGTGATATTATTTTTAGCGTAGTACCTGAATAAAGAGTCGAGATCCTCTTGAAGCAGGACACAGTCAGATAAGGAGTTGATGGATGTGTAAATCTTTTTGTCATCAGCGTAGAGTATGTAATGTGAGTGCTTGATGTGGTAAATTATGTCAAAAATATAGGCGTTATAGAAGAGAGGGCCAAGATGCGATCCCTGGGGAACGCCAGAGGAAATAGATACAAAGTCAGACTTAAACCCACCCAATACAACAGCCTGAGAGCGATTAGTTAGGTACGATTCAACCCACCTAAGTAGGTCACCGTGAATACCTAATGCGTACAGCTTACGTAACAGGATGCCGTGGTCTACACGGTCGAAGGCCTTTTCAAAATCTGTGTAGACCACGTCAACCTGGCCACCATTTTCCATTTCGCCTACCACATAATCTGTGAAACAAGCCAAATTTGAAACCGTGGAACGTCTTTGCATGAATCCGTGCTGAAATTCTGGAATGCCAAGACTAACAACTGGGTAAATATTATTAAAAATTATTTTTTCAAAAACCTTGGCTACACAGTTTAAAATGGAGATAGGGCGATAATTATCTATTTGAGATTTGGAACCTTTCTTGTAAATAGGTAAGACGTGCGCTTTTTTCCAAAGAGAGGGAAACATACAAGTTCTTAGTGAGTGTTGGAACAGTAGAGCAATAGGGTGCGATAAACTCTCAGCGCACGCTGACCAAAAGACAGGAGGAATTCCGTCGCAACCAGCACCCTTATTTCTGTCCAAACGTGAGAGGTGGTTAAATACCGTTTCTTTAGAGACAGTTATGTTAGAAATAGTGTCGCAGGCCTGGTAGTTGAACAGTGGAGAATGAGTGTCAGATTGCGACGAGGACCGACCCCTAGTAAAGACGCTGTCAAAAAAGTTATTGAAAGCAGTGCATATTGCCTGACCGTCATTATATTTTGTATTTCCCAAAGTGAAATAACGCGGATAAGCAGAACCAGCCCTTTTTGACTTGACGTAGCTCCAAAAGTATTTAGGTGCTTTCCTTATGTTGTGTTCAGCATTGCGTGTGAAGTTGTCAAAACACTGAACCTGTACTCGATGTTGCCTATCCCTCAGAAGCTTAAATTCATCGAAGTCTCGAGGATTTTTAAACAATTTCCATTTTTTATGTAACTTATCTTTTTCGCGAATGACCTTAATTAAAGAATGACTATACCATATGGGATAGGAATTATTTCGCTGACTGATAAGGGGTACAAATAGAGTAATACAATTTTTTAATTTTTCATAAAATAAATCAACCGCGTCGTCAACACAATCAGTGCCCGACAACAATTGGTCCCAATTAATATTACTCAAATATTTATTGATATCTTCATAATTACATTTGCGGAAGTTTAATCTACATATTTTATTCGTGATAAAAGAGCTAATATACAAGTCTACAATGTCAATAGAAAGAGGTGGGTGAAATCTATCAATTTTAGTTAAACCGCTAGTCACAGAAACGTTTAAAGGTAAGTTTGAAGTTAATCTTCCACAAATGCACAAGCTCTGTCCTGTACCAGGCTGCTACCCAAATGTGTGAGGGACCAACCATCCCTACACCAACGTAAACAGGGTAAATTAAAATCACCTACAAGAAAATAATACGCGTCTTTGTATTTACGAAATAAAGTGTTAAAGTTAATAAAATAATTATTTAAGTTAGTCGGCAGATTAAAGGCGTCAGGTGGCATGTATGATAAAACAATAATTAAATCCGCTGAAGTGCCAAGAGTCCGTGCCGAGATCTTCAGACAAACAAATTCATATTGTGAATTACCCAGCCAAGCGGTGAGCGAGACCGCGCATAGCTCACGGCGGACACAGCACACAACGCCGCCGCCAGCCCGCTTACCAGTTACATCCAGATTTCGATCGCAACGAAACATCTCATACCTACCATCACAGATTTCTTCGTCTAATATATCACTCTGTAGCCATGACTCGGTAATAAAAATAATGTCGTATTCATGTAAAAGAATGTTATTGTACAAGTCAAGACATTTTGTGCGTAAACCACGGACGTTTTGGTAAAAAATATTTAGTCGTTTGCTATCCATTAAGGTGGCCATTTTAGAGGTCTACAGTAATATGTACATAACTTTTTATAACAGGAACAACATAAATGGCAGGAATAACAGGTGCAGAAAATATAATTATATACTGAACAATGATAAAATACGTGAACGTAGTATAAGATTAGAAATATTTTATAAAGTAAAAAATAAGATAAATAATATGTGGGTATATGTAATAATAAGAGGCTACGATATTTTATATAAATGTTACATAGCTGTTTACCAATCATATCAAGCGGGTTGTAAGATTTAAAACAACCAATTAACTTGAATTTGTTAAATATGAGATTATGGTACAATAACAAACATTCCCCAAACAAAAAAACTAGAATAATTAGTCATACAATTTTACGGAGATCAGCAGGGGATATGATACGAATTGACGCGGAGGTGTCATTCTTCCTGACGAAGATTTTTCCATCACGTATCCAAACAAACTGGTACTGCGCAGCGGCTGCCTTTTGCCGTGTATTCTTGTGTAACAGCTTGTTGGCAGGCGTGAGGTGTTCATTTACAAAGATCCTTCTCAGGTCACCCGTGATGCCGAGGTCGCTCGTGCTGAGGCCCTTCCTGGTTCTAATAGCAGACAATATGGTATCGCGTAGGAGGCGTGAGTTGAGTTTAACCACGATGGATTTAGGGCGACCAGGTACTGGATTGACTGGGCGTACTCTTGTCGCATGCACGACATCGGTCGCTGAGGATTCTATTTCCAAAAACCTTACCATAGTGCAGTAATAATCAATAAGTTTCTCGTTAGACCTTTCAGGAACACCATTTATCTCAAGATTAAACGCACGGTCACGCTGTTGTTGATTATTGAGTTCCACTTCTAAATTAGTTATGTGCTCCTGCATTCGAGTTATATCCGAGCTGTGGGTTGTATTTGATTTGAAGATGTCATCAACTCGTTTAACCAAATTAGCCTGAAGGCTATCCTGATGTTCAATCGCAGTCTTGACCGATTCCATATCCGTAAACAGCTGAGATTGATTAACATCAATAACTGAAAGCTTAGACTTAATGTTGTCTAGTTCGTTTTTTATTACAGTGTTAATGTTTAATTGAATGTCAGAAACCTTGTTTTGGAGATCTGTCATCATGGAGGCAAGCTTAGCAGTCAAATCCGATGAAAACCTGTCAAACAGCTCATCCAAGTTGCTGTCCACTTGCTTGCGTTTGCGTCGAATAATATTCACAGACTCAGCGTCTTGTAAATGCAGTTTGTGTAGCTCGGGTTCCGATGCGACCGATACCGGTTGTTTAGACATAATTATAAATACCTTTGTATAACTTGTGGAATAGTTCAGGTGGCACAGTATCACTTACACAAACAAATAGCGCACACAACACAGACGACTAGGTTTGACAGTTCGCGGATACTACCAGCGACGCGAGAACGGCGCAGCAGGTGCAGCGGAAGAGAGACGAATAATTTCACTTAATTATTATGTACTTGACCCGTAATCAAAACTGAAGCGTATGCGCACCAAGCAACGTACAGTTCACAATGCTAACTGCTAACACAAATATCAATTAAAGAAGCACACGTCCACCTCGAACAAGTAACGAAATGGGTATCCATGCCATTTAATATTCTTTTTATTACACCCGTCCTTCGACATGCCTACTGGTCTGTGAAATGATTTTCAGATCTACAGAGGACTGATAAAAAAGAAAAAAATACCGTATCAGAACCAGGTTTTTCAGATATTTCGGAGGGCATGTTCCAGTTATGAACGGGTCGTAACAGTAGTCAGGCCTGGAGTACCCTCCTTTTACATAAGCCCACGGCGGTGGTAACTGCCCTTCTTCGCCTCCAACTCCTGACGACATACAACAATTATTTAAATTAAAAATTCATTAACATTACTATGAAACAGGAATTCAATTATTTATTATTTTATTTAAAAATGACAACACGTCGTGTACAAACTTTCATGACACGGATACAAAGAACACCCAGAGTCAGTGCCAAGCACACAAAGTGTTGTCTCAGGGGATCGAACTCACAACTGGGCGAAGTAGAAAGCGGCGAGGAGACCGCTAAAACGCTCTGTTCCACCTAGCTACATTTGTAGTTACATTAACGTAACTAGTTTGACATTTTTACTCCAAGTAGTCAAATTATTGAGACATTTTATTTTCATGCACCGCTACACCATCCATGCAGTCAAATGTCAATGTGTGAGACAGTGTGGCTGTAAAGCGATATTGCTAACTAAATGTTTGAAATTTTACCATGTTATGGTGTCATACGAACATAAAATTCTCTAATAGGAGAGAAAAAAGTATTTTCGCTTAAGCCTATAACCCGGCAATCTCGTGCGCGACCGTCCCGCGGAGTGACAGACAGTGGCGGGGGCGAGGTAGCGCGTCATTCTAGCACACGGCTACACACGATTCCCTTCCCCGCTACACCACCCGCTACCCGCTGACATCTTGAGTACCTCGTCCCCGCCACCGTCTGACACCCCGCATGACGGTCGCGCACGACGTATTGTTTCCCTTGTATTGTGAGTGTATGTTCTTACGTCCATAAATTGTTTTTCTTTCTTTCTTTCATAGTATTACTGTACTCTGTGCATCCACTTCAGGGAGAAAAGTAGGTAACAGAACCGGAGACTAAATTAACTAAATTAACATTAATCCAACGGGCGATAAGAGGTCAAAATTCTTCAGGTCAGTTCTTCTTGGCATTTTTAATGAAAGGAGAATAAACCTCTAATTATTCTATAAAATAAAGTCTCGGAAGGGGTTTCATCATCATCAACAGCCTTTAATACTCCACTGCTGGACATAGGCCTCTCCTTGGAAAGGAGGTTTTAGCTTACTATACCACGCTTGTCAGAAGGGTTTGTATAGTGTTTGTGTATTTTTTTGTAAACTAATACTTTTGCCCGAATTATCCCGTTGAAAAACCAGCCAGTTTATTATTTTCGATCTGAACATTCTTAGCCCGTTGCTATCCATAATTACATCGAAATTGTGTTTTTAATTTCGATTTAGTCATGTAATTCTGTATTTAATAATACATCGGTTTAATACAACTTGTTACCAATGTAGTGACGGATTAAGAATACGGTATTTCACTACCCTAATTCATCCCGTGGGTGTCGTAAGAGCCGACTAAGGGCACAAAACAACGCAGGACACCAGCACTGCAAAAAGAAGGAAAACTTGACACAAACCCTATACCAACCCATCTGGCCAGCGTAGTAGGCCCCTCCTTTCTAAGGAGAGGCCTATGTCCAGCAGTAGACTATTAAAGGCCGTTGATGTGATGTGATTTGATGTGTTACCAATGTTTGCATGCTTTGGTCTCCTATAATTGAGGGAGTACCTACCAACACCAAAAGATTATTGTGAAATATTTACTTAAAGTTACAACTGTGTATAGCCTTTGTTAAAGGTCCTTAAATTTTAATAAATAAAAAGGACACACCTGACCAATCGGGTGGCATATCGAAACTGGAGAGGAAATCCTCAGACTGCACTTTCACTTTCCTTTGTTTTTTGACATATTGAATGAGCCATTTGCCATATTCCACCTTTTTAGACATCGGTATATTGTAATAGCCACGTATAGGTCTAGTTTTGCCTTCGTAATGGTTCTTCACGTAATAGTCCCAGACATCGGCCGCTTGTTCGTTCGTAGGGTTCGGCACGCAAGCTTGCTTCTCAAGCAATTGATATAATATTACTAATAATAACAATATAATCTTCATTTCTTCTGAAGTTCTTATTAGAAATATCGAGATTATAGCGAATATAACATTGCGACATGGTACAGACTGGACAATGACAAGTAGACAATAGAGCAGCTTGCTGGCCGCAAATATTTTTTTTTACTATGATCATGTAGGGAGAACACTAGCTTTGTTTTGTCATCAGAAGGATCAGCGACGGTCCAGTCCACACCATGTTAGAATATTAGATCGAAGAGCAATTTTAGATAGATTATGACGTGTCCCTCCGCAGTCGACACCTAGCGGAAACCATATGTTAAATACCGTTATTATATTTACAAATATCGCCTGTCCTTTTTACCAACTATAACTAACAGATGGACTTGGTACATCCCCAAGACATTTCAAGAAATAGCAACTCTAGCAGTAAATAAATAGACTTCAATATAGATAGCCCGCCAGCACAGTTAAATTTGCTTGAAATATCGCACACGTAATTTGGTAACTATTTTTCTTATTTTTGTACTTACTACATTTTACATTTAACGTCAGATATGGGCCGGCTCGACCGGACTGCCTAACAGAACACCTTTGTTTAACTAATTTTTGAAGTGAAAACTTCTTTAAGCGCGTTGGGCATTTTGAACAACAAACAAATGAATGTATTTTTGAGATGGGGAAAAAACCATTGAACTCGTGACACTGTTACCGTTATCGAAACCTCTGTATATAAGTATCTACATAATATGTAGATTTAATATATTATATTGGCCCCGTTTACACGAGAGTTGAGTTTGGGTTGAAATACATTGATGATATAACTATATATAGTATAAACATATATCCTGTATATACGTACAACACCTAAAGCCCAACCTCCTCTCTTCCCACCTCTTAATTTTGGGGGAGGCAATCAAAGACCGCAAATGCACTTGCGACTCTTGAATTACAGGTTTCCATGGTCGGCGGTCGTCACTTACCATGAGTTTGTCAAGGTTTATTAGACACGATTAACTAGATTAGTGTAAAAATTGAGGAAATTGATACGGAGCGATTCTATATTGAACTATTATTATTAAGTAATGTTTTTAACCGACTTCAAAAAGGAGGAGATTATCAATTGGGATGTTTTTTTTTAAGTATTATCGGGCATAATTACGTCATATATAGACGAATTTTTAAAATTCTTATTTCGTTCGAAAGGGGTTTATTCCATGTTTAATGAGTTTCGGAGACAGACAATAGAACTCTTAAAAAAATGACAGCAAATAAACCGCGATTGCTGCTAGGTTTTTAGTGCTCCTTGATAGTATTGAAGTCAGTTCAACTACAACACAACAAAAAAAAGGATTTGTGAACCAAATGTCCACCGCCAGGAGTAGAACAGATTTTTACTGTATTAAAACTTATTACAAACAGGACCACAATTGTATGATAATGTTTTGTTTTTTAATAGGATTTTTTTTACAAAAAGAACGTCAACGAAGGTTCTTGCTTACAATACACACTCAGTTATTTAAAGTATAAATTATTTTTAAATCGTTTATAGATTAACGGTATTAATGTTATTTTAAAATAGTACAGTCAACAAGAAAATTAAATGGTTAGCTTAATATTTAAGTTTATTATTATTTATTATTACAGTAGAGAGGTGTTTTATTGATCGATCATACGAGTATATTACTGAAGATGAGAGTTAGAAAGCACTACTAGTGTAATTTGTTTGTTTTTCTGTTAGCGAGTAGGATAGTATTAGTTTAGTATAGAAACCAATCCGAAATAAACCAAATACCGAACCGATATCAAATAAACAAAAAACGTTTAAAACCGAAATAAACCATTTTTTTTCGATTTAAAACGGTTGGTGTTGATGAATATGTTTTCTTAATTACATTTTCTTGATTTTACAAAGATTCTGATTTCTGTGTAAAGATGTAAAGATATTGACCTACTTAGCGGGTTTAGTTCTAGTTGTTCCGTCCGACCAAGCGTAGGTATTTCCTACCTAAGTTATAAATTTTTTATTGATAAGTTAAAAATTCTATAAATAAACATTTATTTCATTGTTTTCAAATGATATAAATAATCAATTTAATTCGGTTAAAACCAAACTCAAACTCTCGCACTCACGCGACGGCCTTGAAGACGTAACGTTGTCTCTTTCATGCGCAAGTAGGCGGACGGCATTATGTTAATGATGTCTTCTAATCTAGTGTGTATAATATAATAATATAAATAAGTATAGGTAGGTACCTACTCACCAACATAATCACCCACTGGTGGGTGGTATCCGGGGGGAGTGCCGCACAAAAAAAAAGTAGGTATACCTACATACTTAAGTTTTCGTCTTAAGTGTTGGTAGGTAATGTAGGTAAGTACTTTCTATTGATATTCTATAAACGAATGAAAACGGACCATGACATCAGGTGACCAAAAATTCCCCATAATGAAGTGTAAAACACAGTTCTTTTATTTTTGTAGGCCTGTTTCAATCGTTTAAAACGATTTATTGCGGGTTTAAAACGGCAACGATTAATTTAAAACGTTTTAAATCGGTTGTTTTACATCTATGGTCATGAGTCTACTGAATTCACATTAAAATAATAGTAACTAACTCCATTGGCATTGCATATGTTTACAAAAACACGTAGTTACATGATACACATTAGTTTTTAATACCTACATAATACCTATATATTACTTTATACAATGTTCGCACTCAATTTTGATGCTGACTGTACACAGTTATATTTTTAATTAAGTTGCTGATCCAATTATAGCTTACATTCTTTGGCTCTTGTTCTCATTCATACATAAATATTGATTTTAAATCTAGTTTTTACTGCAGGTAAATTATGCAGGTTAATATATAATAATATTAGTATAATAATATTAGGTTACTGCAGGTTAATTATTATTTATTTACGGCCGCAGCACAAGACTTTTTTTTTCATTTATCCTGTATTGTACACCACTGCAGTATTATTTGTACATATATTATACAAGGTGTAAGGGACGTCGTAACGAATACTGAAATAGTGTATTCAGACCATGATTCTGACTCAAAAATCATTGGAATTTTCTGCCGGAAAGTTCATCATATTTTTTTTATAATTTGCATTTTTTTGGTGAAAATGATGAAAAGTGATATCACAATGAGTAAACAGAACATTTTACCGAAAAATTTAATAAATACCGCATAGGTTAAAAAACCGCACAACACAATCACACAATCCTCCAACTTATGTTAATGTGCGTAGACTGTTTGCAGGGAATACACATGTAGTTATTATTTTTGTGCGATACCTACTTGGAATGACCTTAACCTTTGACAGCAGATTGCTTAAAAAGTTTAACTTTCCGTCAGAAAATTCCAATGATTTTCGACTCAGAATGATGGTCTGAATACACCATTTCAGTATTCGTTACGAGGTCACTTACACCCTTTATACATTTCGGTATAACAATAGGCGGCCTTATCGCTCACGGCGATCTCTTATGATGTCAAGCAGTGATTTGTGTCTAGTTTCTTAAGTATTTGCAATGATTTAGCTTGCCTAATTGCCTCAGGTAGGTTATTCCACAGTCGAACTGTTTGCACTGAGAACGACTTGTCCGTAAATTGTGTGGCGTGCCTGGGCATTTTTACTTCAGATTTGATGAAAATCTCAAGGACCTACAATGTGAATTGTGTAAAAATTCAAAACGTTCTTTGAGATCGGATGAAGGATGTGGGAAGAACAGAGTACTGTATAAAATAGAAAGAATATGAACATCCCGGCGAAGGTGTATAGGTAAGTAACTTATGTAGCCTCTCACCTGGTAAGGAATTATTAAGGAAAGCTGTTAGAATAGACATAAGAAACACTCAGAATCCTTAAATTGACGAGGTTACGCCTAGCTTTAGGCATGCATACATGATACTTAGCACTTGGTAATAGGTTTTACCAACTACGCTACTTTAGATCAGACTTGTAGTCGTAGTGCATAACTGAATAAGTACCTACCTTGTTCATAGAAACTTTTAGAGGCACTTATTTTATAAATGTACTAGTTTTTGATCGCAGCATCGCTCGCATTTCTGTGGATAATGTCACTAACTACCGGGATAAAATTTAGTCTATAAGTTATTCCAGTTGATTAACAAACATAACTTCATACAAATCTTTTGCATTTATAATCCCATTATTGCTAAGCGCATGAGTGTGGTTCAGATGCCATTTGTGTTATTATTACAAATTGCACAAATATAATATAATTTATATAACTACATTCACACAACGCTATCTAGTCCCAAACTAAGCAGAGCTTGTACTATGGGTACTAGACAACTGATATAAATACATATTTACTTTTTTTTGTAAATACATACATATTATACATAGAAACACCCAGACCCAATCAAACATAAAATGTTCATGCATATAAATGTTTGACTTGAACAGGAATCGAACCCGCGACCTTTGGAATAGCAGTCCGTTACACAAACCACTATACCATCCGGTCGTCAAAACCTTATGCAAGTCCCTCGCATCAATGCAAAAGGCGTACTATACAGTGGACGAATTTTTAAATGATAAACATATACATTATATGTTTTATCTGCGTCTGTTTGTTTTAATCTGAAATTATTGTGACATTTCATTGTAATTTATTTTCATCATCATCATCATCATCAGCCTTTAATAGTCCACTGCTGGACATAGGCCTCTCCTTAGAAAAGAGGTTTTGGCCTACTACACCACGCTGGCCAGACGGGTTGGTATAGGGTTTGTGTCAAGTTTTCCTTCTTTTTGCAGTGCTGGTGACCTGCGTTGTTTTGCGCCCTTAGTCGGCTCTTACGACACCCACGGGAAGAATTGGGGTAGTGACATTCCGTATTCTTAATTCGTCATTTTTCATTTAGTTTATAGTTATAAATATATGATATATTGACATTCTTGAATCTCTGAATATGAACAATGTTGTAATTAGATTCCTAAAGCATGTAATTCTAAAATGTTAAGTATTGCAAGTCCGTGTGGTAACGGATTAAGAATACGGAATGTCATCACCCCTATTCATCCCGTGGGTGTCGTAAGAGGCGACTAAGGGAACAAACTACGTAGGACTGCAAAGAGAATGAAAACTTGAAACAAACCCTATACCAACCCGTCTGGCCAGTGTGGTATAGTAGACCAAACTCTCCTTTAGTAATGGCTGTTGATGATGATGATGATTACATGCCGAAAGGCCGATAATGGAGAAGCTATGCTACATTATTATATCATAATAATTATTGTATCTACCCATTTTCGCAATAAAGTAATTTACATACAAAAAAAAATAGCGTGGTTAGATGTGTTTTTTCTTCATTCGTTCAAGCAAACAGCAAATCAGTTCTAAAAGGAAAATAGTCTAATTTATAAAAGAAAAAACTTCTAAGAGATATAGTTTTATTTATTAAACACCTTATTTTGATACACATTATAAACACAATATTATATTACAACAAATTGCAAATATCTTGTACCAAGTATAAGCAGGTTAGACATTCATACATTGTTACAATTATTTGTTATTAAACCGCTAGCAATTATAAGCTGCTGTAACTAGAACATTTATTTGCATACAAAAACTGAGTATTACAGTATAAAAATATTTATTTAATCTTTTATATCTTTGTGTCATAATCTTTAGTTTCATTACATGTTACTAACAAATTAATACAAGTATTTTTCAATAATCTTAAGAATTTATGACAAAAATATTTTTTAATGCTCATTGAATAGAATTGCCTTTTATGTTTTTTTTTCTATTACACTTATAATCATTAACAGCCTTTAAGACTACCATAGGTTGGGTATTTTTTATATTCTCCTTGTAATTATTTTGAGTATGTACGCAGTTGGGGAATGTAGTCCTATACAAAAATATCTATACATTTTTATTTCAAAAATAAACGTACTAATCACCAATCACAAAACTTTCGCACAAATAAATAATACTTAAATAAAATTATACGAAATATGATACATTTTGGGTGAGAAAATGGTGCTGAGATCACTATTATTACTAAATTTAATGAAAAAAGTGATGAATACTTTATAAACTCTAACATTTTATATCATTAAATTATAAACGGTTTAACTCGCACACATGGGAGAAGAATATTTTAGTTTATATTTTAACACTTAGTTAAAAATACAAAAAAAAAAAAAAAAAGTAATAAAAATACTAAAGTATTACGGACTCGACGGGGGTTCTTTATCAATGGGTGAGTTGATCCCATTATAAAAATATGAAAATCATTTACAAAAGTTTTTATTTCAACTAATATTTGAATAAGTAATATAAAAATAAAACATGAAATTATAATTTTTAAGGAAACATTGCAGGGATCGTTCTTCAAATTTGTGAGAAGACTTTTTACGTGGAAAAGCCATGTTTCGGTCCAAAAGACCTTGACCAAAATGATTACAAACCCGGTCGGAACGAAGTTCCTTTGGTTTTTTGGTAGACGTTTGTGGTATAATTTATTTTTTAAAATATCAAGTTCATAGAGTTAAATTGAAAAAAAATGATAGAATATATTTAATAAATAATGATAAATTAAACACTGAATGATCTGGGATAGTTAAGTTATTTCGTCGAACGTATGTAGTTCATACACGGCTGTAACTATAGCAAGAAGTGTCGGAAAAAAGTCTTGTTACACATTTTTCGGTTTCGCTCCCATCCACTCAGAGATAATCAACGTGAATTATATAAAATACATCAAAATAGGTAAAAGATTAAAACTTGGTTAATTTAAATAAACGTAGCTACCAAATGCCTTTTACTATTTTAGTACATAGTACTTTTCATGTAAATAGGTATACCTATAGTGTTGTTCTGTAAAACAAACAATTAAAAAAAAATCAAACCTGGTTATGGTAAAACTTTGTAATAGTTTGTCCCCGTAACGTTTTATACAAGAAACATTAAAATCTACTTTATACAAAAATATCTCAAAAATTGTAAATCCAAAAAAAAATACATTAATTTAAAAATATACATGTGCCTACAAATGACTTAAAATAAGTGGTGCTAAATTATGAAAAAAAAAACTGTGCCTTCCATATCTATAAATGCAAAATGTCATTTTAATGAGTTGGTTTTTTATTCACTTGTCTATGTGTCATCGCATCACGTCCAATGTCATGTGGTTAATCTATTTTGTTTATGGCATGGCCTGAGTTGCCATAACATTAAAATAGTTGCATTACGTAAGATTTTTAATTTAAAAAATAATAATAGAATTTCGGATTTTATAATACGTACAGGCCATGCCCATTACTGACATTTAATATAAGTAAGGTAATTATCAAAATCTAATTATTATTAAAAATAATTGTAAGAAATAATGTTATGTTATATTAAAATAGCTTTTTTGGTTTAATTAGTTATTTGGACTGTCCTCGACAAAGCTAAGATTTGATAAACATAGGTTAATCACATTTATAATAAGGCATAAAATACATTCTCTGATTCCTAATATTATATTTGACTTTTAATGTAGGCTGTGTAATTAATAATACACCAGATCAATAATTTAATATTCTTTGTGATATTTTTGTTGAAGATCCGTGTAACAAATAAACACGTACATACTACATAGTAAAATTTCCATATATTTATAGGTTACATGTTTAACTAACACATATGAAGATTTTTACACAAATATTCTACTCACAAGACAACATGTGTGACATTTAATTAGCTAAAAACATCTAACATGGTTTCACCAATGCTCTAAAAAGCTAATTTGCCAAGCTCTTACCGACCGAAGCGTGTTGGTACACAACCTTCTTTTTCCTACAAACATTTCATTCAAAAAATATCCTTTTCTTACTGAGATTTCCTTATCCAAACAATAAACCTCCTCAACTTCGAGTAATAAACTGCCGGATGGTCTCTTCCAATAGAAGCTTGTCGTTACACACTTATAACATTCTCCAACAGAAAGTACCATGAAACGTATTTTAAGTTTCTTCACAATAATTATCATAATTTATACGACCAGCTTATGCCTTTAGCTTCGCTTGGGTTAGCGTTAATTTTGACGAACAGTTCACTATCCCCACAGAACACGACATTCAACGACACTCGGTTGAGTATTTAGGAGTTTAGGACAGAGTAACAAACAAACTCACTGCCTTATTTATTGTGGTTATGATTTAAGAATACATCTAAAGTGAAAATAGGATAAGTTCACCTAGCGTTGAAACGCAGTCGTTTCATTTCATTTTGAAACGCAGATGTGTCGTTTCATTTCAAAATAACTTATCTTTTTAACAGTTAAGTACCTGACTTTTAAGCGAGTTATGTCATTGCAGTCTTTTATATCAGTCAAGCTAATAATCTCCATTCAATTTGAGAAGGAATGTTCCGAATCACATACGAGTATACTTAATGAATATAAACAGTTTTTATGTACATTTTTGTTTTAGGGAAACGGTAACTCACAAAATTAAAAAAAAAACCTTTTTTGTTATTCTTTAAAATAGGTCAAATACCAAGTGTGTTAAATAATTTTTTGTACATTAAAATACAATAAGGTGATGGATTTTGAATGACATATACATAAAATACATTGAATAATAACAATCCATCTCGGCAACGTATTGTAAGATAATATCAAGGTTTCTAGCTATACCAAGTCTTTGGACAAATTCAAAAGATTTCCTCTTTTTTAAATTTGTCCGTTGACTTGGTTTAGTTTATCTAACATTTCAAAAAGATGTCAATTTTTTTTTTAATAGCGGCCAGAATTAAGTGACTCACCAAAAATTACTTTACAATTAAATAAATCAATTTTCTATTAATATTTGATTGATTAATTATACATATATTGTCATTTCCCTCCATCGATAATTAATAAAAAGCCGGGTATACGATACTGAAAAAAAAAACAAATTTTTTAAACGAAACTTGTTAGATTGGATTAGCTCAAAAGTTATCTAGTCCTGTTAGGCTACTTTGGAGCTATATATTTAATTTATAAATAAAAAAAAATGTGGAGTTCGAAAAATTTAAATTTATGTTACTTATTTACGGGTTTATAAATGTATTCCCAAATTGAGTTATATCAAAGAGCTTGTAATGTGTTCTAGACATTCCTCTCTCTATCCATTTCCTATCATTAAACACAAAAAGTAAATCACACTTAACTTCAAACTTACCCTATTATAAGCAGTGACGAGTTTGTTTAACATTAAAACAAAAAAAAAAAAAAAAATGAACAAACACATCATTCAATAAGTTTCATTCATTCATCATGAATGAATGAATGAAACTTATTGAATGAACAAACTACCATATATTACATAACCTGTTCTGCTCTGCCCTGAATTACATCGACTGCATTTCAAATTAAAGTTATTTATTGAGAATTTCGGGAGAGAGGGATGTTTCCACCTACCAGAATGTTAAACGGCCACGATTTTCTTACTCCCTTTCGCGAATGATAGAAATACTTCTTCTAATGTGGTTTCAGTGACAGCGTAGTCTTCGATAACGGTGGGGAACTGAGCTCTAAGACTCTCCAGGGCTCCGAATAGCTCACTGTAGCGCATCGTTTCATTAATATGGTAGTGTAACATCGTCTGTAAAAGTAATTTTTATTTATTGATTGGAAAACGGTTTATGAGACAAGTTAAGAAAATAAACCTGTCTCACATCATCATCACATCAACAGCCTTTAACAGTCCACTGCTGGACATAAGCCTCTCCTTAGAACGGAGGTTTTAACCTGTCTAATCTTAGTAAATAAAACAAAAACGGATTAGTTAAACCATTTATAACTCCAGAGCTGCTGGACCGATTTCCATAGTTTGATTTAGTTGCCGCCCTGAATAGCAGAATAACTAAAATGTTAAACAATGGTGAAGTTTTCTTATTTATACATAAATTCATTAGCTTCTAAGTTTTGATAACAAATACCCAAGTTGTTTTGTAAAGTATGGTTAGTCTACAATGGAACTGACATGAACTCTGTTCAAAAGCTGCTTAAAAAAATAATAATAAAAAAATGGCGAAGTTTTTTTTTCTCTAACCTTGTATGAAACCTAACACTAGTGACGAGCAGAGCTGTGACTGAAAATGATGAAACCGCGGAGAACTACTAGTGTAATCATACTAATGGGAATCAATGGGAATCTTTACACCCTGTTTATAAAGTACATTCGGTTTTATTTGAAAAGAAGAGATATCTCGTACCTTACCATCCGTTGCGATGCGATGTGCAACACACATTCAAAAACGCATACGATGGCCTATACGAGCTTCTTTCGTAACAAAATTAGACCAGATGGGTTAGATGGGTTAGAAATTATATAATAACCTTTTTAAATATGAAAATCATTTAGGAAAGTTTTTATTCCAATAGAAACCTGTGCTTTATATTTTAACACCAAGGTGGAATAGTCGAAAAAAAAATTGGTTTATCTTATAAAAAAAATTGATAATATTTACCTTATGTTCATCTTTCAACTCGCAGTTGAATGTACCCAAAAGCTTGCCCTTGAACTGTACCACCTTATTATTGGGGCCGTCCACTTCTGCAATAATATAATGTTATAATGTTGTTAATAACAATTCCATAACGAAGTTATGACGATTTTACCAGGTCTCTTTCGCATGTTTAGGAGGAATATGGGAGTATTAGGGATTTCCTTTCTAGGGTACACCTGATTCCCGGCAATCGGTACCCGAGACGGCGTACAGTTTTTGGTCGGTTCGAGTCCGACATAACCAGGAGGAGGAATATGGGAGGATATACAAGAGGATGATGGACCATACGCACCATCTATAGCATCGGTGTGCTTGATCTTGAAGAGCACGGCGTGTCCGGCGGCGTGCTCGGCGCGCAGTGCGGCGGGCGAGCCCAGCGCGCACACGCGCCCCGAACACATGATGGCGATGCGCCCGCACAGCGCTTCCATCTCATCCATGCTGCCATTACAAAATAAAGTTCGTGACTGATGTAGGTATAGGAATTATATGGACAAGGGTTGGTTTTTTAGTATTTGTTTCGGAATATGGGTGTTGTCTATGCATTTACAAAAAAAGTATGTAAGTATTTTATCAGTCAATCTAACTTTCATAGTACAAGCTCTGCTTAGTTTGAAACTAGATGGCGTTGTGTGTCAGATGTCTGAAAATATTATTATTATTAATTAAAAAAATCACATTACATTAATAAAATAAAGGCGAAAGTTTGTACATTTATTACTTTTTCACGTTCAAACAGCCGGGCCAATTTTCATTAGGGCAACACATGGTCTACTTTTTATGCCGAAAAATAAATAATGTTCGCGTGGGATGAACACGGAATTGAAATTTATTTCCGGTTAAACAATATACGTTTTAGTGTATTTGATAAACTGCGGTTAACACTGTAGGGGGCCACTAAATGTTAAATAAATTACCTATAATTTATACTTAGAAGTTTAAAATCTTCATACATAACATATATATTTGAATTGAAGTTTCACTGTATCTTTAAGTAATTTATTATTTTTTTATTACTATTATATTATTGAACTATAAATAATAAAAATGTGTGGTGTGGTTTTATGAAACCATGATGCAAGTAAAACTTTTGTTTTCGGATCGGTCAGCTGACGCGAGCGCCGCCATATTGGCTTTTATGCGACAAGCTATAGATAAACTAAAAACCCTTTGAAATTCAAATAATATATGTTGCAAGATTTTTATTTTATATGGTGTAGGTTTCATTTTGTAAAATTACAATTTAAGTCGCGTTTACCGCTTAAGCTGCTCGTCATAATAAATGCGGTAAACATTTGCCACGTTTTTTCTGGTAGAGGGGCCAACTTAGCAGACAGGTCACCTAACGGTGATCACTACCGCCATTGAAGTTTGCAACTCGAGAAATATAACTGCGTGTATCTTAGAATGTCTTTCAAAGTGAAAGAACGGAGAGGAGCTCAATGGCGGTGTCGCCGTACCTGTGCGAGGTGATGACGACGGAGCGGTGGTGGGTGAGCCCCTGGCGGATGGCGGCCCAGAGACGGCGGCGCGCGGCCACGTCGACGCCGGCGCTGGGCTCGTCGAGCAGCGTGACGCCCGCGCCGCAGCACAGCGCCGCCGCCGCGCCCAGGCGCCGCACGCAGCCGCCGCTGTAGCCCGCCACCGCTCGCCCGGCGTACTTCTCCAGCCCTGCCGGCGCCACACGTTTCAAATCTTATTAACGACGTTCAACGTCATCTTCGACACCCTTTAATAGTCCACTACTGGACATAGGGCTCTCCTTAAAAAATAGATTTCGGCCTACTATACCACGCTGACGAAACGAGTGGAAATAGTCCTTCTCTTTACAGCGCTATTGTCCTACGTGTTTGCTCCTTTAGTCGACTCTTACGACACCCGAGGGACGAATAGGAATGGAGACACTCCGTATTCTTAATCCGTCACCACGAGGAGAATAAAGTTAATCTAGAGTAAAATCCCTTTAAGTAAAATTAACTAACAAAAAAATAAATTTAACAAAACGACAGTCAGTATAAAGCCCCGGTCGAAACGAAGTTCCTTTCGCTTTTTGACCGACGTTTGCTAGTGTCGGAAAAAAGTCTTGTAACACATTTTTCGGTCTCACTCCCATCCATAAAAATACAAAAAAAAGTTTATATACAACTATAACAGTTTTCAAAACCAAGATATATAGAAATTAATGCAATCACACTGTGTGTGGACATCCATGTACCAACGTTCATATCATACAATGCTACTAATTCTGTTGTTCGAAACTCTCTAAACTAAACTAAAACATACTAAAAATTTGTTTAGTCCTGTCACATAACGTTTCGTATTCTGAAAACGTAGTACTTGACAGTTCTACACTAATTAAATTAAGTAAGTGTTATTAATAATAATTAATTATGTATATATATAATTAATTATTAATATAATAGACTAGATGGCGTTGTGTGAATGTGGTAGATTATTATTATTATTATTTTAATTTGTTCTTTCTCAGCTTCGCTGGTAGTATTTTGTGACATTTACAAACAAAGTCAAGTAAATGCCACGGGTTCTTGGGCGAAGTTTATTATGTCTATTTATTATTATTATTAATTTCTTATCGAACAACAGAATTAGCACTATTGTCCATACAATGTAAGCTGGCAAAAACGTCTGAGAATTCATTTCAAATACCCATTGCAATGGCCGACGGAGAGGCCTATGTTCAGCAGTAGACTAGTAAAAGCTGTTGATGTGTGATGTGACCCATTGCATAATCACGTTTATTCCAGTTTAAAAAAATAACTTATAACTAAAATGATATTTACATTGTGTTTTTGTTTTAACAAACCAGTCTAAAAAAATGACATTTGTACGAAAAAGAACATTTTGTAAAAGCAATACTTTGCAAGATTTTTGATAAAAAAAAATCTTTTCAAATCACACTTGTATCTTCAGCTACACAGTTATCCTTCAAATTATGAATGATAATTAATTAATAATTAATAACTTACCGACAATTTCTATCCAACCCTGTACCTCCTTCTGGAGGGTCTCTTCTTCAAGTCCGCGGAGTGTCAGCAAAAGGTTTAGGTTCTGAGTGCCAGTGAGGAACATGTCCAGTCCGAAGAATTGAGGACAGTAGCCCAGAGTTTGTAAATACTACAACAATGGTAAAACTAGTGATTATTTATTTTGCTTAACAAATGCACACAAAAATAAATTTATGTCAAGAACCAATAAATCGTAATTGTAAGAAATTATATTTTGCCTTTACCTCTACACCATGAAAAAAAAACTGATGGGAGTATGAAAATTCAAACTTACACCAAACAAAGCGTTTTCATGTTCTATGTAACACTGACAAAAAAAAACCCAGACTCGAAAAAAATATTTGCAAACCACACAAACATATATCCTTCTTTATTTGGACCTAATTTTTTTATTAAACATTCCCCATTCTTAAAAGAATGACGTATGTTGTCTGTTATGATTCGTTGTCCATAGACTAAATCGTTAGTGAAAAATATACCTACTATAATCTATATTTCCGGACAGCCAAGTCTGACGAAAACTGATTAAAAACTATGGAGTGTAGAGGCAAGGAGAACCATATCATATAGGGGGAAAGTTGTAAGAGCACAGCTGTATACTGAAAATAGAGGTCGCTGATAAACTATGATATTAACATAGCTGTTGTATACGGAGTGAAGTGTGCTGAGTTAAAATTTAATAATACTTTTATTGTCTGAAGGTTATTACACGTTTATTTATTGTCTGTAAAACTGATGACTTTTTTCGCAGTTTAGTACACAGTGTCTAATTATTATTTAAGCCAATACAAATTCCACCCTTATTGGACGTTTTTTTACGATCATTTTTTATATAAAGAGGTGGTTTTCCTACCCTCCATACTATATTATCCGTTTAGTAATCCGATTGTATAATCGGACTGACTGAAAATAGACTAATAGAAAACAACTATTTGAAAAGAGACTTACCCTAGTATTGCCTCTCTTTAGATGGTATCCATTCCCATAAATGTCGCCGCGGGTGGTGCATTCTTCAGCTGTCAACATTTTGAACGTGGTGGACTTACCAGCGCCGTTCACTCCCAGCAGACCGAAGCATTCACCTTTAAATAATAATTGATAAATAATTTGACGGATTAAGAATACAGAGTGTCAGCACCCCTATTCATCCCGTGGGTGTCGTTAGAGCCGACTAAGGGAGCAAACTACGCAGAACAACAGCTCTGCAAAGAGAAGGAAAACTTGAAACAAATCCTATACTAACCTGTTTGGCCAGCGTGGTATAGTAGGCCAAAATCTCCTACCTAAAGAGAGGTCTATGTCCAGCAGGGGACTGTTAAAGGCTGTTGATGATGAATTAATTTGACACATCTTACACATACACACCAAACAGGGCAGAGCCTGTGCTATGGTAACCAGATTGCTGATAAACATACTTACATATTTGTAAATACATACATAGTATGGATAAATTACACCAAGATACAGAGAGCTTAGTGTAAATTTATTTTTTACGACCGCGTCCTGCGATGCGATTGAAGTTTTCAGCGCAGGACAATCACAGCACCAAATGTGGTCACCGTGACGATCGAGTACGAGTGAAAAAAAAACTTATATTAGACGCTCAGAACAAACGAGAGTGCTCATGACACGATTATTTATTCTAGACAGGAATCAAACACACGATATCTTATAAAAAGATAGAGATAAAAGACCAACAGGACCAACAGGCCAGTTAATGAAAGCAAAATTGAAATTAGCATTGCATTATCACCATCTTGGCTTTTACCTAATTTTATTTTGGATCAGCGCTATGTGATATATAATATTGCGAAGAGTTTTGGCTGTTTCTTGTTTTGCCTGACACCTGTTTGACGCCAGCCCTCCTTGGGGATGCCATAATCTGAAGCAGCTAAAAAGGACCAACGGGACTAAGAACGTAATATCTTGGAGAGACCCGTGTTGCATTCCCATATGTGCATCTTGTGATTGGAAAGGCCACTGGGACATCACTGGGGCGTCATCTGGCCTTAACTATGTATTATTTAAAAGATATATTCGTATAAGACTATTAATCCTCTGTTATTTTGTAGGTAAACCTAAATGAATATTGCTAGAAAATAATCTCATGTTGAAGTGAAAACTTCTTTAGGCGCGTTGGGCATTTTTGAACAACAAACAAAAGGATGTATTTTTTGAGAAGGGAAAAAACCATTGAACTTGCGACACTGTTACCGTTACCGACACCTCTGTATATTATATCTAGTATCTACGTATATTGGCCCCGTTTACACGAGTTGAGTTTGGGTTGAAATACGTTGCTAATATAATATAAACATATATTGAGTATATACATACAACATAGATATATATTCATGTCGGTACTTTTCAAATCGAAAAGAACAAAAAAAATCCTTTTATAATGTTTTTTTTATTAATTTTCAAGTTTTTTTTATATCTTGTTATATTAACTATCACTTAAATGTCATGTAAATGTCTTCCTCTTTGTCAAACATGGGCAATGAACATCTATTATACATAAACCCAATGCATATCGTACCTTTTTTAACTGAGAAGCTGATTCCTTTGACCGCGTTGCAATGCTTGAACCATGAATTGTAATTTTTATGCACATTACGTACCAATATGGCGTCTTTCTTGATGTCAGCAGGATCTGTCAACAAAAAGTCACTGTTTAACAATTATTAAGAATACACAGACCATTTTTTATCCGTGTGGTGTCGTAAGAGCCGACTAAGGAGCAAACAAAGCAGGACATCACTGCAAAGAGAAGGAAAACTTGACACAAACCCTACACCAACCCGTCTGGTCAGCGTGGTATAGTAGGCCAAAACCTCCTTTCTAAGGAGAGGCCTATGTCCAGTAGTGGACTATCAAAGGCTATTGATGTGATGATGTGATTTACACAGAAGTTGAAGTTTTACCGTGACTTCATCATTAAACGAAAACCATAATATAACATTATCTTACGGTACATAGAAGACTTAAAGTAATTACTAATCCTACATCGCGCAATGAAAGTTCTTGTGTTGACTAGTATACAATATGTATACAATTTCTCAAGATCAGGTGTTTAGCAGTTCTATCATTGTTTCCACCGAGTACGATTCTAGGGGAAGGGACTGAGAGGACAGCAACGTATTTGTGACTCTTGATTTGCAGGTGTCCATGGCCGGCTACCGCCAGGACTTACCATCAGGACCCGTCTGCTCGGTGGCCCCCAAACCATAAGAAAAAAATAGGGGTTTGGTTTTATGAAAGCACCATGTAAGTGAAACTTTTTTTGGAACGTAAGCATTTAACTGAGAATTTTCCAAAAATTATTCGATTTAGGGTATTAAAATCAAGATCAAGTGAACAACAAAAATTACATCAAAGTACACAAATACCGCGGAGCACGAATGACTGAGAATATGCTACACGGTCAGCTGATGCGAGCGCCGCCATATTGGCCTTGGGTGTAATGCAACATACGATAGATGGACGAAAAAATAAGGCGATGTAATAAAAGTTTCACTTTAAAAAGCTATTCATCATCGTCACCATCACCAGCCTATCACAGTCCACTGCTGGACATAGGCCTCTCCCATTGCAGGCCACTTAGATCGATTTTAGGCTTCTCGCATCCAGCTCCTATGCTATTATAGATAATAAAATGTAAGCTTTCAGCAACTGCCCCCCTCTCCTTCCCCCAGAGCAGGCACGGGTGTAAAGCTAACAACACAATATGGATAGTATTGATGTAACTTACTTTTGTTGAACTCGTGTTCGACGTAAGTGCGTTCAGCGCGCACCATGGCATTGTCGTCGGAGCCGGTTGAACCATTATAATTAAAGTTCCTTATTCTGTCCCACAGCCAGTTGAATATGCCGCGTTGCGTCATGAACAATAAAATCTGATGGCAACGTCATAATTGGCATTAAAACATAAAATACTCAGGGGAAAAACATGCTTGTATCCACGAGTGAAGGAATAATTAGTCTTCACACTCATATTTAATTGTGAATTCTTAATTAGCAGCAAATTAATTGTAGTCGTGAAATTTCGCGGACGTGTGAATTAATACGCCCACGTCACACTGTTCAAAACTTAAATTACCAATACCTAATCTATAAATAAACTTCTTATTACAAAATACTATATAGGTACCAATTCTATGAACAACTCCCTCTCAACAAAAGTCATTTAAAACAATACCTAATCTCCCAGGAACTTGCTAATTCGTAATAAACAAAATAATGTATTCGTAAAATAATATATTAAAAATATATTTATGCAATAAACAATCCTAAATAAGTGCATTTCACACGATTTTTGACACTTTTTCTATACAAGAGCAGAAAACTAAAACAAACAAAATATTAAATATGGATTGGTTACACGTTTATTTATCTCTATAATATTTTAAATGTGAATCGGAACTTATTAAGCGAGACTGCGTTGATATCGACAAAACACGCAGATTGATTTGCAAACCATGAGAGCCTTGGAATCGGTGAATTGGCTCCATAAACTGTCCTACATAGTGGAGGATAGAAGGATGTGATTCGGTAAGGAGGGTATTTAGCTGAAATATACACATTAATTTTTTTTCAGTAGCTGCGGGTAGCTGACTTGTTGTGCATTCATCATCAAGTGACCTGACAGGTGCTCGGGTTGGACCCCCCTACCTCTCTTCATAACAAAAAAAGTTGCAAGAAATGTCTTCGCCGTCTTACTACCTACTACTGGACTTAATATTAAGAACTACACACAAAATTTAAATATTACAGAAAATCAGATCTAAAATACCCAGATGTAATACTCAGTGGTGTTTTATCAACGTAGCACAGAAATGAAGAAACAATAATTATGTTTTGTGTGAGTGTAATATTAATAAAATGACATCGTACCATTAAAACGATAAACTGTATGAGAAGAACGTAGAGGCTTGAAAGTGGAGTCTGCCCTTCGCAGAAGTAGCACCGAGGTTTTGTCCCAGCTAGAAAAATAAGAAAATGAAAATATATTAACAGAATATTACCATACATAATATAATATAATAAAATCCATATTAATATATTATATAGATCTACGTGGTGATAGATTAAGAACACGGAGTGTCACCATCCCTATTCATAAGAGACGACTTAGGGAGCAAACTACGCAGGACAACAGCACTGCAAAGAGAAGGAAAACTTGACACAAACCCTTTACCAACTTACTTTCTAAGGAGAGGCTTATGTCCAGCAGTGGACTACTAAAGGCTGTTGATGATGATATTAATATACTCATAGTAAAAACTAGCTGAAACCCGCGGTGTTACCCGCGTTTGTTGTTATAACCGCGGGCAACGCCGCGGGGCGAAGCTAGTCTAAAAAAAGTAGCCTAAGTTACTCCTTATGTCATCAGCTATCTGCCAGTGAAAGTCCCGTCGAAATCGGTCCAGCCATTCCAGAGATTACCCGGAACAAACAAACAGACAGACAGACAAAAATTGTGAAAAATGTTAGTTTGGCATATGTACCGTGTAAACATACATATGCATTTAGTAAAAAGCTGTTATTTTAATATTACAAACAGATACTCCAATTTTATTTATCGTTCATCTGATCCCATACTAAGCCAAACAGCAGCAGCAGCAGCCGATAAACATATTTATATATTTCTATAGAACTATTTTTTACATTGCTTTTCACTAATAATAATAATATTTCGGACATCTGACACACAACGCCATCAAGTTTCAAACTAAGCAGAGCTTGTACTATGAAAATTGGATTAACTGATAGAATACTTATTATGCTTTTTTTTTTGTAAATACATAGAAAATACCCAAAACTCATACAAACAAACATACAAACATTTGTCCCAAGCTGGGAATCGAACCCGAGACCTCAGCACAGCAGTCGCATACGCAACCACTGCACCACCGAGGCAGTCAAGACTACGTAAGTGAGATTAGCGGAGCTCAAGCCCGCCTCTAACTGATTCTGGGGGTAGGGACTTAAAGGGCGGCTATGGACTAGTGACTCTTGAGTTGCAGGAGTCCAGGGGCCGGTGGCAATCATTTATCATCAGGTGACCCGTCTGCTAGTTTCTACTATAAATGAAATAAAATCGCAATAACCTGACAATAATCATATGATTTGGAAATCATGGACAGCACCTGTGATTCATTTACAGAATCATGGCTGCGATTGATTATTGTGGCCAGAGTCGCGTAAGGTCTAAATGTAAAAAAAATTGTTTCGTAGTTTTTTGATAAAAATAAAATTCAATATTTTTGTTCTTTTTCTTTGCCTAAGTTTGATGCCATTAATCTGTAACTGTTAAAAGTTTAATCACTGTGGTTCTTGGTATCTCTTTCTATGACCAAATCACAGTAGTGAATTATAGCAGGTGAAAGCGCAGTGACTAAAACCAGTCATTTAATCATCATTATGATTAGGTATTATATAAAGTAGCAATAATTTCCAACTCTAGTTTCCACCACCTATACCATCAAAAACTTATTTAAAAGTTAATTAGAACAAAGATTTAAATAAACAGCAATTACCACAGCACTTATTGCCGGCATCATCATCCCATCCACTGACAGGGATATTATACATGTAAGGGCAGGTGTGTTTCATCAGATCGCAGACAGAGTTGACGGTGGCGATCCTCACTGCGTGGAACATGGCCACCGTCATCGAGTACGGCGGGGCCACGTAGTGAGACGCTTCCAGCACGTAGTAGAATACGTCCCTTTTCTGGTCCACCAGCTCGTACGCGGCTTTCGTCAGTGGACAGAATAGCCCTAGAAACGGTGAGAAGTATATTAGTGTCCTCCCCAGTTATATTTTATGAATTTTCTCGAATTAATTAGTATGTGCGATGGCTCGCAGTGGTCCTAATTAGGACCCTCGCGTTTTGTGCGTTGGTGGCGTATTTACCTCTTCTTTGTATATTATATAATTGGTGTTAAGCAATTATTTATCCGTGTGGTGACGTATTAAGAATTCAGAGTATCAATACCACTATTTACCCCGTGGGTGTCGTAAGAGACGGAGGGAGCAAACTACGCTGGACAAAACTTGACACAAACCCTATAACAAACTGGCCAGAGTGGTATAAAAGGCCAAAAGCTCATTTCTAAGGAGAGGCTTATGTCCAGCAGTGGACCAGTAAAGGCTGTTGATGAGAATTATTTTATTGTTTTTTACCGAGTGAGTGAGTTTACCCCCACTTAAAATCCATTCAAAAACTTTCGGCAAATCTTACTATTCCCAAAACAAAATTGGGAATAACTCAGAAAGATGATAAGTTACTTAGTGTATTCACAGTTTTAGGCCCCGCAGTGGTTCTTTATCGAGGCATGATGATCAGGCAGGATGAGGCATCAACCGCTGGTAAAAGCCCATGTCAGGCCAGAAATTAGTGGCATTACATTACAAATTTAAATAAAAATTTACCGAAAACAAATAGAGATGCGACGAGTATGATGCTGGTGGTCCTCTCATTGAAGTAGAAGCTGATCAGGTACATTAAAGCGAACATTGTCATAGAGCCAAGTAGTAGTATCACCACCAGGACGCCTGAAAATGTGTAGGTAGAGTTAGGACACTCCGTTAGACTTATATTATAAACAGATTGCTATAAATTCTAAATTTCAACAGAAAACCTTATTTTAAAAAATACAGAGTGAAGCCTAGTTGAGTAAATTGCTAAGAAAGCCATTTTACTTCAATATTTTAAATTATAATGATAAATATAGACCCTAGTATTAACCTATCGATCAAAATACGCGCCTAATTAATCAAAACATTAATAGCTCGGCACAACTCACATACGGCCGTCCAATCCCACATTAGGCAAGGCCTGTACTATGGTAACCAGACCGCTGATAAACATACATACATATTTTGAAATATATATATATATATATAATAACACCAAGTCATAGAACAAACCATCACGCCCATCAGACAGTTATTTGTCCTGATTGGGAATCGACCCATTACCATTCGAGGTCAATCTTAATAATACTAAAACTGTTAATAAATTACTAAACACAAATAATTAAACACGCAAATTACTAAAAAAAGAAAAGGTTGACTTACCTAAGAAGTCAGCCTGATTGGTAGTTGAGTCCTTTTCCAGTATCAGGGCAGCTATGATTGTGGGGAGGATGAGGAACAAGAAGCTGAGGACTGTATGGAAGAGGAGGGTGGCGATCCAGTATAGCTCGCTCGGACATCCGGACATGATGTGAATGTGACGGGATCCTGTCTCCCTTTCTCGACAAGGCAGGGACACACAATGTAATGTTGCGGCTTGAATGACTGGAAAATATTTAAAAATATAATTTAATACAAAACGGTGTGAACATAGTACAGTTAATTAATATAATAAAACTAAAGCGCTTCTATGGTTTCATAGCTTTTATTTTTTTAGAATGAGCCAGCCTGGCTGAACTATCCAGCCTTATCTGAACTCTCAATTGAAGAGAGTTCACAATCCTTCGACAATATTATCGAAAATTCTTAGCTTGCATTTTACATTTCGCCTCTGGATTATAATAATATTATAATAATAATATTTGGACATCTAATAATAATAATAATATTTGGACAACTAACACACAAACTAGATGGTAGTTTCAAACTAAGCAGAGCTTGTACTATGAAAGCTAGATTGACTGATAGAATACTTACGTACTTTTTTTTTGTAAATACATACATATTATACATAGAAAACACCCAAACCCAGAAACAAATATTTGTAGATTATACAAACATTTCGTCCGACTCGGGAATCGAACTCGAGACCTCAGCACAGCAGTCGCATACGCTACCACTGCGCCACCGAGGATATTAACTATAAAAGTAATCATGCTTTTCGTACAATAATTGTATATAAACTTACAAAATGTTATGAACAGAGCCCAAATAACGCCTAATTCCAGTGACTTAGGTAGTTTCATAGTAGGTTCACGAATAACTCCTTCGATAGGATAGTTTTGAGTAAATATTTGGAAGGTTGGCCAGTTGAGGTATCGCACCCCCAGCAAGTTGGACAACAAGTTGAGCGCCACGGGCGCCGCGTGTCGTACTGTCGTCGTGTATAGTACCTAAAAATTTAAAATACATATTTTTTTATCTCCGGTTAGGTTTACACCAAAATACGAGTACATACGTATACGTATAATTAACCTATACATACGTACGACTAATTTTGCAAATATTTTTAACTCATAATAGTTCTATAAACAGTTTTCTGTTATTTATTGCTCTCGTAATACAATCAATACATCGGTATCCACGCATATGGCGGAACCATAGCACCGCTATTCTGACATACCCTGCCACATATATTCTATAATACTAAGTATAGTATATTTTTTCTAATGGAGATGATAGTTGATTGATGTTGTTTGGGATTAGCATAGATTATGTTTTTTCTGACATGTCTTAGTAATGCGCTGATATCTATTGTCATTTTTTTTTAAAGGCATCTCCCGCATTAGGAATATATCCTGTGTCGCGGGGGACTTTACAAACATACATGAAACGGACACAAAGAACACCCAGACTCATCATCAATCATCATCATCAACAGCCTTTAATAGTCCACTGCTGGACACAGGCCTCTCCTTAGAAAGGACACACACAAAGTGTCGTCCCATGTGGGGTTTGAACCCACAACACTCGGCGCAGTAGGAAGAGGCGTGGCGACCGCTTAAACCACTACGCCATCTGTGCAGTGCCATGTGCATGTACCATATTTGATAATTTAACTGTATTCAATTTAATTAATTTGTGATTTTTCTGTATGTATAATTATTTGTGCACCGCATAATGTGGTAGGCTATGTCGCCTGATGGTAAGCAACTGACACCTGCAACTCAAAAGTCACAAGTGCGTTGCTGCCCTAGGAGTCCCTCCCGCTCGAGTCAGCGGGAGGAACTCCGGGGATTTGGGCTCCTTTAACCTTACTCACTCAGTGAAAGGCAACGAAAGAATTGCTTAACACCGGTTTCTGTGAGGCCGTGGTATCACGCCGGTCGAGCCGGCCCATTCGTGCCGAAGCATGGCTCCCCACGTTGAACCTATGTTTCCACAAATGAATGATGATTATTATTAGATTATTATAAAAAATATAAATAATTACTGTAGCAGAAGTATCATTCATCTCGATTCCCGTTAAATACTTGTTGTAATCCAATAAGCTCCTTTTACCAATCTGTAGGACATCTGAAAATAACACATTATACTTTAAAGATTATGAATAATGTTGGTTGAAAAAGTACCAACATTGTCCAGGTAGATATTTATTCTAAAATTACTGAAAGAATGTTAATTCTAGTCCAGTACGTTAAACAGTATAAACAGTGGGGTGGATCTAAGGGGTGGTATATGTTTTTCGAATTTGAATGGAGCCAAAAGGACAATATATCCTCGTAAATAAAAAACAAGTGCTTGAAATTGGTTCCTAAAAGACGAAGGTCAGAGTTAACAAACAAAAAAATATACAACTGAATCGAGTACAACGTCCTTTTCTGAAGTCGGTCGAAAAATGTGTGTTTTATGTAGGCATTCATGATGATGTCATTTATTAATCCCAGTTAATTGTATGACATAACAACCTGTGACGTCATAACTACTATCTTGATAATAATATCGATCCATCTTTTCAAAGTTCTAAAAATACTATATAATGGATCATTTTAAGATAACATTAAAATGGAGGAATAAGGATATGAAATAAAGGAATATAAATTTACTGTTTCATCATCATCAGCCATTAATAGTCAGTGGACTAAGTGGTCTTTCTAAGGAGAAGTCCAGCTGTGGCTGGACATAGGCTTCTCTAGGAAAGGAGGTTTTGGCGTACTATACCACGCTGGTCAGACGGGTTGATATAGGGCTTGTATCAAGTTTTGTCCTGCGTAATTTGCTCCCTTAGTCGTCTCTTACGACACCCACGGGATGAATAGGAAATTAGTGTTTCAAATGTAAGAATAAAATTAGTACTCTGGTTAAGATGCGCCCAGACTGTTGTGTATACTTTGAGGTAGTAAAATAGTAATCTCACCTTCTGCCACGTCGTCAGTATATTGAAAATTGACAGAAGGATACTCCTCTTTCAGTGTTCTGAAACATACATTGTAGAGGTCTCTGTTAATTGTTTAGGAGCAGTCGGATCACCCGATGGTAAATGAGTAACGCTGTCCATTAGCTCTTACGACACAAAATCGTTGATGCCGTTGGATACGCCCCCCCCCCCCCTCCAGGAGAGGGTGGGGAGTTGGGCCTCCGGTAACCTCAGTTACTTGATAAAAAGGAAGGATATATGGCTTAACACCGGTTTTCTGTAAGGCTGTGGTCCCTTCGGTAGAGCTCCCCCATGATTATATCATTAAATTACTGGTATCACTATGTTATGTTAATGTTACTAAGATTTAGATTTTTTATATTTGACCGCTTCTCGTGCATCCTGGGGCTGGAGATTCTATTTACTTCTCAAAATTGGTATCCTTGCTGTTACATAAATTTCATTTTTCTTTTTTATAAAAAAATCATTTGCGGTAAGCTAACCAACTTTATTTGAAAAAAAAATAAGTTACCTTAAAGTGGGACTACTGTCATTGAGGAGCAGATTGTACAGCACTCGTTTCTCAGGCATATCCGCATATATATCTAGGTCCAGCGGTAGGGAGCGTGTCCCTTTGCTGCCAGGGTCGTCGTTCATGTGTGACGTTGCAATGAATATCAGTAAAATTGGCAGGATTACTTGCTGAAACAATATTTTTTAATGAGTTTTTTGGTGATAAAGTAATGAAGAATTCTATATTTGACGCTTCATAGGTAATAATTCCTTTTCTGTTTTTTTCGCTAGTGTCATAGTCTTAACGAGAAATCCTTATGGGACTAAGTTCTTATCTCGTCGATTTCATCCCAAGGTAATTTAATTTAGGTAATGTGAAAATTTTTAGAACAGAAATCCACATTCAAGTTAGCGATAGGTACTCAAAGTACGTAAATTTTCCTGCGCGTGAGCTTGGTGTGTTTTTATAATTGTTTTCTTTTTTTTTGTTTTTATAGCTGACTAGCGCAACTCGTCTGCGTCTTTTAAAAGGAATAAATTTCCCCCGTTTCATACATTCTTTATTGGTGCTCCGCTCCTATTGGTCTTAGCGTGATGATATATAGCCTATAGCCTTCCTCGATAAATGGGCTATATAACATTGAAAGATTTTTTCAAATCGGACCAGTAGTTCCTGAGGTTACCGCGTTCAAACAAACAAACTCATCAGCTTTATAATATTAGTATAGAAATTAGTATTATTACTGAAAATATTTGTTGCACAACTTACCATGATTAAAAAGATCCATTTCCTGTGGAGGACGAAGCAGAGTTGTCTCATGAAAAGCACCTTCAACTGGCGCAAATACAGAAGAGGGCCCGTCACTTTCAAGTGTGTCACACCTAAAAAAAACAATCGGAAAGCTGTAAATCCTTCTGGTGATAGATCGAGCGATTGTGGAGACTTCAAACGGCGAAGTGGTTTGAAAGCTAAATGTATGTGCATTTAAAAAAGGTTGCAATTTAGAGATTTTGTCTTTACAAGAGGATATTCTAAGCTGGCTTTGCTTAACAGCAAGGTGAAGTGTGGGACTTAAGAGGACTAAAACTGGTGTTTCGTCTTGACCTCTTATGAAATAAAATAAAGAATAAAAAGGGTTTTTTTCACAGATGTACATTTTATAAACAAATTTTTACTTCTGCTAAACTACAGAGCAATTTGTTGGTACTTGTAGCTTCCATATAATAATATCGATGTAGTAAATTTCACTTGTTAGTTTCACTTGTTTCAAAGTTTATTGCAGTTTTTTATTTAATTACACGTATTGTCGTGGCGTGAAAACTAGTAAGAAAATCGAACCCCGCCGCTTCTTGAATGACCTCCCCCCTCCCCCCCACCGTTATAAGGAGCCGCTCCCTGTACTGCGGACTTACTTATCCGTCGGGAGTTGGTTAACCCTGTTCATATCTTTTAAGCAAGGGCCTATGGAAGTGGTCAACTGATTTGCGGTCTTCAGAGCCTTCGACAGCGACACGAGAGTACTAATTCTCTCCTATTAACTTTTATGTACATCAATCTTTGCATAGTTGATATGTATTTGACCGGTGGATAGAAGAATAAACAACAGTTTAGCGCGGAGGCACGTTTAGTACTAACTGCAAGACTAACTTAGAAATGCAAGTGGGTAGGTGCAGGCACGCACACATACGGCTCACGCGGCGAACAACGCACACTTGTACACTTGTACATACACAACAACTTTTCCTCGCAGAGCAAGGATACACCTTACCCGAAATTATTGAGGGCCTTAAAATAAACGGGACTGAAATAAAAATGGTCAACTTAACAAACGTAAATAAAATATAGTTTAAAAAACTAAAAAAAACACGTTTTTATAACTAGACGAACTAAAAAGTAGAAAATAATTTTCTGTAACTTCAAAAAGACAAATAATGTTATCTTAAAAATGCGTGGGGTGCTACATCTCAATTGTTGTCATCATCATCAGCCTATCGCAGTCCACTGCTGGACATAGGCCTCTTCCATTGCACGCCACTTAGATCGATTTTGGGCCTCTCGCATCCAGCTACTGGCAGCCAAAATCGTCACTCCACATGGCCTGTGGGCGTCCTACACTACGTTTGCCGAGAATTGGAATTGTTGTAACAATATTTTATTGACAAATATTGGTAAAAGAAAAGTTATTATATTATTAAATCTCTTCAAAAGCACCATACATACATACAGGTTAACGAAAAGCTAAAGTGACGGCTAATCATCAGGGGAACTGCGTGCTTTTTTGCCAGCTCAGTGGTATACTCTGCAGTTTTTCAATATAAGTATAAACATGCATAGATTGTAGTGTAAGTTACCTTGCAGACTCTTGAAGTATATCTCTAGGTCGCGCTCTGCTTCATTGTTTTGATATGAACCATTGAGTGATATGGTGGTTTCAGTAGCAACGGGGCGAGTATCTATATATGGTGGTTTAAAAAATAAGGAAACCATAAACAATAATATGATAATATTATCTATACAGGGTGTTACAAAAAAGTGTTATCAAAGTTATGAAAAAGTTGATTTAGCTTATAAACTGGGAATTGTTATTTTCTCTAGAAGAGAAGTGCAAACGTAAAAAGTTAAAATTTAATTTAGAAATATGTTTATTATTTCAGTATTCGTAATCCAATATAGTCCACAACAGTCCTTAGAATATGGTAACACGTTTCTGTAACACCATATAAATTTGTAAAAAGAAAAAAAAAATTGGCTAACAAAACCTCTTAGAAAAATATGAGTAAGGCAAGAAAAGGCAAAGTTTCGACATAATGAACTACTAATGGATGTCATTGCCATCTCAAATTAAAAAAGGAAAAATATTCTCTATGCGTTTAATGTGACTATCGTTTTGTCGACTGGATGTTTATACTAAGGTTAAATTATATGAAAAAACAAGATAATGGCTTAATTTTAAGCTTTAGTGATTGTCTTATAAAGTAGCATAATCTGTAAATATGATTTTCTCGGGCTACTAGCGTTAAAAAAAATTTGAAATTGATCCGTGAAGGGTTATAGTTTAGATTTAAGCGATTGCTGTTTAATTACCTGGGGTATTATGATCCAAACCGTCAGTTTCCGATGGGGCATCTACATCACTGCACAACCTGTGACAAATACCATAATATAAATGTAGAAAATGATAAATGGATGGTGATCATGACATATGTACCAAAATCAAAGAAGTATCTTTACAAGACTTTACTATTCACGTTAAGAAAATAGTGACGCATCGATCAAGCTCCGCCGTTTGACCAATCAGGTTCACAGCCTTCGTACGAAACGATATTTTTTTAAATCTTATTAGTTGGGAGGCGGGGCTTGATTGATGCGTTACTATTTTCTTAACGCAAATGGACTACAGTAATAATGTGGTTTGTTAAAATGTCAGATGCGTTACATGTAGCCTACAATTTAATATTTGATTTAGTATTTGAAAAATAAAGGGTTTGTCTGAGGTGTGCCAGGATTTCATTCATTCATTCCTTAAAACCGTTGCAAAAAAAGTGAATAATACATCGAAAAATACTTACTTCAAAAATACTTCCTCTAATGTTGATACCCCTACTCCAATAGAATCGATGTGCAGTTTCGCCCTGTTCTTCTCTAGCATCGAGAACAGTTTAGAGAAGGAGCTAGTGGCAGTCGCTGGCAAGTTGTAGGAGATGGAGTTCATAGTCTTCTCTTTCAACGTAGCGTCGGGAACGCGCTCTACTACTTTTTCAGTAATCGCATCTACTTTTGGAGGACCATTCGTGGTCAAGGTCAGACGGTAACCGTCACCTGTTAAAAGAACAGGTCTGTTATGATTGTCCTTTAAATGCTTCTAAAATAAATTTATTTTAATACAATAAAATATATTTTTTTTTTTTAATACAATATTTGCTTTAATAAAATATTAAAACATTTTAATACAATAAAATATATTCCATAATACGCCCTCAGTTTTGAATCTGAAAGTTATTCGTAACATTTAAACTTTTTTTTAAATATTATTTGTTATTTTACATATAACTAACATTATTATATTAAGAAATCCGACCCTGGTCGCCCCCGGCGCAAAGGCGCCCATAACGTTAGCTGCGTTCCCATGCCCATACGCTTAACAGCAATGGTCAACCTCTACACCAGGAACAAGAAAGAAATACTTACCAACAGCCTTTTTGAGATACATGGTGGTAGCAAAACACCGCAGCTCACCAGCGTGTAGCGCGGCCACGCGGTCTCCGAGCACATCAGCCTCTTCCATAAAGTGAGTCGACAGTAACACCGTGCGGGCTCCTCGGAGGGACTTGAGAAATAATTATAACATACATAAATGTCGTTTACGAAGATCAGAAAATAATGTGGACCTAAAATGGTACCTTGGGGAACACCATGTAATATGACATATATAGTATACTATGTTATGACGTTTTCACCCGAGTTTCATAGGCTATCTGTATGCTAAAATGTTTTACAAATTGGCTTAACTGTTTTTAAATTGATTTAAATATATATTAATTTATATAATACAGTAACAGATACAAAATATTATATTTTAATAAGTTGTAGTACTTACAAGTAGTAAATCCCACAGTTCCCGTCTAGATTCAACGTCGAGTCCTGATGTTGGTTCATCCAATACCTGCATTATATTCAACATTACTATTGTTTTGTTAAGTTATATGTTTATATTTTATTCCTATGGAGGTAAGGTATTTTTTGTCCCAATGAAGTCACCGTCAACGGCATGGGTACATTACAGGCAGATTATAACCACTTTAGAAAGTAATTAATAGAATATTAAGGTGAAATTAAGAAAGAATTATGGATATTGCTTATGTGAGCCAATTAGGTGATTTGCCGGGCCTGTCAGTCTAGTGGTCAGCGATCTGACTGTAGAGCCAAAGGTCGTGGGTTCTATTCCCACCCAGAACAAATATTTGTGTGTTAAGCACGATCATTATTTCTGTGTGTGGGTGTAATTTATCTATAATATTATTATATGTATGTATTTAGAAATAGTTAAGTATGTTTATCAGCAGTCTGGTTACCATAGAACAGGGTTTGCTTAGTTTGGAATCAAACGGCCGTGTGGGATGTACCAAATTATTATTATTATTTAGAAACATATTAGTATGTTTATCAGCGTAGTATGTATGTTTAGTATGTTTATTCAGGTTGCCATAGTACATGCCCTGTTTGGGATTAGACGGGCGTGTGTGAGGTTAAGCATGGGACAAAATCACAGTGAATTGTGATTTATCATTCATTAAATCCAGTAATTATTTCATTAAACTCGTATATATATATATAGCCTACCTTCCCTACATAATAATTAAAAAATACTAGATTTACTGTTTTTGTCCCATGTCTAGTGACTATTGATTTGTTTAAGCTAGGCTAAAATTGCTTAAGTAACAAGTTTTACCTAGTTTAAGTGACAGGGCCCCTTTTGAAGTGAACATAGTGGATTTTTACAAAGATACACCATGTACCTGGTTTATATTTCTTTGTAACTACGAACTATGTTTTAATATGCGAAATCAACTTTATTATTATTAATAAGATTAGTACTGACGAGCACGTCGGCGTCCCCGGCGAGTGCGCAGGCGAGCTGCGCGCGCCGCTTCATGCCGCCCGACAGCGCCGCGCACAGCTCGCCCAGCTTGTCCTCCAGCCCCAGCTGCTCCGCCAGCCGCCGGGACGACTCGCGGGCCTCCGCGTACGAGCCGCGCTTCAGCTGCACCGATATAAACATTCCTCAGGAGACACAGGGAATATGAACACCGAGGTAGAGGATATAACTGGATATAGGGACTTTGTTCTCTTTTAATAATACAATAAAGTTCTTTAAAGTACTATTGCAGGACAAAATTCGAAATGTACGTTGAAATCACTAGTCATAGTCAGTAAAAACTTTCAACACGACAACACACGCCATGTTGCTCATTCTTCATGACCTCATATCGACAGTTAAGTAATAAATTATAGCAATTATTCTAAATTTAAAAAGGCTATCCTTAATATTAATTGTGTAGGTAGCAAATACATACATGTTAACATTTCGTTATTTGAAAATAAAAAAATATTTAAAAACCTTAGCAGTATAACCTTACCATAGTAAAAAACATGATGTGCTCCTGCAGCGTCAGATCCGGGAAGAACATGTTGTGTTGAGGGCACAGTCCGATGTGCTTACGTACTAAGTGTTGTTCCGTCATAGTGTTGTAACCGTGCACGTACACTTGACCTGATGTCGGACTCGTCATGCCTGGGGACCAGAGTTATAGCATATTTAGAGTACAGGGTAACTGATAGCTAACCTATCCTGGATCAACCTTAACTCTAAATAAGTTTCTGCTTTCACGCCCCATCTACTCAACTGATCTATTATTGTGTGTATTTTGGAATTACGAGATCACGTAAAAGTATTAGATAACTTAAATTTTAGTTAGTTAGTTAGTTTTACTTATAGACTATGGTTTTGATTAGTGTTTTTTTTAATTCTTATTATACTATATTTATTGATCCATTAATTATTTTTTTTGTATCCCTTTCTAAAATGTTATATATACTCGAAAAATATATAAAACGACTACTTAGAACTATAGAGTCCAGTATGTTTTGACCTGTCAAAAAGTACAATGATCAAGTAATACTCAAGCTCAAAAAATAAAAACAAGAAATTCAATACAGTCGATTAAAAGGGATCTCTAATTTAATTTCATTTATAAGTCCTAGAATCATCTATGCTTAGAGCAAATCCTTTGTTTTTAATGTGCCGTGACAAAAGCAGCCTTGTACTCTACCTGTTATTATAGACATTAGAGTCGTTTTTCCCGCACCATTGTGGCCCACCAATACAGTGATCTCTCCCTCGAACACTTTTAGAGTGACATTCTTTAGAGCCTTGTTATTAGGGTACACCTGCACAGAACAAAATATATATAAATGCTAGACCCCATGATGCCGCCCAAATCAAACTTGAACTTGAGGTGAAGAGAATCGGCAAGACGCAGAGTGAGGTCAGGTGCGAAGTTCGAGACCGAACGCGTTGGAGGGGTACTGTGGACGCCCTCTGCCCCATCTCGGGGACTTAGGATATTAAGTTAAATGCTAGAAATATTTAAAGTATATTGACTTAAAAGGCCGAATTCATCAGGGACATTGATGACCATAAATAAAAGTGTGTACTATTTACATTTTCTTAAATAAAAAAACGGTTTTAATATTCTATCTTTTACGTGAAACCTATTACTGAAATAGATTCACAGTGACAGGTATGACGTCATATTAATTAAAGTCTCAGTCTATAATGACGGTATGTGAAATTATTACATACAATATAATAATACGTATATTGATGCAGGCATTTATTTATTAATATCAAAACAACATGTTAAAAATATAGTATAAACCAACTCACAAGTATTGATTATCCTTATTAAATTAAATCTAAAGTTTTTTTTATAATGTTTAAAGACGATAAACCAAATCACAGTAACAACAGTAATACAATAACGAGCTTGATGTTTAACGTGTACTGTGTCATCAATTCAAATTCAAATCAACTTTTTCAATTCAACTCAACTTTTTCAATTCAACTCAACTTTTTCAATTCAACTCAACTTTTTCAATTCAACTCAACTTTTTCAATGCAACGTAACTATTTCAATTCTTACCTTGGTAACGTTATCAACGAAGATGCCAACTTTCATACCAGCGGGTGGTTCCTCAAAGTACTGGCCATCACTCTGTATCAGGTCTATAGAGTCGCTGTCAGTCTTATCGGTCTTATGATGTTCTTTCTTCCGAAACGGATTCTACAACATATAAAACAATTTCATCTCTCCCTCGAGATAAATAAAAAATAATATTGCCAGACTAAACTACTCCCTCAATAAAGCAGTGATTTTTAAGTTAATATGAAAAGGAAAATATTTCAACCCTTATTAAATTATGAAAAATATTATTTAATAATAACTTGACGCATCTCACACAGGACTATGTGATTCCAAACTAGGCAGAGGGCTGAGTGCAAGTTTATTTCACATCGACTCTCTCGACGACGACCTCGTTTAGCGTTGCGATTGGTGGAGATTTCAGTGCGGGCCAATCGTATCGCCGAAAGCGGTCACCGTGACCGATCGAGTAGCAGTGAAATAAACTCGCACTTGGCCCTCGGATAATGGAAACCAGACTGCTGATAAACTATGATGACTAAATACATATATATATATATTATAGATAGATACACCCAGATACAGAACAAATGCCCGTGGTCATAACACATTTATCTGTACTAGGTTTGAATTGAACTCACGACCTCTGGCTCAGCAGTAAAGAGTAGCAGCAGTACTATTTTTACAAGAATTAATAAAAGTAATGCCAAAAACACAGTATTTCCACCAGACACATAACTAAAATACTGTTATTTGGAAAGAAAACACGTGACGTATCATTGATTTGATCATCTGACTTATCTATTTGCAGCACTATTAAGCCTAAATTGTTTATAAAAGATCTTAAATATACCGGTATATTTACAAATAAAATACGAATGTAAAGTATTAATAGTAAGCGAAAGTGGTCTTGCGAAAATCAATGTTAAAGCATAGATCGGGATAGATAGAATGATTTCAGGTGATCTAACTCAAACATAGGCGCGTACACGGTATGTATGACATACCCTCCCGTGATTGGGAGACGTCGCTAGAACAGGGACATTAACTGGAGAAAAAATAAATAAAACTGTTACTTTCTAGAAAGAAAGCACGTGAAACACATTAGGATGTGAGAATAACATAAGTACATGAAATCATTCTTTCTATTCCGATTAATTCATTGGTTGTAAATGTTACTACTTAAAGTAATTTATAAAAATAAATAATTCTTCCAGAAATATTCTGTGAGAGCAGGTATTCAAATAGACAAGACGATGGCTTAGTGATAAATACAATTTAAAAAAACCTAACGGTATTTTTTTTTTTTTTTGCAAATGTCACAATAAACTTTAGGAAAATGGTAACGGAAGAAATAAGTATACATAATAAGTAAGATATATTTATTATTGACAAGCTGCGTAGGTTTTCAATTAAAATATACAGATTGTCTAATACTTGTCTAATTTCAATTAATTTTAACTCTGTACTGTCAGTGCAAATTTTATTTGTAAACTATTGAAATAAAACTTGTTCAAACTTTTCGGAAAAAAAATAAAAAATGTTTATGTATTAATTCTAATCTTTCATTTCGGGCCTTTGTTCTTCCGCTTTCTTAAGAGCAAAACAAAAATTGGTATTCTGTAAATTTAACATGAAGCATAGCAGCCTGTAAAGGGTCGAATCGAATTTGGTGGTCTTTCTACTACAAAAGCATGTGTTAGTTAAAGCACCTGTAAACTGTGTACCTGTAAACATGAATGCTGTGATCCTACATTCATTTCCTGTATCTAACTGTGTCAACTTTTTCATGTTATCGTTGTCACAATGACACTCCAAAACTACCATTATTTAAATAGTTAAACCAAGCATGTATATTATGTCTCAGGACTCAAAAACCCATATGAATATAATATAATTCTGTGGAGATCATACGCAGGTGCGTTTAGCAAAGCTTTTAGGTGCTGAAAGAGTGTTCTAACATATATGATATACACCAATTAGAAAAAATAAGAAAATCAACTTTAAATTCAAGTGTAAAAGGTCGAGATTACACAATGAACAGTGAACTCGACACATATATATTCGAAAGCATAAAAAATAAACGCCCAGTGAAAGCGATGGCTTATATACAACCAGTGATAAATGTGTGTGGACTAACATCACTGTCATTGTCAACAAAGGAGGTTGTCGGCGATACTTGGTTGGATTTCGAACCACGTCTTACTTCGCTGTGTGTGTCACATACGTCCTTTTTACCGGCATCCGCTGTCTTTTTCTAAAAGATGACGGATGGAACTTGACATGAATAAAAATGTACGAGTAATGATAGAATGTATTTTATAATTTATTTTTAGACATAAATACAAGAAATGAGATCTCAAATAGTTTATATGCAAGACATAAATAACTATCATGTACAGGGTCTATTCAGACCATCATTCTGAGTCGAAAATCATTGGAATTTTCTGCTGAAAAATTAAACGTTTTATGCAATCAGCTGTCAAAGGTTAAGGTCATTCCTCGTAGGTATCGCACAAAAGTCATAACTACATTTGTATTCGGTGCACATTCTACGCACACTAACACAAGTTTAGCTTTAGCATTAGCTTTAGCTCTATGATTAGTTGCATTTGCGGTTCCTGACCGTATGCGGTATTTATTAAAAAATATTTAACCAATTAAAATGGAAAACTATATAAACAATTGATGAATGTTCCGACGGAGAGTTCCAAGGGTTTTTTGAATCAGAATGAGGGTCTGAACAACCGCTGATGTCTTAACAACCGCTTTATACTATATGCTTCTGACTTTTTCGATACATATACATTTATTTAACTTGATAAAAATGAGTTAATAAATGCTTTCTGTACCGTATTTTGACGTATAAGTCAAAAATAGTTTAAAACATCATGAGACTAGTTAATGTTGCCATACCTTACACATAAAGTTCCAGGGCAAGGCCTGCCCGTACTGCCCGGGCCTCACCATGGAGAGATAGCCGGCCAGGCACACATATAGAATGTTCTGGATCACCAAGAAAGCGTAGCATTGGAACACTGATTCATTGTTCCTGTAGTTGGTCATAAACATTGTGTTTATCGTTATCCCGCTACCTGCACAAACAATAATCTATATAGTAATCATCCTCATCAACAGCCTTTAATCGGCCTCTCCTGAGAAAGGAGGTGTTGGCCTACTATACCACGCTGGCCAGACGGGTTAGTACAGGGTTTGTTTCAAGTTTTCCTTCTCTTTGCAGTGCTGTTGTTTTTTGTCATATTAATACGTGTAGCAAAAAAAATTGTATCCGGTTTTAAAAAGAAAAACTAAAATGAAACGGCTTCATGATACTATAAGGCCCCGTATATTTTTGACTTGTCATGGTATAAATGTCTGTACAATGACAGTTCAAAATATACTGGTCTCTGAAATATTAATAAGATGTTCTAACGAGTCAACATTTCATGGCCAGATGCCTGGCTTATGTCCGTTCAGTGATTAAGGAGGACCCTAGGACAGGAATATCAACTAGCCATAATTCTAAACATCCCAAGTATCACAATATTCAAATTTACCATTCATTTCGACGAGGCACAGCTCCCTCCAGAACCAGACCATCGGTACGTGCGGCAGGAACCCAGTGAGGAGCCTCAGTAGGTGTGGTAAGTTATACCCTTGGAGCAAGCGCATCGGCGTCCAGAGAAGACCGTACGCTATCACTCCGAGAGTCGCCCCGAATTCAGCTGCGAAGAATAAAATCCATATTTGCATATCATACTGATAATATTGGTAATTAAATATAATTATGTACATTGTAGCATGTGCCTCAGGTTCGTTAATGTCGATTTTATACATCAATTTTTCTGGATTAAATATTTTTTTCCATGAAACGGACACAACACAGGAACACCCAGACCCAGAATGATAATTTGTGGATCTCACAAAGCGGCGTCCCGTGTGCGGATCGAACCCACAAGACTCAGCGTAGCAGGAAGCGCCGTGGCGACCGCTTAAACCACTACGCCATTCGTGCAATTGAATCTATATAATATGTCGTTTAGGCGAACATAGCGGCGTCCCGTGTGCGGATCGAACCCACAAGACTCAGCGTAGCAGGAAGCGGCGTGGCGACCGCTTAAACCACTACGCCATTCGTGCAATTGAATCTATATAATATGTCGTTTAGGCGAACAAAGCGGCGTCCCGTGTGCGGATCGAACCCACAAGACTCAGCGTAGCAGGAAGCGGCGTGGCGACCGCTTAAACCACTACGCCATTCGTGCAATTGAATCTATATAATATGTCGTTTAGGCGAACAAAGCGGCGTCCCGTGTGCGGATCGAACCCACAAGACTCAGCGTAGCAGGAAGCGGCGTGGCGACCGCTTAAACCACTACGCCATTCGTGCAATTGAATCTATATAATATGTCGTTTAGGCGAACAAAGCGGCGTCCCGTGTGCGGATCGAACCCACAAGACTCAGCGTGGCAGGAAGCGGCGTGGCGACCGCTTAAACCACTACGCCATTCGTGCAATTGAATCTATATAATATGTCGTTTAGGCGAAATTGTTTAAACAACATCCATCGAAAATTAAGATTCGTATCTCTTTTATGTGCGAAATATGCTCAATTTCGAATACAAAATGGCGGGATGGGAACTTTTGAGTAGTACATTTTCGAATAATATGTGTTACAAATAAAATAACATATTTATTTGTACAGAAAGTCAAGGTCAAGGTCATTGCACATAATTTGAAGAATACAAATACTTACTGCTCTTCACTATATAACTGCACACAAATGCCAAAATGATAACAGTGTTGAAGTAGAGTATCAGCATGAGGAACAAGTAGAAGCCGTTGGTATTGGGTATGATGGCTGGATGTATCTTGAGGAGTATGGTCCCGCCGATGGAGAACATCAGGCCCGATGGTAGTACGTTCAGGTAGTGGCAGAACCCGATTATGTGGGGATATACGCCAACCATTTTTATTAGTTCCTGTAATGGATATTTTTAAAGAATGATAATGACATGACACTTATCCAAACTAGGCAGATCAAATCATTTTTTGTGACGTAGGGAGCAAGCGCAAATAACCATATGATTAAAATTAATATCTAACATTCACGCAATGTCTATGGGTACTATACAACTGATATAAATACCAAATCTAACATTAAATGTTCATGCACACAAATGTTTGACTGGAGCGGGAATCAAACCCGCGATCTTTGTCATAGCAGTCCGTTACACAAACCACTGCGCCATCCGGCCGTCAAATTTAAAATGTCTCGAAATATAGTACTGTAGTAGAATTAATTTTCTCTATGGTGTTCAAAATTATAGTCACTTCGCGATTGCTCCCCACCTTATGCACACGTACTAATCAGTTATCATTATTTTATCAAATAATTAATCATTAATTTAGGTACATATCTTATAATATCATAGCCATTTGTAATTATCAAACTGAGCTGTACGCCTTTATCCCAAAGAGAAGGTATTTGTTTAGGTTTCTTTTTTCTTGTAATTTGCTCACCAATAATTGTTTATGCTTTTTTGCAGTAAAAAGTGTGCAAGTCTAACGCAACAATTATACGCTATTAGGCAAGCTCTGTATTCACTATTGTCACATTGCGTTCAATGGTAATCAATATATATATATAAATCAATGTTTTGGACTAAATTACAAGTAATTTTTTCGTTTAAAAAGATAACTCCCTAGGAATAGATTCTGACGCGCGCGGGACTTTACAAACATATATGGAACGGACACAAAGAACACCCAGGCTCAGAATTTAATTTGTAGATCCGCAAAATGATCATGTGGGGATCGAACCCACAACACTCAGCGCAGTAGGTAGCAGCAAGGCGACTGCTTAAACTAACACAACGCCATTCTTGTAGTCAATTTATTGCCATTTACCAGGTACTTTGAAGATAGGAAAATTAGGACTACAGGAAAAGGCAGTTGAGAAGGAAATGCAATACAAGAAAAGAGATATTGCGTATTCGTATAAAAAGTATAAGCTTTACAAAGTTTTATTTAATTTGTTACTTCTATATTGTATTATAATTTTGAAGGCGAGTATGTTTGTTACGCTTTCACGCTAAATCACTAAACCGATTTTGAAAATTCTTTTACCAATGGAAAACTACATTATCGGCGAGTAACATATGTTACTTTTTACCTTGATAACCAACCAACAAACACGCGTGCGAAGCCGAGTGCAAAAGCTAGTACTATATAAAAGGATAGACGGGTGTCAAGTTAGATCAGTAACTTTCTATTGAACAATAGGAAAGACGCGGCACATTTTTGTGTGAAGTGCTAAGGCGTAGGAATCATACTTGTCATATCTTTTACTTTTGATTGTGTGTGTGTGCAATTCACACAAGGCAGAAGTGAAACTTAACCAGAATAATTAACCGAAGGATTTTAATACGCAAATAAAACACGTGAGTAATACACCACGCAGGCGCAAAGATACGTGATAGCATGTAGGAGACGAAGATTACAGAAAACACTACATACTATCTTATTCTCTCTATATTATTCTATCGGGTTAAAAAAATTCGTACAAACATTAGACCCCTCATCAACATTCGCAAAGATGCGGACGATTTTTTGGAAAAATACACGTTTTTCAAGTCAAAATTGAGGATTTTTTCTTTCTTAGCTAACCTCGTAGGAAATTTATTGTAGATTTTGGAACTGCCCTTCAATTTTCTGTCCGATGATTGGTTGTTGAAATATCGATGGTTAAAGCCAAAAAGGATTGGAACCTCAGAAACAAATCAACGTAGACAAGTTCGTGGAAAGTTAAAGTTAAGAAAAGTAAAAAGGAAAATGAAGCTGAATAAACAGGCTATCAAGTCTATACCATAATTATATTGTAAAGAAAAATACGCCACTCAAAAGAAAACATGAAAAAAAAAACACTATTTCTCTGAATTACTCGATAACTATCGCCACTCAAAATTTTTGGCTAAGAGATCTGAAAACTAGAATTTTTGAGCTTTAAGATGCGTTTTTTACGAGCTTGATACAACCATTTTCCGTAAAAATATGGGCTTTCAAAAATCACTGAAAATTCACAATTTTTTTTTGCTTCCTTAATTTTTTGCATAAATGTATATAGAAAGATTATAATTATTAATATATTTATTGTTCAAATCAGATTGATTTTATCCGCAAGTCACGTAATTAGTAACACCAATCAGAAAATGTGTCGTAATCGTGCACGATGTTGACAGCTTTTGACAGCAGATTAACCAATCAACGGTCTCGCACGCCTTGTCTTGTAGTTGGTTTGCAATAAGAGAAATAATCATTTGGTACAGAAAAGTGATTTAATAATATTGTAAGAGTGAATTACGAACCTGAATACCTGAGCTCCTTTCCGCCAGCAATCGACACATCAGATCGACGAACACGAGCAGGAGTGACAGCCAACACATAGCCTCTAGAATCTTACAGATTATTGGCAACATGTCATTATGAGCTGTCTTGTAGTACGGGAACTCTTGAAGGGACACCGTCTATAAAGAAAAAATGAAACTGAGAACACCTCACAGAGAGCCTTCCAATCACAAACAGAGATTGTACTATGGTCACTAAACTGTTGATGACCCTTCAAGCAATACATAAGTAAATACAAGCTGGAGGTGAAGGGTTCTATTCCCATTCAGAACAAATAATTGCAAGATGAGCACTCAACATAGCATTTGTTCTGTGACTGAGTTTAATTTATATATATTTTATTTATTTATTTTAATACTATATACACAAGTGTGGGTTGTTCAATGGCGGACTTAATGCCATAGCCATTTTCTCCCAGTCTACTTTAGGTGCTGAAATGTGTGACAAGGTGCACTAGAGATTGATATGTAAAGATAGAGAAACAATGAGATATATAATCTATTTAGAAATATATAAGTATGTTTATCAGCAGTCTAGTTACCACAGCACAGGCTCTGCCTAGTTCGCGAAGGAGACGGCGGAGCGGGACCGGGAGAGGTTTAGAACTCTCCCGGCCCGCCAGGCCCGGGCACGGGCCAGGCAGCGCAGGCGACTCAGGCGCCGGAGGTCGCAGAACGACCTTCGTCCTCCATAAGCGCAGGCCTGGGGGTGACAGGTGAGGCCATCTGTCACCCTAGCAGAAGCAGGCCGGGGTGGCGGCGAGCGCGTTGCGAAGCGCGCTCGCTTCCAGGGAGCACAGGGAACATGGGGTTCCCACACGGGGCGGGGGTCGTCTACTCGTCTGTAGATGACCCGAGGTATGTCGGGGCACCAGGGCCTTCCTTTCTAGGGTATACCTGGTTCCCCGGCTATTAGTACCCGGCGAAGGCGTGCGGTTTTAGTCGGTTCGAGTCCGACATGCCACCGACAGGTGGTATCCGAGGGGATTTCCGCACGGAAAAAAAAAAAAAAAAAAAAAAAAAAAAAAAAAAAAAAAAAAAAAAGGCTCTGCCTAGTTTGGGATCAGACGACTGTGTTTGAGAATTGTAAGGTTATACTTATATATTATCAAATAAATGCATATTATATGGTATACCCAGAAATAACAAATTGTCTTGTTACATAATCATGTGTGAATTAGGTGAAAATCGAACCGACGACCTCAAGTTCAGCTGTCAGAATTACTAACAACTTAACGAAAAGGCCTGTCAATAATAAAGGCTTACAATTATTATTTTTAGTATAGAGGGCAAAAGAGCAGGCGGGTCACCTGAGGGTAAGTGACAATCATCGCCCATCGACATCCGCAATATCAGCAATTACGTAACACTGGTTCCTGTGAGACCGCGTGATTTCTCATCAATTGCTTAACACTGGTTCCTGTGGGACCGCTCTCCCACGTTTAAATAAAAAAAGAGTGAATTTCTATTCTAAGGTCTATTATAAGGAGTAACACGGTCTGTTCACCGAAGAGACGCTTTAGAGAGGATAGTAAACCTTTCTAATCTACCTTTAAAAGAACTATTAGGTACTGCGATTCTTCAAAAAATATATTTTCCTTTGTGATATAGCGAGTAAATAATTTCATTCAGTCACATAACCTTTGAAAACCAGTTTACAATGCAAAACCCTTTAATCGCAGTCCCAGATAAGGCACTGCTTATCTGGGGATCGGACTGTTTCGAGTACGATTCCCGATTGGAGCCTATTGTTTATTGAAATATATTTTTGCTATAAATACTTTTAAACAAAATTCTAAATGTGAGATCGAAGTTCTGTTGTAAATTAAATTGAATCGTATAATATACATAAGTGCATGCGTACATACATTACAAATAAAAACTACTTAAAGTAATTTTAAAGTATATTGTAGACATAACGATTTTTAATCCACCGAAAAACCACGTCATGCGTTAATGTGGCATTATGTGTCATTTACATACCTAAGTTTAGTTTAAAGTAAGGACACGTGTACAATAACACAAGAAATTATGGAGGGTCAATTATAAAATGTGTGTGTTATTTATGGACGACACCTAACCTTGAGATAAGACGTTCTAACATTTTGATCGTGCCATCATAGTCAAAAGTCCCTTTTTTTCCTTTTTGCTGTGCGGAACTCCCCTCGGATACCACCCACCCACTATTGACCCACCCAGTGATTATTTCGGACTCGAACCGATCAAAAACCGCATGCCGTCTCCAGGTACCAGTAGCCGGGGAACGAGGTATACCCTAGAAAGGATCGTCAACAGCCCCTAACAGTCCACTGTTGGACATAGGCCGGAAAGGAGCCTTTGGCCTATTTTACCACGCTGACCAGACGGGTTGGTATAGGGTTAGCGTCAAGTTTTTCTTCACTTTACAGTGCTGTTGTCCTGCATAGTTTGCTCTCTTAGACATCTCTTACGATACCCACACGAGATGAATAGGGGTGATGACATTCCGTATTCTTGATCCGTCAACACACGGACAATGATGATCGTGTAGTGTATTTTTTTTTATTGACATATAGTTTTTTTAAAACACATTGTTACTAACACTATATGGATGTAATAGTCCGAAATAAATATATAATTTGAATTAATTTGAATAGTTGAAATCGATTATTATTTTTGTAATCGAGTTCATCAGATCAAATAGTACTGAGTTCACTCGAGGCCATAGCCTCATCGATTTTACAACAACGTCAATGTACTTCAGTGAAACTAGTCGTCAGGGTCGTCAGACACGGCTATGAAATCAACAACAGTAAGCGTAACAAATCTTGGACAAAGATGAAATTTCATTGAGAAAAAAAAACAAAATAAAAAAAAAATGCTGGTCATATAAACATTTGGTCTGACCCGGGAATCGAACCCGAGCCCTCAGCACAGCAGTAGCATACGCTGCCACTGTACCACTGAGGCAGTCTACAGTACAAAAAAGTAGACAGCGCGCAGGCAGGCTAACCCTAAGGCGTAGGCGATCGAAGTAAGTTTCCTTACCTAAGTAACCTAAAGTGTAAAGCAACTAAGGAATTGAAGGTTTTCTGTAAGTAAGTAGTATCAGTCCGGTCGGGTTGGCCAACGTGCCAGAAGTTTAAATCATAAACTGTTGTAAAAAGTAGGGATGGAACAAAATCACAATCACCTGTGATAAATAAATTTATATGATTTATCTATACTAATATTATAAAGCTGAAGAGTTTGTTTGTTTGTTTGTTTGTTTGTTTGAACGCGCTAATCTCAGGAACTACTGGTCCGATTTGAAAAATTCTTTCAGTGTTAGATAGCTCATTTATCGAGGAAGGCTATAGGCTATATATCATCACGCTAAGACCAATAGGAGCGGAGCACCAATGAAGAATGATTCAAAAACGGAGAAAATTTATTACTATTGAGAGACGCAGACGAAGTTGCGCGGGTCAGCTAGTAAATGATATAATCACATCTGTCACCAATTTATAAAACCACTGCGACTTAATTATTAGACTCGCGACAGGTCTGATTAAAAAAAATATATATATATCATTTTTTGATAAAAATAATTTTGATTGATTTTAATAGAATTTATATTTGTCTATGACGAAATGACAATCACATGTGAAATCGCTGTGACTTAAATCAATCATTTCCAGAATATGATTCAAAAGTAGCAATAAATGGCAGGTCTAGTGCAAAGTATTAATTTTTCCAATCGCGAAACATATTCACTAGTTAGTTCTATGTAGGTACCAAGGGTTGCTCGTGACGACGTGCCGTCTTTTATTCGAGTCATTAATATTCGAGTGCATTTATCTAAAAACCGATTCGTTAAATGTTTGGAATTAAATAACTGATAGTACACTCAAGGACACAAGTCCTAAAATATGTTTAGATAGTCTTATCTGAAATACAAAAAAAAACGACACCGAATAAGTTACATCAAATTTGATGTGCGGCTTGTGGCTGACTGTACTTTTATGGTATGTAGGTGTCCATAGATAATATTTACATAGGTATTGGCAAGTCAACAATTAATTGTATGTCCGTAATGATATGCCATTGTGGCTCACAGTTTCCTGCTGGTCACAATACCCATTGTAACGAGTTGATAAAATAAATGACTCGTGCCGGAACTCAATACAGACAAAGTTCCTTAATTGTGGGGGACGTTCTGTAAATTTGCCGCAAAGACAGAAACCTTGAAAGTGAAATATATATAATTATTTGTACGGCATTACCACGGTACAATTATAATACAGTAGTGTAACTCGGCCGCATAATAGAAATAAATGCCTACAGCCGCGCGGTACGTAAACATGCGTTAGGGCTGCCCGTCTCCAGCATTTTAATTATATTTGCCTACTTTATGTTTCTATTTAGATTTGTGATTGTAAATATCCTTTTTATATAAATAAATGAAATACTTTGTATATTGGATAGGAAGTGTTCAATAAAAATGCGTGTTGTTTTTTGATTGGTAGATTTAATTAAAAAAACATGTTTTTGTTTAAAAAACAAATCGGGCTTATAAATTTGCGACCGAAAAATATTTGCGCCTCAATATTTCCTCCATTTTTTCTATATATTCCACAAAATCATCGTTATGTACAATCAAAAAAGTTCGCGAATTAATCTTACTGTAGTCCCGGTACCGTATCATGATTCATTCAGAACCGCATATAACTACCTATTTCACTCGTCACAATAACTTTCCGTTACTCTATTCGCTTTATTTATTAATCCAAACACCTTTTTTTCGTGAGATAAAAGGAAATACTTATCCATTAAAAAGACACACATTATGTACCTACCTACTAGTAAGTAAAATTATTTTATAGTCTTACCTTTCAGAGTTTCCAGGTAATTTAAAAAAACTTATGCCTGGATGCGTTATTGACGAATTCATACAACCAAAAACAGCACAATATTTCCTACTCGTCATATTAACTGTTTTTTTGAGAAAAAATCGCGCGGTTATTGTTAAAAAAACAACACAGAGTCCGTTCGACACTGCGGTACAGCCGTGACTGTCTGCGCCCCGAGCGCACCCCGAGATCGAGGCGCGTAGGTATAGCTCGCGTTTCGTCCGTTTGTATGAAGTTGGAGTACTGTATTATAATAGTACCGTGGCATTACAGAGGATGCGTTCCAAGGGTTTTTTTTAAAGATATAGCATTAAGTAGGGTAGTTACTTCTCTCAGTCGGTGAAAAACAATATAAGTATATTAAAAATCTCTATATCTAAGAGGTATTTTCAAGCCACGGTAAAGGTTAAAGACACTAAGTTTTGTTTGCAGTTTCCAAGCTCATTAGAATACCGGGCACTTTATCCAAACGTATCCCTTATATATATATATATATATATATAAGGGATTGCTGAATGTGCCATCTCATACTAGGCAAATATATTTGAACTGTACGTTAATGGGTAATACTGTGAGAATATGTATGCACTACTGTCCATTCGAGTTAAGAAAAGAGTGACGCATCGATCAAGCCCCCGCACAATGACCAATCAGGTTCTCTTTTTTTTTGCAATTGTGCTTTCGTACAAAACAATAAATTCTTGGATAAAGCTTGATGGTACGTCACTATATTCTTAACACGAATGGCCTATAGGTAGATTTTAAACAAAAAATATCATTCCTGGTCCAAAAGTACAGTAGTTAAAAGGTCATACCTGATTGACGTCAGACCCTGACTGCTTCTTGATGTAACTGCTGTCGATAGCCCACTGGATGCGCATGAATGTGAGGTATTGCAGACCTGGCAAGCAAGAGCGAGTATGAGACGAGATAGTAGGTATATAGACGAAGCGACTAAATTCCACATTGAGAATACAATAACAACTTACCGCATTGTGCTATACTTAAAGTCTAATTTTCATTGGCGCGACACTGACAAAATTACAATTAAAAACAAAACTACTGTGAGTCTCATATTCAGGAAAATATATGTAATTATCTCTATTCTTGGGATATTACGTCATCCTTAACGCATCTGCTTAACCCACAGATCGAATTGTCCGTTTTGTATCTTGGTTCCAAAATTAAGCCAGATTAGCCTACTGTCCCATATGTCTGCAATGCACTTTTAGATATACTTTTCAATTAAATATTTATAAAATGGATCCTTTTTAATTTTTATTTTAATATCACATTAGCTTGCCACTACAAATCCATTTAATATATTCTTACAATATTTGCGAAATATTTTTTTATTTCTACCGTCCTACATGTGGGACAGTAGGCTTATCTGGGTTAAAATACATCAAAAACGTATACTTATAAGCTGATACAGATAATAGTGGAACTAGGTAACTATGATATGAGACAAAAGACATTCCTACGGAAGATCTGGACACAGTTGAAGACTTTGCCATATCTTAGAAACTTCTATTATCTACTTTTATTCAGTGCATCTAGTACAAGACTTCAACTAATATAATTAACTTTAAAAAAGATATTGAATTTCACTGCGCCTGTATCTTATTGAATTGTAAATACCTGCATTTTTCATTCCTTTATTTTACCCTCAAGGCTGTTTTTTTTTTCAAATTTGACTGAGACCAAGCAGGAAGTACACCCTTTCCAATAGAAAAAGAATTTCCCGAATCGGTTCACGGAGTTCCTAGACAACAAGCATAAGAAGAAAACCTACAGTTAAAATTAAAAATGAGTTCTTAGTGATATACTCACCAAACATCTTGTGAGAGTTAGGTATACTGTCCACAGATTCGTAAGACTTAGTGCCGAAGTCTTCCTTCATTCGAATTGTGTAGTTCAACTTGGTTGGCCATGTGTCAATGTTCAGATTCTAGACAAAAATTTAAAAAAAAATGACTGTACTTGCTTTGCACATATAATGTCAGAGATCTCCTAATGATGGTGACAGTAAACATAACCAGTGTTAGTCCTTAAATTAAATACTTTATTTTATCATTATAAGTCCTGTACAAACATTAATAAGTTGGCATGTTATAAGACTAGGTATTTTGTTTTTGTTTGGACCGAAGTTCCTTACCGCGCGTTACAAGCTCTGGGCGGATGGGAGCGAGACCGACAAATGTGTAACAAGACTTTTTCCGACACTTCAGTTGGCGCGTCGACCCTCACATCTTTTTGAAATTTCATATAGTTCCGACCAGGGATCCATAGATCCCTCACGCGGTTTTTTTAATCATATTTTACTGGTTTTCTATGGTAAGCAATTACAGGGAACTGGTTATCCATCCGTCAAGCCATCAGATGTATGTTATTGTAACGAAGAAGAAGGAACGTTATTTTTGTTCAAATCATAGAGATATAAGAATAGAGCAAGCCTAAAGCCGAAAGCGTGATGCTAAGTGCGAGAAAGAAAGCTGCTGAGAGGCCCCCTATTGCTGTCTTCCTCCAATCAATAAAGAGCATTACACTCGTATGATTAGAAAAAGCCCAGAAGAGGGGGTCTCTCGCACCTGGCATCACTGCAGAGTACAGAGCTAGGCGGAAATAGCATGCTCTATTCTTATATCTCAATGGTTTAAAGTGAAGTAGTGACATGACCACTTTGAAAACCCTTACCAAAGTATCTGATTGTCTATGGTAACAGGTAATGTTTATAAGTCTATTTACTACTTTCAAAGACCATAAACCAGAGCAGTTACGCAAAGAAAACATCAATGAATACGGATCATAGATTAATGTCTATGTTTAAAAACAACTTACATGAAATATGATGACAGCATCCCCACGTTTCATAATGTTTACAAAAGACAACATCTGCGTTTCGTTCGTGTAGGGGATGTAACCGTCGGTCGACATCGAACCTTTTCGTACTGTAACAATAAAAATAATTATTATTTATACTTAAACATAAAATTAAATTAAATCAGCATTAAAACCACAAGTAAAGATGGTGCTGCCGTAAGAAGCAGTCTCGCGCGATAACCCTTTGGGTCACTCTGTTTTTCAGCGGTTTCCTTACTATCCATATCCATACTAATATTATAAATGCGAAAGTGTGTCTGTCTGTCTATCTGTCTGTCTGTCTGTCTGTAACCTCTTCACGCTTAAGCCGCCGAACTGATTTAGATGAAATTTTGTATAGAGATAGTTTGAGTTCCGGGAAAGGACATAGGATAGTTTTTATCAAAGAAATCATCCTTAAAGAGAGTAAATGGATGATGATTTCTAGGATAAAAACTATCCCATGTCCTTTCCTATAGGTACCTATAGGTACTAGGTATAGGAGCTAGATGCGAGAAGCCCAGAATCGATCTGGGAGAGGCCTATGTCCAGCAGTGGACTGCGATAGGTGATAATGATAATGAAAGAATTTTTTACTAAAAATATAAAAAATACAGAACATTTTTTGATAGTTTAAAATTAATACTTAAACATTGGCCATTTTTGCACAACACGATCCATAACATAATAGTTGTGAAAACAACCGTCGTTAGGACAAAATAGCGGGGATTAGCGAATACAATATGAATTTCATGTACGCAGTGAAGCGTATATTGTTTGAATTGTAGATAAAAATTCATCTGGCCATGAAAGACGCAATATGACCCGACATGTTTGAAACAATGACCTCAGTACAAACATGATATTATATTAAATTTAATGATCCAGATAATTGAGTATGTAGACGATCCCTTGGTGTTTTGCACTCATGTTTCTCATGTGCTATCCTCGAGTCAGATATCTTTTTGTAAGGTTTTCATGGGAACATATCCATGAAATTGTTATTTGCTCTGTCTTTTTCAAACAGGACTGATAATATCAACAAAAGGCTTTAATAGTCCACTGCTGGACATGGGCCTCTCCTTAGAAAGGAGGTTTTGGCCTACTATACCACGCTGGCCAGTAGGGCTGGTATAGGGTTTTTATCAAGTTTTCCTTCTCTTTGCAGTGCTGTTGTCCTGCGTAGTTTGCTCCCTTAGTCAGCCTCTTACGATGCCCGCGGGATGAATAGGGGTGGTGACACTCCGCATTCTTAATCCATCACCACACGGACAGACTGATAATATAGCGGACAAAAATTAGGTAAAACCCTACGCCTACTCCTTTGGATTTAAAAAAATCTACTACACAAGTGATATACAAAGAATATGGTCAAATTTGCAGTCAATCTACTATAGTATTACGAACATAATATTTCGGACATCTAACACACAACGCTATCTAGTTTCAAAATAAGCAAAGCTTGTACTATGAAAGCTAGATTGCCTGATATAATACTTATATACTTTTTTTTTTATAAACACCCAAACTCCGAAACAATTATTTGCAGATCATACAAACATTTGGTCCGACCCGGGAATCGAACCCGAGACCACAGCACAGCAGTCGCATACGCTACTGCTGCACCACCGAGGCAGTTTAAACTATGCTCGCTGAAAAGTCAAGTCTATCTACTGGACTGATGATGAATAGAAAATGCGTTTTATTTATTACGACAAGGCATACAAAAAAAAACATTGTAATAAGTAAATTGAATTGCTTATCGTCATAATCTGTGGAAGCTTGTTATTGGTATTTCATCAAGTAAATTACTGATGTAATAGTGATGTAACTGTAAGCTCCCACAATAAAAAAAAAATAACCCATGGCACATCCACTGCTAAACATGATCCTCATATAAAAAATTAACAATGAACCGGTATGCACCGCCGTTTTATTTAAACAACTCATAAATGGTAACATAACCTAACGACAAACGGTTCGATTTGAATAATAAAATAATCCCGTCAAATTTCTTCGTTTTTTCTTTCAGGAAATCTAAAACTTGCAACTGAGAATATTTTACGACTTGGTCCTTAAAATATTAGTTTTATAAAACGTTAATTTTCTAACCAGTTGTACATTTTTCAACTAGGTTTAAATCAAAAGGATGCTATTTTTAAGCTCCTTACAAAGCAGCACAGAATCATGAAAGTAACGACCGTTTTTAGATGTGAAATTCTGTTTATTAGTAAGCTCGTTACTTCAAAAGAACTGGTCGGATTCGACTATATTTTGTTTTCAAATATTCTTCATAACCTATATTTTCGCCCTAAAAATGAGGTATTCCAGCTTTATAGTTAGTAATAAATATATTTTACTCTTGATACTTAAGGAACAACCGACCCGGGTAAGATTCAATTTTGGAGGTTTGCCAACAGGAACACACCCCAGACAGGATGGAGACGGAGATCCCAGACCATTGGCGCCATTGTCAATGTTATATAATGTTGTTTTCTTGACCTACTTGTGATTGTTCAGCTAAGTGATTTCACGAGAATAAGCAACTATTATGTCAATTGATTTTTGTCAAAAAATCAGAAAGTTGTTTTTAGCCAATGTTTTCTAAAAGCCACGCCCGGTATACATTTTTATTTAAGATTTTTTAAAACTAAACTAGACACGAATAGTCGGCCCTGTTGGTCCAGTAACTCCTGACTGCTAAGCCAGGTGTTGTGGGTTCTATTCACACCCAGGACAAATCATTCGTTCGAAACGAAACCATCATTCGTTCTTTGTCTGGGTGTTAAGTATGTTTATCAGTAGTCTGGTTACGATAATACAAACTCTGCCAAATTTGGCACTTGGACTTTGTGACAGAATTTTTAAAATCGGTTCAGTGGTTTAAGCGTGAATGCGTAACAAAAAACGAACTCACTTTCACATTTATAATATAAATATGGATCTATACATAATGAGATGATGATTTCTAATCTTTTACTTTATATAGTACTAGTTCGATACAGTTCAGCCTAATTCATAATTTTGAGTCGCTCTCGCATTAATAATAATAATATAATAAATAATAATAATATATCTCACACATCTCACACACGGCCGTCTGATCCCAAACTAGGCAGAGCCTGTACTATGGTAACCAGACCGCTGATAAACATACTTATATATTTTTAAATACATACATATTATAGATAAATTACACCCAGCACAGAACAAATGACCGTGCTCATCACACAATATTTGTCCTGGGTGTGAATCGAACCCACGACCTCCGGCTGAGCAGTCAGGGTGGCTAACCACTAGACCAACAGGCCCGTCCGTTACTTGGAGTTTAAAAGAGTTTGGGATCGATCGCCATGTTTGAAATGTGTGTGGTTATTATTATTAATGCGAGAGCGACTCAAAATTATCTCTAAATAGAATACATACCTGGAAGTGTTTGGAGACGCTTCAACAACAATTTTTCGCCAACTTCGTCCATGAGCATGTTAGTAAGCGGTGACTCAGGGTGGTACAAAATTGTCGAATCCATTATGGGGGACTCCAACTCGATAGGTGTGTTGTCCGACAATCGTATTTGTTCCTGTTTATAAAAATGAATGTTGTTAATGTATGAGTCGATGCACGGGTTTTAGTCTTGTTTATAATTTGGTCTGAATCATTGTTTTGGGATTTTATTCTTTAATGTTATGTGTGTCAAGTTATATGTAAGTGTGATGCATGTTTTGGTGTCTTACTTGATAAACTGTACTTCTTTAGCGAATTCGACGATTGTTTGGATCGATAACCTCATTAGATACAAGCTTACCGTTTGTCTTTTAAAATGCACGCTTTAATTATTTTTTTCTCTTTTATTAAAAAGACAACTCCCGCACTAGGAATAAATCCTGTGTGGCGGGGAACTTACAAACATACATGAAACAGATACTAGGACACCCAGACTCAGAACAACAATTTGTGGATTACACAAAGTGTCGTCTCATGTGGGGATCGAACCCACAACACTCATCGTAGTAGTAAGCAGCGTGACGACCGCTTAAACCACTACGCCATCCGTGCAGTCAAAAACGGTTTAAACGTGATAAATCTGTTTTTTTTATCTACAATTAATCGAGCCATCATAACTTTCTTAAATTGTTCTGAATACATTACTAATCATATTTTTTAAAAATTAACAATTCCGTTTAGCTAAGCCAAGACACAATAATTTTTTTACGAATATTTTAAAAGTAATTTTAAATACAGAAAGTAAAAACGACAATAAAAAGATCTAGATACCGGCTAATAAGCAATATCTCATTTTTGCAGTTAAAAAAAAATCAGGCCAGCCATTATCACGAAACTGAGTCCATCATAGTATAAAATTATAAACGTGAAAGTTTGGATGGATGTTTTTTACTCAATCACGCCAAAACGGCTAAAAGGAATTGAATCAAATTTGGTACAAAGATAAATTATAGTTTGGAACAGGGCATAGGCATATATTTTTACAGTTGACAGAATCGACATTACCGCGTGCGAAACCGCGAACAAACGATAGCAATAAATAAAGTTTTCTATCCTAAAACATCTCTATTTAACTTCTATACTGAGTATAATATTTAAATTTCATAGAAGGACATATAGTACGATTTTAGTTACTATTTTAGTAACACACTAAGAAATGATAAGCAGTTTATGTTTGCACAAATGGACATAATTCACTTCTCAGAACAGGATAAGGACATTTGTTGCTTCATAAGTAGGTATTATAAATATATGTATATACATTTTATATTACAATTTATTTTAACATTGTGACCGACATTGTGTGAAACTTTAGGAACGAGGAATCCATTGTGTCAAAGTAAATTAATGAATACCCCCTTTGAGTATTCTAAAGCAAACAGCATAGCGTTCATAACAATTCACGCCGTAGATGGCCGGAGGTACGTCGGGGTACCAGGGATTTCCTTACTAAGGTATACTTGGTTCCCCGGCAACTGTTACCTGAGAGGGCGTGCGGTTTTTGGTCGTTTCGAGTCCGTCATAACTCATATCCACCGGTAGGTGGTATCCGAGGGGATTTCCGGACAGAAAAAAAAAGCAGGAGGGACTGAGGTGTCGTTAGATTCGTCTTAGATGTGAGAGTAACATATGAAAATTAAAATCGTCGGTCTGTAAACCGCCCCCCCCCCCCTTCCCTCCAATTGTCGTATCTGTCTAAGCAATATATTTTTCCTACCTTAGCCTTCTCTTCTATCTTTACTTTTAAAATACTCTCAATTTGCCTCTCTAACCCCATAAAGTGCTCGGTTTATGTCAATAAATAGACTTACCCTTATTACGACTCTATTAGTCAGGCTAAAATTATATTTGGTAAAATACGTACTCCTCTGCTTACCGTTTCGAGGAAATAGGCTTGAATGTATGTAATAAAAATTTGAATTAAAACATGTATCCGTGGCTCAAAGCCTAATCCCAGAGAGACTTGACACGTAGGTACTTTGCCACTTTTACCAAGAGATTTATCTCTGAAGGTCTGCAACTTTCTCGAGCGATAAAAGATTTTGAGGGACGGTGTATGTTGAAACAAATGACGTTGTCCCAATGACTCATACATGGTCATCATCATCACATCAACAGCCTACGATAGTCCACTGCTGGACATAGGCCTCTCCTCTGAAAGGAGGTTAGGGTGATACATATCAATTGTCTGCATTGAGCGATGAACCCAACGAGACTTAAGATTTTGGTATATCTTACAGATTTATTATTAATACCTACTGACTTATTTTTCTGCACATTAAAATGAACAAACTTTCCCACCAGCCTAAAAAATGGTTTGATTATGATATGACGGAAACGAAATATTGGAGCACTAACTATGTAACTGTTGGCTGTTACCTGCGTGAGCACGTGAACATAGTGGAATAAACCAAAGTTGGATGCAAAATACTTTGCGACGACAATACCTTTTATAACATTTGTGAGATCAAAAGTCGAAAAACCTTCTGTTCTAACAATTTATATATATATATATACTAGCTGACCCGGCAGACTTCGTACTGCCTCAATTGATAAATAAAAGACTTAAACTTTTGTATGAAATAAACAAACAAAAGGAATCCTTTTTTTATGAAAACAATTAAAAAATGCACGGAATAAAAAAAAAATCGAGCATTTTCATATTTATTCACCTTTTAAACCTTCTCTGGACTTCCACAAATAATTCAAGACCAAAATTAGCCAAATCGGTCCAGCCGTTCTCGAGTTTTAGCGAGACTAACGAACAGCGATTCATTTTTATATATATATAGAGATATTATTTTTTTTATAGACAACGCCCGCGTTAGGAATATATCCTGTGTCGCGGGGGACTTTGCAAACAAATATGAAACGGACACAAGGAACACTCAGACTCAGAACAACAATTTGTGGACCACACAGTGTCGTCCCATGTGGGGTTTGAACCCACAACACTCGGCGTAGTAGGAAGCGGCGTGGCGACCGCTTAAACCACTACGCCATCCGTGCAGTCAATTACTTAGTTAATGAGTTCGTTACTAACTGTCCAAGTAGTAGTATATTTGTATCGTCAGATATAAGATTCCTATTAACAGGAATCTAAAGAACAAATGAAACTAAAATAAGTAGTATTATGTGTGGTTGAAGGATCCTTCAAAAACCTGAACGTCTATTCTCGTAATAAAAGTTCGGTCACAATTCAGTTCCGATCTACTATCGATCTCACAAATGTCAAAGGTATTTTCGTAGTGAAGTATTAAACATCAAACGTTGACTGTAATGTTAACGTTTGATGTTTAATACTTTAACGTTGACTGTAATTATATCGTATTGTGACCGAAAATTGAATCGATATTCAGCTAGTCTTAGTAATACCTTACTATTTTATAACGAAAATACCTTTTATGACAGAACTGAATTTTGACCGAACTTTTACTACGAGGATTCGGATTCTGGTCTCAGTCCAAAACCATAACCAAGCACCAGTAAATGCAGTGGATTAATCTGCCAGGAATTATGGATCTTTTTTTGTTATTTAATTATTCCTTTCAGTAGATTGTGTTATTTTTTTCTCTTACTGTGTCATTTTTTAAATATTTGCCTTGCTATCTAATTTCTATTGTTCAAGCAGGTCAAGCCGGACTGGCTGTCGCTGTGGAGGATCTTCCGCAGTGGAGGATGCGGATGCGGATCGTTTATTTACACGGTTTATGTAGTGGGTACAATATTATTTACATGGCAGTGTTGTGTCTGATGTGTCAGAACATATTTTGCCATTATAATAGATGCAATAAATATTATTACTGCAAATGTACATATTCCAGTTGATAAACTATTCTGTTGTTATGAATTCAATTGTTTTGTATATAATAGCATTTTTTATTATGATGTACTTTTATACATTATGTAATTTTTGTTTGGTTTTTGAAAACTTAGGCATTACATGCCCTATGCTATGCCCATGAAGATTATCCTTTTTCATCTGACTGCGCCAGAAGGAAAGTTATTTAGAAGACTTAATGGATTTTATCATTTTAGTCACACATAGGTTATATGAAAATTTTAAAAATTAAAACAGCTATTATCTACAAGACTGTCTCGACCAAAAATGTGCAAGGGTTGTCACAAAAACAATTACGATCATATGTGGCTAGGTGAAAATAGTACTTGCCTAATTTAACTATGTTTTACCTATGTATATAGCATTATCTCAGGTTCCTATTCTATTTAAAAAATTGTATAACAGCTTGAACAAGTTATAAGTAAAACAGGTTATAAATATACTTTGCAGAATATTTTATTTCGCTTCTTTCGTTTCATGATTTCAGTTGGTAACAATATTGGGCAAAGATTTTCACATCACACATCAACAGCCTTTACTAGTCCACTGCTAGACATAGGCCTCTCCTTAGAAAGGATGTTTTGGCCTACTATACCACATTGACCAGACAGGTTGGTATAGGGCTTGTGTCAAGTTTTCCTTCTCTTTGTAGTGCTGTTGTTGAGTTTCCTCTCTTAGTCGGCTCTAACGACCTTACCCACGGGATGAAAAGGGGTGGTGACACTATAATTTTGGAATGAGCATGATTGTTTATTCTGTGTCTGAGTGTAATTTATCTATAACATGTATGTATTTAGAAATGTTTAAGTGTGCTTATCGGTCTAGTTCGGTTAGTCTAGTTCCTATAGGGCAGGCTCTGCCAAGTTAGGAATCAAACTGCCATGTGTGAGATGTATAAAGTTATAACTATTATTCTAAAACATAAAATTAAAACTTACAGTTCTCTGTATAATTCCTTCCGCCTGGAGACTTCCTGGTGCAGGATTGAGTTCATTTCTAAGTGTAAAAAGCAACACGAAGAACAACACAGGCGACACTAAGCTCACTGCGGTGAGTATAAACCTCCTTTTTCTGACAACTGCATGTTTCCACATCAACACTGCTATGGTCCGCACCATTTTGATAAATTTACAATACAACAGTACAATAAACAGAAAACTACATATATAACTGATAAACCATAATTTTTTACACTCTATGTAAGATTGTATGTACAGATATTACAATTTTAAAGGAATAAAAAATAATATGTATTCTACTTCCAAATAACGCAAAAAGACTAGTTTTAAATGACTTGTTGTTGATGTTTTATTTTTTTCACTTCAGTTATAATAACACATATTCTGTAGTTTTATTTATTATTGAGTCCAGCAAGAGTCACAACACACAAAGATGATTCACAGTATCCAGAACATTTAACATATTGTTTCATTATTTCCAGACGTTAAAGATTTTAATGGTACTTTAATTTCTATAATGAAAATGGAATTGTACTGATGACAAACTTAAGAGGTCACGAATGAACAGAAACCACGATATTATCCCAAGTACGGTATAACAATTTCACAATTTTATTAAACTACAACATCTTAATCACACAACTGAGTGACAGTGACAGTAGCTGTCACTAGCTGACCAATTAGAGTTGTGAAGACGACGATTTGTTTAAAATCGATTTAATTTTATGACCATACATGACTTACACACTTGACTTATAGAATATTTTCTATAAGTATTGTAGAACTTTAGTTTTTGTGCTATGTCTTATTTTTTTGTGATAAGAAATAAAGATGTATTATAGTACAGGCTGAGAAAGTTCAGAGGAGAGGCCTATTTCCAGCAGTGGACTATTAAGGGCTGTAGATGATGATGATGATGATGAGAAAGGTTAGATCAAAAAAAAATATTAAAATAAATTAATAGTTTTAAAGTATTAGTAAAAAAAAATCGAATGGTTGCAAAAAAAAACAGGTTGTTGAAGAAAAAAAACCGAAATGGAAAGACATAAATTAGATATTGTAGTGTGAGCAAAAACGAAGAAAATGAGAGTTGCTTAAGTCAACTTTACGAGTATAATATGGTATACGATTCCATATAGTTCATACTTTTGTGACAATTATTACACCATATACTTTACATGTATTACTAAATATAGAGTGTATTTGATATAAAATACTAAAATGTATTTTATTAATCAATAAGGAAATAAGTTTGTTTAATATGAAATCTCGTTAAGTATTAACAACCTAAAGCTCGTCATAAAGTAAAGTATTACTAAATCTAGCCGATTACCAATTCAATTTTCGGTAACAATACGATATAATCACATTACAGTCAACAATGAATGTTTAATACTTTACTACGAACGGCCTTCAGAAGGTTCTCTAAAGTCTAGATAAAGACCTCAAGATGGATCTTGAGGCCTTACTCTAGACTAGAATCTGACTAGGGTGGACCCTAGTCAGATAAAAAACAATTCAATAAGTAAACACAAAACTTTTTTCGTATTGGCACAAAGTTTTAATAAAATTTAAGGCTACAAACAGATACAAGGATTTAAAATATTCGATAACTGACTTGTTCGGTGTGTTAATCAAATTTCAAATAATTGGACATCCCTATCTGGTTTGAAATTAGTGTTGCCAGATAGCTACGTAAATTCCTTCTGAAATTAGACTTAAATTATACGTACTTCTAAAATTATACGTAAAAGGCATGAATTACGATTTAATTATTGTAATAAAGAACATGACAAAATTAAAGTAAAAATCTTCCTGATTTAAGCTATTTTTCGAAACATACAAAAGATATTAGTTGCGGTACATTAAACCAACCTTGTGATGTACTGTTATGAAAATATAAATAAAGAAACTTCGTTTGAAAAATATACTTGTATTCATATACTGCGGTATAATACTACGTATAATAATAATACGTAATTTACTCAAAATACCCCAATTAAATCATAGATGTTTTGGGTTCTAAAAAGATGAATTCTTTATTATTCGTTCAAAAGCAAAACAACATCAATGATAAATTTTTCAAAAAAAACTGTTTGATGATTACGTATACACAACACTCTCGCTACGCTGCGAGAAAACATTTGGTAACTACATACTTTCTTTAACTTAGACCTATGACAGTAATCATTTTTGGTAGATATTTGGATTGAACTACATGACTGTATATTTTATAGGCAATCTTTCCATAAATGTTAAAAACATATTTCACTATCAGTCACTGAAGAATTATGTTGTTTGTATACTGTCGATGTTGCTCGTAGGTATATCTATATATCTGAGAACACAATATCGAAATCAAAACATTGATATATTTGTAACATCTTGGCTTATCTCACTTTTGGATTAAGTTGTCTGTACTATTAATAGTCAGCGTCCAGAAAACTAACTTTTCAGACTTGTCACCATTGAGATATAACCACAGAAAGAAGATGGGTACAGCTGCCTGTAAGTGGCACATATAGGCAACGAGAGAGATAGATGCCCTATATTTCCCTCAGGTTAGCTAAGCAGCGATTGGCTAATTATTAACCCCTCATATTCCCCAACCAACCAGAGAACTCGGCTAGGAAGAGATAGAGGGGACCACGGAGCAAATAAAAAGAGGAGAAGGCATAAGCAACTGTGCACTGTGATTCCAAATAGGTCCTGACATCATCACAGTGGGCGTGGCTTAAAATTAGTACACTCACCGTCCGTACTGTGCGCTTGTATCGTAATATCGCAAATCTGTATGTTTTAAGAGCATTTAGAAGAAAATGATGAAATTTTGTATTTTGTCGTGTTAAAATAATTCGGATAGACGTTTTGTTGCTATGGATTGCATCGAATTTCATTTGTAAGTAATTTTATACTTAATTTATTAAATAAGTTATGGAAATATCTCTTAGTGTTTTTTTTTAAGTTAGTTACTTCTTTTCGTTACTAGATGTAATGTTGTTACTAGATGTTGTGTAATTTAAACTAAAAATACAAAGGTAGGTAAAGCTTAGTTGTAATCAGATAATACTGTTTTTTTTCTGCATTCAGTCCTAGAGAATTTTTAATCGCCGAAACAATTTATTTAAATTTTTAGTAATCATTTTCATTTTCATTTCAAACAGACTGTCATCTATCGTCAACTAGAAAAACATACACAAACTGAACAAAAAGACAGGGCCAAAATTGGAATCCAATGTTAATTCAATAAAGTACTTCTAATATGAAAATTGTACTACGAAATTTTACTTTAAATATTTACGAAATTTTAAGTGACATTCTTATTGCAAAAAAAAAGCAATTAATAAAATTTGAATACGTTTAGCATTTCGTAAAAGTCTACTCAAGAAATGATCATTAACGAGTTATACCCACGGAGCAAATACAAAGAGGATTTTCCTATCAAAAAACCCTTCACAATTTGCGCGGTCAGGGGATGTAAGTATACCTACTTAACTATGGGTGATAATCATAACACTCGTTTTCTTCGTAGTGGGGTGACAATAGGACAAAAAGATAAGCCGTACACATAAATACAGACAAAATAAGAATAAATAAAAGAACAAATTTTAATCCTATTTGTAATTTACTGCAAACGTTTTTATTCTCATACTAACAATACCCAGCGCCTATAAGTCCAGGTAATAATCTATCTGTATAGAACATTTTATCTTAATTCGTCCAGACGTTTCAGCGTTAAAATAAAATACACAGTACATGGCGTGGGATAAATCAACGAGAACGAAAGAACACAAAAACTTTCGTTTTTATAATATTAGTGAGATTAGTATATGACTAAGATTGCTGCGATAGATGTAACTATCAAGATGGTTCAGAAAATTAATCTTTTATTTTTAATATAATAATTAATCTTTAATTTAAAAAACTCACAGCTACGAAAATTCTGAGTACGTCTCTTGCATCCTATACTTAGTGTGAGATAGCTAAATTAAATAGTAACATCGACATTGAAGATGCAAGTAGTTTTGCTATTATTAGGTAGATGAAAAAAAGTGAAGTGGGCGGAGCTTAACACCCGCTCCCCCCGCAAATTATCACGCGTTGTTTCATAGGAAAATGTAATACAACACCTCTTTGTATTTACCCCGTAGAGGGTACTGTCCATTATCCATCTCTCTCGTTGCCCGCAAGATTGGGGCTCTTGTTCTCTCTGGTTATATTTGTGCTTAACACTGACTTAGCGCCTGAAATCTACCGAACTAAATTTGCAGGCGTGCATTTGTTTCCAGTACTTAAATAATTTGTCTGCAGACTGTGGCATGTTTTTGTTTTAAAAGACACTAATATATCTTGCATCGCGGTCGAACGAACACACAAACTCAGATAAACAATTTTTGAATCACACAAAGTGTTGATCCACGTGGGGATCGAACCACTACCACCACACCATCCGTGCAGTCACATTTGTTAATGGCGTTGTATTTTGATAACTTTATATAAAAATAGATGATTCAATTCCGTTAATGATACCAAGTTTATTCCTGTGTCAGGCTGTGTCATAAAATAACATTTAAATAAATTAATTCAGAAAAAAATCCAATTCAAATTAATATCTTGTTTAATTGTAAAAACCTAAAGCATTATTGACGACGATGTCCGTCTTTTCCCTACAGCCAGAAGAGGGGGCCGCCATGCAATATTGTTGGCACTGGAGCTCGGTAGAAAAGTTATTCGTGTTGCCTTCGCAACCGCTGTACTCAAACTCGACACATTCATCTATGTAAGGATTGTACGCAAACCTGTAACATAGAATGATTTATATGTACTTTAAAACTCTGTCTTTTGCTGTCATTTTTTGTTGTTTGTCTAAATTCATCTATTAAAAATATTTCTTTAATGGGCATACTGATTTCCAGGAGACTTTCACTGGTAGATAGGAAATGTCATAAGGAGTCACTTACGTTACTTTTATTTTAAATGCAAGTTACGGTTCCACACAAATGATTAATTTCAAAAAAAGTAAAAGCGACTTCAATTCGCCTACATCGTAGTGTCCTTATTTGGTTGTTTATTATATTTTATTTTAAATATATTCCTTTCTCATTGGCTCTATACTTTTTTTAAGAGGTAACAAATATAATTTGAAATTTGGAAACTTCTTTTTTTATATGTAAACCTACTTACTATTTGGCCCCATTCAACCCAGCCATTTAGTATATCAAATGGTGCCTACCTTTTTTCGGGAATACTTTCTTTGTATCTGCAAAACCCAGCGAGTACCTGCAGTAAACAGTCTGGTGGTTTGCCAATGTTTTGAACTGAGTACCCCCATGGCGGGATAGGCGCGCTATCTTGACCTGCACCCACATCTGGAATAAACAAACCAGTAAAATAAGCAGAAAATAAATTGTTGTTAGAATCACGAGTAGAAACAGATACTTAATTTATAGAAAGTAAAAGCAAGTAAGCACATAAATAAAAATATGAATAAAGAGAAATAGAAATTTCAAATTTTGTTATTTTTAAGTACATATTTGAAAGATTGAAAGATTGTTATATTGGCGAACAAATAACAAAATTCTTTTTACACATGAAATCAAAATAAAAAAAATCAAAACAAAAAAAAACCATAAAATCAAAAAATCATCGAAACAAGAAAAGTATGGAAGGCAGAGGCAAGGAAAACCATCCCTGAGTATGAAGTGTCCGTAAAAACGCGTCCAATAAGGGTGGCGCTGCGGCAGCCTAGGATGAATTTATATAATAATTAGATATTATGTACTATGTATGTATAGACTGCGAAAATAGACAATGAGTTTTATAGTCAATAAATAAATGTGTAATAACTTTCAAACAATAAAAGTAGATATTATAATATTTGAACTCGGTACACTTCACTCCGTTTACAACAGCTATGTTCATTTTAAAGTTCTTTTTCGTACGCCAGCGACCTCTACTTTCAGTGTACAGCTCTGGACACTTTTTGACCTTTCCCCCCATAGGTCATGGTTCTCCTTGTCTCTGTACCTACTCCATAAAGAAAGCAAAGTTCCATCAACTGTTCGACACCATATCTTCCGAATGTTGCCGAGTTTCGAAATTTATGAATCTACCTTTAGTTTTAGTAGAAAAAAGTTATTGCTACGGTTTTTTTTTTAAACAGTAGGATGTAAAACTAAATGTAGAATGAAATGGAATAGTCTAAGATCCGACTGCAGAATTAGTGTACTCATCGAGTATTTGCTAAAAACCAAATTTTTATGCATGTAATAAATAAGATTAGGAGAATATATATCTACTAGGTTGCCTACTAAAATGAGGCTAGTATCTTTAATTAAATCATTGTTAATTGATTATTCGAAAAAAAAATCAGTCACTTGTTTTTTTAATAAAATATCGTCCACTTCACGGCAATATGAAGACTGAAAAGTCACGGTTGCTGTTGCGCAGTTGGCCGCACCTTTTCCCAGTCAAGTGTTTTGTTAGTGTTTGTTGCTAAACAGAAAACACACCTTCATCTTTATCAATTTTATTTTACATTAATTAATTTTATAATTTTTAGATGCACAAATAAAAAAAATATATATATAACGTTGTATATTACGTACTCCAAAGCAGCGTGGTTTTTATGTTAGAATAAAAATGTCGCAGCCGTTCAATGAGGGTTTTCGATATTTTTTCTGCCACCAGACGGCGCTTCGTATGCGCCAGGTCCAAACAGCTGTCAGATAGCACAGATTCTTACCGAACGTATATTTTTTTAGTGAAATTCTATGAATTTGGAAGTGTTATTGAGTTTATTATAGATTACGGCCAGAGAAAGGTTGCCGAACTGAAGATTGAGCTCAAAAAGAGAGGCGCAAAAGTTTTTTTTTGCACACATAGGCACTGCACAACACTGTGGCATTTTACTAAACAATATTCCTTTTATAACATTTTTAAGAATGAATAAACCAAAAAAAAAATCGAAAAATACAAATCGTGTATGTGCTTTGACAGGTGGTTGGACCTGACGCTACAGTGCTGCCATCTCACGTGGAACATTTCAGAAAACCCTCATTGAGAACACTAGCATTCGACGCATGCGCAATGGTTTTAAAGCGTCGTACAGCTGGCAATCGCCATCCTCGTCTGACTAGTGATGTTACGCGCTAACTCTCTTTCACTCTAGCTCTTTAACAGCCAGCAACCCTTATTTGCGGCCAGATGTAATTAAGCAACCGTAAATCATAATAAACAGAAAAAAAACTTTAATTTGAAATATAAATAATAAATGCGTGCGTGCGTTATGAACGTATAAATGTATCAAAATTATACCTGTTTACAGCTGGCTGCGAAGAGGTGCGGCCAAGTACGCAACGGCAACCGTGATTTTTCAGTCTTTATATATATATATTGCCGTGAAGTGGACGATATTTTATTTACAAAACAAGTGAATTCGATGGAGCCGGCTGCACGCACGAAAAAACATGACTCATGCGGCGTTACCTCGCTCTGAGGCGTTCCATTTAAGGCGTGAAGTGCAAGCGAGAGCGCGGAACGAGTGACAAAGAGGCACAATCGGCCTCCGCGTTCGGCAGCGTTCGGCATCTGTCTCTCTCAAGTAGGAACTTGAGTGAGCGATGCGTCCGCGTGGACAGCTACTACTCGTATACAATAATACATTTTTGAAAAATGCAACCATTCCATCAGTATTTTCTTATGACGTTGTCACGTTCAACTATCGTCAGTAAACCAACTTTACAGACAACCGATTTTTTATCAGAAAAATCAATTAATAATAATTTAATTAAAAATACTAGCACCTGGTAGATATATTTTCTCCTAATCATAAATATGCGTAAAAATTTGGTTTTTAGCAAAACTCGATGAGTGTACTAATTCTGCAGCCGGATCTCGTACTAGAAGAGAATCATAGCAATGAACACTTCCTCCAGAACAATCCTTAGTCACTCATATAGAAACAGACGTCGTTGGTTTTCATTCAATAGGTAACGAAACAGTACAGATTAGGGAAACGGCATTTGCGTGTAAAACTTTACCTGTGAATGAATGAAGCTGATCAAGCACAGTAAGGTCGCATGCTTCTCGTGATCATGGGTTAACACAAAGACTGCAATATTGGGGTATCTCAAAAGCCACATGAGAAACAGCATATGGATCTATATTTATTCTTTACGCTGTTTTGATAAGGCGAGAGGTGGCCCCGCTCTTAAACCTCTCTACAGTTTCAAGTAATCCTTTCTTTTAAACAAGTAGCTCATAAAACAAAAAAATAGAGGAAATAAAACAACACATGAGAATATTAATAACCTTTCCAATCTCCAGGCCAACCGCTTTCTGGCCTACGGTCCTCCGGAAACTTCTTCAGATTGTTTGGATTAGCTGGATTGTATGGATCATCAAAATTAGAGGGATCGTATGGTGCTTTTAATTTACTCGGATGATAGGGATGGCTTGGATGAGCAGGATTATTCTTATCGTCTGGATCATTTGGATCGAATGGTGTATGCACGTTGTGTGGATTGTATGGATTATGCGGGTTATTTGGGACAATATTATTAGGATGGTTAGGGTCGTTTGGGTTATTTGGATCGAATGGTCTAGATGGGTTTTTACAATTGAAGGGATTATTTGGATGATTCGGATTATTTACTTGAAATGGACTATGTCGATTGTGTGGATTAAAAGGATTATTTGGATCATTGTGATCATTAGGATCAAATGGTCTAAATGGATTTTTTGGGTTGAATGGATTGTTACGATCGTTTGGGTCCTTCGGGTTGTATGGTTTAAATGGGTTCTTAGGACTATAAGGATGATTCGGATCAGTTTGATCATTCGGATCGTATGGTTTATAATTTGGATTATTCGGATTATTAGGATGATTTGGATCCTTCGGGTCATTCGGATCGTATGGAATAAATGTGTACTCTGTAACATTTGGTCTAAAGCCTGGTTTCTTTTTTTTAGAACGTTTATTATTCGGATTATTCGGATTAGCAGGATGATTCGGATCGTTATGATTACTAATATTGTACGGTATATCTACATTATTTTCATTGTACGGATGATCAGGATGAAGGGGATTATTTGGATCGTCAGGGTTGTCCGCGTCAAATGGTTTGTGCACATTATTTGGATTGAATGGATTATTTGGGTCATTTGGGACATGGTTATTAGGGTGATTTGGATCCTTTGTATCATTTGCAATAAACGGTCTTAATGGGTGTTTAGGATTGTATGGATTATTCGGATCATTTGTTTTATTGACATCGAATGGTGTATGTATATTATTTGGGTTATATGGATTATTTACATCATTCGGATTATTCATGTCAAATGGTCTATAAAGGTTATTTGGATTAAATGGATTATTTGGATCGTCAGGATCTTTCGGGTTGAAAGGCTTATATGGATTTTTAGGATTGTTCGGATGATTCGGGTCATCCAGATTTTTTGGGTCATATTCTTTATAATTCGGGTTATCTGGATTATCTGGATGATTTGGATCCTTCGGGTTATCCGGATCGTATGGTATAAACATGTATTCTACTACCGGTTGATATGCCGGATGTTTCGGATCATCATGATTAAGTGGATCGTATGGGCTCTTTACATTATCTATATTATACGGATGATCCTTGTGAAGGGGATTATTTGGATCGTCTGGGTCATCTGGCTTAAACGGTGTATTTATATTATCAGGGTTGAATGGATTGTACGGATTGTCAGGGGTTCTATTATTGGGATGATTTGGATCGTTCGGGTCACTTGGATCGAACGGTCGCATTGGATTTTTTGCATTAAATGGATTATTAGGATCATTTGGATCATTTAAATCAAACGGTGTATGAGTATTATTAGGATTGTATGGATTGTTTAGATCACTATGGTCGTTGGGATCAAATGGTTTAACTATGTTATTTGGATTAAATGGATTATTTGGATCGTCCGGATCCTTCGGGTTAAAAGGCTTTAATGGGTTGTTAGGATTGTTCGGATGATTCGGATCGTCCGGATTGTTGGGATCGTATGGCATATAATTGGGATTTTTTGGATTATTAGGATGATTTAGATCGTCTTCGTTATTTGGATCATAAGGGAGAAAAATATACTTCATATTGTTTGAAGTGTCAGGCTTGCTATCACCAGATTGTACCGTTTTATTTTGTTCTTCATTGTACTCTTGAAGCCACTCTTTCCATTCATTTTTTATATCCGGCGCCGGAGTCCAGCCATCCCACGAGTTCTGGATTCCACTTTTGTCCACTTCTCGAGTGGTTTTTATTTCCTCGAGCGTGTATAACACTGGCTCTTCATATTCAGGTGGAATTGTTGTTGATTCCTCTTGAGCGTAATAACTATTATAACTATTATAACTATAACTATTCGAGTAATAAGTATATTCTGGAGGCTCACTTTGTCGACAAGCTTGCGAATAAGTTGATAAGACAGAGATTGTTAAAAGTATAAAAACCATGATTACAGCACTCTTCAGTCACCTAAGGATTTAAGGATTCCACAGTGTATCGAAGATGCTTTTGCCCGAGGCTCCGCCCGCGTTTATGTTGGTTATTGCGGTAAAAACTAGCCCATGTTACTTTCTGAAAATGTAGCTTTCCATTTGTAAAAGAGTTTAAAAATCGATTTAAGTAGTTTAGTTGGTTTATCGTAAGAAACAAACCAAACTATCTTTCACACTTATAATACAAATATGGATTTCTTGAGGCCAGTTGATATCTCATTTACCTTCATTTTTTGTCCCGACAAACATTCCTTGCAATGCACCAACCTCAAATAAAATTGAGAAAAGGCCAAAGGAGAAAAATGATGTTTAGTTATTTGACAAATGAAAGCCGAAAGATGATGATCGCTCCTAAACAGATAAAGGCCGGCTACGCGTTTGTGACTCCTGAGTTGCGAGCATTCATGGGCGTCGGTAGACGCGTTCTATCAGGTAACCCGTCTGCTGGTAAGGCCCCCGTTTCATAAAAAAAAAGTATTTTGCTTAAAATCTTAACTAATATTATATTTTAAATGCGAATACGATTTTGTTTGTTTTGTTTGCTACGCTTTCACGCCTATACTGCTAAGCCGACTTGAAACATTCTTTCACCAATGGAAAGCTACATTATCAGCGACTTACACGGGCTACGACTTACAATGGCAGTAACAGACATACACGCGGGCGAAGCCGCAGGCAAAGTATCGTAATAGAACTTCTGAGATAGAAAAATCTTGTTTTTAAAGCTAAATTAATCTATACTAATATTATAAAGCTGAAGAGTTTGTTTGTTTGTTTGTTTGAACGCTCTAATCTCAGGAACTACTGGTTGAAAAATTCTTTCAGTGTTAGATAGCCCATTTATCGAGGAAGGCTACAGGCTATATATCATCACGCTAAGACTAATAGGAGCAGAGCTCCAATGAAGAATGTTTCAAAAACGGAGAAAATTTATTACTATTGAGAGACGCAGACGAAGTTGCGCGGGTCAGCTAGTATTAATTATTTATAAATATTTTAGCAGGTTTTTTTGCACAATTTATTGATCGTTACAGTCCCAAATCAGACCCCGCACTCGTAACTGGAAACCCAGTGACCTTATTTTCAGTTCGATTTCAAATATTAAACTTTTCTGTTTTTAATAAGATTGACAATATCTGACAATTGAAACAGTAGTAACTTCTTAACGGACGGTTTTTTTTTAACCTCCGACGCGTCGCCGTCACAACAGTTGTGACACCAAATTTTTACGCGGTAGCGTCTCTGTCACAACATTTAGAAGAATATATATCAGGGATTCCAAATATGTTTATTTCATTGAATATAATTATAAAATAACGTAGATATTGAGGTAATAATGACTTCGCTCAGCTGTGACTGGGTCACTAGTTCAAGGGCGCGACAGTAACGGGTCATAGGTCATCCGCGCGCCGCGACGTCCTAAGAGTTAAATAGAATGCCAAAGACAAGTACTACGAGTGTTAGAGTTTGTGTTCCGTTTTCATGGAGACCTGTATACATTGGTATAGATGCAGCTATATCAGTTTCAGTGAATTTTAATTAGGAATTAAAACCAGTAGGTCCCTGAAATATTGAAACAATATAATCTTGAGTTTGTAATGCCTATGGTCGGCGGAAGCTACTTATCAACAGGTGACTGCACGGATGGCGCAGTGGTTTAAATGTTGACCTCACCACCTCCTACTGCACTGAGCGTTGTGGGTTTGATCCTCACATGGAACAACACTTTGTGTGATGCACAAATTGTTGTTCTGAGTCTGGGTGTTCTTTGTGCTGTTTCATGTATGTTTTAAAGTGCCCCGCTACACAGGAAATATTCCTAGTGCAAGAGTTGTCTATAAAAACAAAAAAAAACTAGGTGAGCCCTCTGCTCGTGGGCCCCAAATTGCATTAAAAGAAAAAACTTACATGGGTATGACTATATTTCCTTAGATAGAACAAGTGCACTTGAGCTAGTTACAAGTACAACTCATTCTTAGATGTTTATATGTAGAATCATACATTTAAAAACTAAATTAAAACAATCATGTTTCAATTTATATTGAACTGTAACAAAATTATCGATTAATTTAAACGGATTTAAATCCAATTAACTTGGTCACCAGCCGCACCAGCCATCAAAGACCTAGTCCCAGTGGGTGCTGAGACCCAAGTGTGAGGTCATTTCATGTGAAATGCCGAACGTGGTCAGTAGATTGGTCCCCACTGAAATCTTAACCAACCTCAACGCCGAACGCGCTCGCTCTCCGAAAATCATTTACACAGAGGGCCCCTGTGGGTCTAGGACTCTAAGTAGCCGAGGTTATAGACGATTCTCGCAAGCTTTCTTTTCAGGTACACTTAGGTCACCTTCAACGAGACCACTTGGGGTAATACTGTGTTTTTAATTAATTTAATTCCAAAATACCTACTACTTCAGAGGGCGGGTTTGTTTGGTGTCTTTTTCTAGAACAGGACCTGAATATTTGTGAAGAGTGTGAGAATATGAAAGAGAGAGAGAGAGAGAGAGAGAGAGCGAAAGGTCAAAAAGAGCGACTCAGTAAACGATGTTCTGTTTCACTTGTGAAAAGTCAGAACGTGTGATTCAAAGCAGGAGTGTTGTCACCGACTCTCTGCATACATCAGAGTTGGTTAGGTATGGCATTAAAAAAAAAGAGAGTAGAATTGCGCTCACTGAGAAGTGTGTGTAATGTAAGATTTAGTGAGGAATAGCGAGATAAGAATACGGTGTACCTACGGTGAAGTACAGATCGGCAGTGTACTAAAGAATGCCCTCGTTATAAGCACCCAAAATTGGTGTGTGTATCTGTAATGGTTCTATTGTAAATTAAATACACGATACAAGAGACAACCAAGGCCGACTTAGGCTATGCTGGGGCCCCTAGGCACACAAACATTTGAGGCCCTTTAGACAACAAAACTTCAGCTGTGAAAATTAGAGCTCTCTACTACAATTGATAAAGCAAAAAAACATTCTAGTAGCAATTTCAACACTTGGGAAAAGTTTCTTCTAATTTATCAGGCTTATTAGTACTTATTAGTTTATGTACCTAAGTTTGAGCTACTCCTATCCGCTGATTCCTCTGCCGTGTTCTTTAAATACTTCCTTAAATGAAATCATGCTGATTTGAGCTCATGTGCATTAAGGTCTTCGTGATAGAATTATTTAAATTCATTTAATTTTCAAATCAACTCATCAGAATCGATTGTTGTTCATTGAGAAATAACATTAAAACAATTGTTAATTTCTCAATATGCTGCCAAACGATTTTACGACTGTGCATATAATGTATCGATAAACATTTCTACACGAAATTTTTCTTTGCCATGCACAGTGCCGTCACAGTTGTTGTGAAAACAGTTTTTAGACTTCTTAGGTCGGAATCTACATGCGTCAACTTCAAAAAAGGTTTAGCAAAATACCCACTGGGTATATGCTCAAGACCCTTACTTACTAGGTACTTTTTAGGTACCTTTCATAACTATTTTCAATTTGACTAATAAAATTCTTAAGCTGTAATTATATAAATATACTGAGTTATCGAAATTGAAAAAAAAAGCCATGCAATAAGGCGATTTACAGCCCAATAAAAAAGCTTAGATGGTGGCGAAACGCGAAACTACCCATTTCCTATCTCGAAAATTTGGATCTGGATTCATGGCATAAAATGATCCTATCATGAAAGAAAGCTTTTGTTTTGCTTAGATGTTGTACAGTCGGCCTCTACAAAAACCGTTTTCCACGTTAATATAGAAAAATACACAGGCAGAACAAAATATTTCGAGATTTATTTTGTTTTTTTTTTAAATTTAAAACAAAATTTACAATTGCAAACAATTATAAAATACATATATATATTTAATATATATAAAATTTCAATAAAATACAATTACTGCGCGGATTGCGTAGTGGTTTAAGCGGTCATCTCGCCGCTTCCTACTGCGCTGTGCGTTTGATCCCCATATGGGATAACATTTTGTGTGATCCACAAATTGTTGTTCTGAGTCCGGGTGTTCTTTGTGTCCGTTTCATGCATTGATATAATACTTACATAGATGAGTAATTACCGCCTAAAATCGTTGCTACTGCACATCTGTCCACAGGCATATGCGTAGCAAACGTCAATTCAGTGTTCAATGTGGCGTCAACCGAGTTGAACATGGCGACACATGACAGTAACAATCGCCAAAATGGGTAAATGCGTAGTGAAAGAATGCGATTCAAGGTCACAAAACCATAATAAATCATGCGGAATTACTTATCACGTGTAAGTTTATGGTTTTTGTATTGATAATATCATAAATAAGGCTATAATTGAAATAAAACATTGATAATTGTAATTTAGAATCAGTGTTACCATTAAAAAATCATTTTTGTTTTCCCACATTAGTGGGAGAATTTATAATTTATGAAATAATATGCTTTATACTGTTTTTAAACATTTTGTCAATAATAATAAAATATAGGAAGAACGGTAGTTCTTAGGGCTGAATCGATCACTTTTTTTAGGGACCCGTTGAACGTTCACCTTCTACCAAGCTCGCAGTGCTGGAGACTTTTGTATAAAATATTAAATATTAAATAATTAATAATTATTAAATAATTAAATATTAAATATTATTATTAAATATTCATTCATTCATTCATTTTTCTTAATTAATTATCAAATATAAATAATAATTGTACAAAAAATATATATATATAAAATAAAAAAGTAAATAAATATAAATAAAAAATATAAAAACAAAAAAAAAAAATTTTATATTTTTTTTTATTTGTATTTTAAAATATTAAAAGAATTTGCAATACACCCTGGGGATTATTTATTATCAGTACAAGTTGATCATCCACTTTTACTATTAACTGCCATTATTTATACATAGGTAAAAATAAGATTGTATCATGAAAGTAAAATATTCACACAAACTTATAAAAAAGAGTCTAAAAGACAATT